AGTTTGACACAGCTAGTTTTAGGAATAATAAGAGGGTACTTCGTCAGTGACAGCGTGATGGCTTATCAGCTTTAGTCAACCAGCTCTGACTTGACCTTCTAACATGTTTCCGTTGACCTTTTAAATCACATTTTACTCTCTCTTCTTAAAGGGAAAGTCAACCCAATCTAGTGAATATCAAACTTTTTCCCCAGAGGCTAAAGTTTCTACATAGATGTAGAACAGAGACTGTGGCCAGCTTGAATCACACTAGCTGTCATTACACAGTGAAATGTGCCAAAAGTTGGGTGAGGATTACTGTGAAAGCACAGTGCTGATGTTAAATGATGTGCTGACCCATCATTAGGCCCTTCACAGAGGGACAAAATCTAAATGTCCATAGTAACTTTTGAAAACCAAGCCTCCACAACAAACTACTCTATCCACATGCCCGGCATACTCGAAACTGTCTGCTTTGCAACATCACGGCTACATACTTTACATTTACACTGTTGCCTCTCTTAAAGTGTTGAAGCTCCACTGGAAGCAATCTGTTTAGCCATACGCTGTACTGGCGAAAACATCTGTATGCAGAGCTGAAGTTGGAGCAGTTTCTATGGACATTTTGATAAAAGAATTTGTCCGCTTTGAAAACTTCACCAGTGAAATCCATCTGTGCGGTGACTACAGCTGCCGTCCTCCATGTGAAAGCAGACTGTTTTGCAGACACTTTTCAAGGCTTGGTATGAGAATAGCTTTTTTTCTTCTTTTTTTTTTTTAAAAGTCTGTCCAAAGGAATGTTTTCTCTGGACAGTGTTTCATTGATGAGCTGCAGAGGAAGGATAGTAGCAAAAAGAGGCTGTAACTTTGGAGGATATCCACTTGATTTGTCTGACTCGGATTTCTGAAGCCTCATATTACCTTCAGACAAAGTTTGGCACAGAGCAAGGACTGGATTTAATCACAAGCCCTCCAAACTGAACAACCATACAGGTCTCTTTTTTTTTTTCAACCCCTCTGATATGACCCATAGGAGCGTCTCCGGAAATAGCGCCCCTATGGCGGTTGTCATGGTTACAACAACAACAACGTGATTAACTTTGTAGAACCGTCATGGATGATACAAACAACATAACCTGCCACTTTTAGATGGGAATCAAACACTATACTAGAGTAATATAACTGTGTTTTGTTGACACATTCATCCACCCCAACCTCGTCCTAATGCTCCTGTCATAATTACTGCAGCCGCTAGATGTTGCCTAACAACGAGGCGTAACTATGGGTCATAATAACCTGCTGCACAAACAACCTATGGGCTCGTTTTTTGTTTTGTTTTTTACAGGAGAATAGTGTATACATATTGTGTGCTTGCACTTGATGCTTTCACTCAGAACAAGCTGCAGTGAGTTTGATATGTTGCTTGGGATACATGGCTGCCACACAGTGACTGTCACAGCCCATGAAACCGTGACCCAAACGCTCAGTAAGCACTAAATCAATGTGCTGTGTGTGTGTGTGTGTGTGTGTGTGTGTGTGTGTGTGTGTGTGTGTGTGTGTGTGTGTGTTTCTTCCTTTCATCTCCCATAAGTCTGCGTTTTGGTTTTTGGAAACACTGGTGGTGCATTTATATCATAATATAAGTTGTGTTTTCCCACAGGAGCGGCCAAATACCTCCGATTCACCAGTGATGAATTGGCAAATTAGTGGCCAGCTGTCAAATGCCGGTAGCTTGGGCTTTTGCAGCCCATCACTCCTAATCAAGAGAACCTAGCCCTTTTTAATATGTTGAAGATAAAGTAACAGGCACTGTGATAGCAGTTCTGCTAAATGAGCCATTTGAAAGCGTGGCTCATTTTTCATAATCCTGGAGAAGTCAATTAAGGGACTTGTGGAGCTGAGGGAGGCCCAAGGAGACACTGAGGTGCAGTGTTAGAAAAGAGACACGAGTGAGTTTTAGTCACAAGAGGAAGAAAAACAAGCAGCGTCTCAGTGGAAACACCACAGGGAAATGTAAGGAACAGTATCTGAAAGAAGAAAACAAAAGACGGAGTATAAAAATGTCAGACGCAGTGACAGCGACACCAGTTTTCATCAGCCAGCCAAAATGCTTTCATAGCCTTTGACTGGCCGATGCAACAAGAAACAAAATATCCAAATTGCTCGTCTGTAAAAGAAAACGATTGTTTCCCTTTGTGCGGCTCCATCTGCTCCCAGTAGACCCTAAACAGCTACAACACCACGCCCCGCACTGACAACGAGCCAGAGGAAGAAAGTGAACTCCTGCTGAAAGGCTGTTAATAGTTAGTGTTGTGTATGTGAACAGTAGGAAATGTATGCGCCATTACTTTATCGCCCTCTGACAAGAAAACCGAGGGTTTTTTTTTTGTCCCACGCTTGTCGGAGTGTATTTACATACACATAGGCCTCATTGTAAAAAAGAAAAGTGTTTTCTCCTTAATAAAATGTGTGAATAAAATGCCTCCTCTTTTTGTAGTAATTTTCACATCAGATAAAACTGGATTTAATCCAATTTTTCTGCCTTGTGCAGCTTCTCTTTTGTGTCTGGCATGAATTTAAAACATCAACAGCTGACTTGCTTGCTTTGGTCCTTCTGAAGATCTGATACATTTATAATATAATATATATCCACGTCATGGTTTTCTGTGGAAGGGACAGAATAAATCAACCATGCTTATGTATTTTGTCAATGTTGTTGCAGAATAACAAAGTTGATTCATGACTTTAAATCCCCCAGGACTACTTTAAAATAATGCCACAGCAATGGCTGTTTGGTCACTGCAACCAATCCAAATTCATTATAAAGTTTCATTGAAAAACAATAGCTTTTTACACAAACAACTTCAAATGTTTGGCAGACAAGCGGTTGAAACAACTCAAAATCCTTTCCTTGGGACCATTTCTTAGATTCCCATACACAAACACACCCACAATAAAATGTATGAGTTAATAGCCGTACTCTGTTTACTCATACATGTTTACATTGTTCATCTCTGTGCAGAATTGGACTTTTTGGCTTTATTATGGTGCACAGAGAGCACAGAGGACAGAGGCTGGAGGAGAGGCGGAAAAAACTGAAACTGTGTCAATAAACTGAAGAGTCAAAACAAAGCACGTTTCGTTTCTCTGCAGGATTTGTGGTAAATGCATGTGACAGCTCCTCGAAAAACCAAACAGATCACCATAAACCAACAGTGGATTCATTTGACATCCCTGCAGGCCTTTTTTGTAAATGCCAATGCAATAATTTGAGGCACACCCAACTTTAAACTATCCAGTCTGATCTTATGAAAGAGTCAAATTAATCTCTAGCAGCTATTTTTCGTGTCATTTGTGAATTTGAAAAAAAAAAGTCTCAGGTCAGGAGTTCCTGTCAGCTTGAATGGCAGCAGTTCAAAGGATCATGAACAGAATAATTTTATAGATGAGGCGGAATTAATCTCAGCATCTTTTCATCCACACACACACACACACACACACACACACACACACACACACACACACACACACACACACACACACACACAACACACACACACACACACACACACACACACACACACACACACACACAAACCATCAATACTAATTGGAACCAGACTGAAGTGTTCAGCAGTCTCCTGCATGCAGACTCGCCCCAGAGATATTCATTCTCACCAGCAACAGAGCATGAGCTCATCCCCAGCTGCGTCACCAGCGGGAGGGGACTAAACTTGCAGGCACTAAATGGAAGGGTTAAAAACCAGTGAGGTCATGTCTATAGGTCATACGTGCAGATCTTGATTTGTATTCAAAGACAGGATGGAGAAGTAGGAAGATTTCGTAGAACGCAGGAGTCCTCTGAGAGCTTCCTCTCCTCCTGCCTCGGGACATTGTGCTGCCAAAATAACACAACAAATGAGTTCAGGCCCCACCAGAGCGTGATGTAATCTGCTCCTTAAAGGCACAGTCTGTGATCCAAATGTAAACAAAAAACCCCCCACAAGTCAAGACTGAAACCATCCATCAGTCTTAAATGCATCGGCAGCTTCAAAGAGGATTTCACACATTTACCACGGTTAGATCTACTCAGGTCTATGATGTCATCTGTAATTGGCTTTGTCAAGTCTATGAAAATACCCCAGATCACATTATCAGGGTTATTTAAAAGCACCTCTGAAGCTTCACCCATACGAGTAATTAAAGGTCAGGATCTCGGCCTCTCGTGCCTTGATTTTGACCATTCGTTTTAAAACCTGTCTCTGTTGAGTTCACCAACTTAATGGAAGAGCAGCAATAAATATAAAAAGATAATGATACTTTGGTGTATTAAACTGGTAATATTCTTCTCTGAAGATACATGTAAACTTTTCTGTGAACCTAAGTGCAGAAGGTTCTGATGCGCACATTTCCTAAATGTCAGCAGTACGCTGTGCGGGACCTGCGTGTCAAGCAAGTTGATTAGTTGATTCAACTCTGGTTGGTAGGCAGGTACGAAACGAAAATGAAAAAAGAAGGAAATGTTATACAAGTCGTGCGCAACATAATGACAGAGCAAAAGCCTCTTTCTAGACTCTTGAACTTGTTCGACAGTCATTCTGAAAGGAATCCATCTTCGGTGAAGCATGGATAAAATTCTCACCAACTGTAGCCTCTATAGAGAGCAAATAATGGCCCAAAATGAACTGCAGCCACAAGAAAGGCTGAGTTCTGAATAAGGAGCTCAGCTGTGATAATGGAGGCAAAATAATTAACCACCTCGCAGACTGTACGTATTTGGACTGTGAGCCATTTTCTGTCGTGTTGGCTCTGTACTCAAGCACACCAGATGTGACAAAAGGAAAGTGTGTGAGTGTGTGAGACGTGCATATCCTTACTGCGTGAACGCTGTAAGATACACCCATTTGAGCAAAGGCAACAAGTTAATGTCCCATATCAAACAGTCACTGACAGACCTCTGATGGAAATGAAGGAGATCATTAACGTAAGAACAACAGCAATATTATTCTTAAAATGTTCATTTTAATAAGGTGCTGAAAATATTCAACAGTCACATTTGCTCTTTTTCCTTTTCACAGAACAAGGACATTTATAACCCAAAGCCAGGAAAACCGCAGATTGTAAGCTGCAGAACAGAGGAACATGACCTTTAGGTATATACACAGACAAAAAAGTCACAGTGTGGAAGAGAGAGAGACAGAGAGAGACTGAACACACTGCACTGGGCAATTAAGGCAACACGTCAAAAGGTAATAGACAACCTTTTCTGTACAAGGAGAGTAAAAAAAAAAACTAAAAAAACAAGCACCAGGAAACACATTACAGAGCCTCCTCAAAACCCACAGGAAATGACATTAAAACACTCCTTATAGCTGCTGTGCAAGACAAAGACACAAAAAGAAGTCATGGACAAGTTAGAGAAAAAGTTTGTCTATAAGTGACAGATGTTGCTTTTGCTTTGATGTGTTTCTTTGTGGTTATGTCCCTCTAGGTTTGGAGCTGTTTTTTTTGTCACAGCTCCAGTTTTATCAGTCAAGGAATCCATGAAAATGACAACTTCCTTTTCTCTTTATCATTAAGGTTTTTTTGGTCAGTACACTCTCAGTTGGCGCAGAGACACCTGCTGGTGCTTTGGAGGAGGAGCAGCTTGGCAATTACGATGCAATGTAATCCTTGTGTCTGTGCAATAAAATAATCTCCCTCAGTGTGCCTCAGCTGTGGTCGAAATCGTGACCAAACATCCTGTTTCTGTGAAACAGTGTGAGTGTTAACGGTGTTAGTGTTGAGACATTTCCAATAAATACTGGCAGGCTGCTGAGGACAACAAATGATTAAAAACTGTAAAAAACAAATGAACATTATTCAGTTAGATTAAAATGCAAATCTCCCAGAAATTGACACAATTAACCATAAATTGGCTGAACAACTTTTGAAACGTGATGGTAGTTCAGATGACTCAGCTTCCTCCACATGGACAGTTCATTGATGGGGAAAAAAGTGCAGGCTTATCCAATCCCAGACCACGTCTCTAGCCGACATCAAATCATCACTCTAGATCATTTTTGCATAATATTGTTCTTGAGAGGGTGATAAAACATAATCTAAGTACCTGCCTCTCAATGACAGGCAGTATCACAGGTCACTTAACAGTGTCGGGCCGGTCGCAGCCTGCAGTTTGGAGCAGCACTAAAACAACAGGAGGTCGCTCGTTCGTCCCTGACTCAGCGCAGCCAGGCCTGCTGATTGGCTGATGAAGCTGTCCCTTTAACATCCTTCATTTTTTTTCGTGACGCTGATCTGGAGTCTGCAACGTCCAGCTTGTGAGCTTAGAAACAGTGTCCAGTTTATTATAAAGACTAACTAGGGAGGTGAACGGAGCAGCCACAAGGGGGCGACACTGAGAACAACTTTAAATATACTTATTATCATCTGTAAACAACAATAACTAACAGTCCGTCATGCCGTGCCTGGTTAAAAAAAATGAAACCGTTCACAAACGTTTGTTTACATACAAACATAGACTGACATATAAAAACAGGTTATGATGTGTTAGTCATATGGCATTGAGTCAATCACGTATAAAGAGTAAACCGTTGCTGTAGAACTGCTCTGTGGTTCTTCTCAGCAGCCATACAACAGCAATCCATCACCACCCTTACAAATTTATATACATTTACATCCTTAAAATCTTACATCTTGAAAGAATGTGGGCTTTCCACTTTCCTCATCATCTCCCTTTTCTCCTCTGCTTTGTGCAAGAATAATTATTTAGTCCCTTGTTGTGAAGTTGTCTTGTCTTTTTGTCCTCCGCAGTGTCACACGGAGACAAAGACGTCCAGGTAGAGGCGGTCGTAAGACTCCCTGAAGAAGAGGATGAGGACGAGGCTGAAGAGACAGGAGCCTGTTAGACACCAGTTGAGCCATGACAGCTCTGGATGAAGGAGAGAGGGAGAGAGAGTGGAAGAGAAAGAGGAAGAGACATGTTTGGGGTTAGATTTAAGCGCTCTGCGTCAGCTCGTATCCAGAATGTGACACACTGGGTGGGCAGGCAGATGACTCAGTGCCCTGCTTAAAGTCGCTGCCACCATCCAGCACTTTGTTGTTGTTTTTTTTTTATTATTTATTGTACATTTGTTTCTTCTCTTTTCAGCCTTTTTTTTTTCTTGTCCTTTCCTCTGCTTCCAAATAAAATGGTCTGGAGCTGTTTTCCCAGTTTGGACTAAGCCCCTTAGTTCCAATTAAGGAAAATCTGATCACAGAAAAAATAGTGTGCCTCCAATTTTGTGGCAACAGTTTGTGTTTGGCCCTTTCTTGTTTAGCATGACAGCACCCCTGTGTACAGATTCAGGTCCATAAAGTAATGGTTGCCTTAGTTTGGTACTTGACCAGCCTGCACAATGCCCTGACTGCAACCACATTGCCCCACGCCTCCTTTATGCAAGGAGGAAACTGTGCAGGTAGGTTCTAAAATCTGGTGCAAAGCCTGAAACCATGAGGGTGGAGGCTGTGATTAATGCCCATGTTATATGGAATGACATGTTCAACAATCACATGGGTGTTCAGGTGTGTCCACTTACTTATGGTCATTTGCTGCATATCTAATCATAGCAGTGCGGAGGTGAATATTAAGTAAAAACCAAAAAAATACACGTAATAAAATAAAATAATTCATTCAGCAGGTGAAGTCATTGCGTATTCATGCACATATTAGCTGTTGCACATATTAGCTGTTGCACATATTAGTTGTTGCGCATATAAGCTTTTGCACATATAAGCTTTTGCACATATTAGCTATTGCACATATAAGCTGTTGCACATATTAGCTGTTGCACACCATCACTTAGAACAGAGAATGACCGCTGACTTCAACCCTACCTCAGTGCCAAGCAACAGCATGTGACTATAATGAAATATGAGTCATCTTCATAACTCCAGAAACCTAATGAGAGTTGGTATGAAGTGACACTGAATAATTTATAATCATATAGGACTAATGGCTAATCGATAGAAATTCCAGACATACCGTATAGGAAATAAGAACAGCCTCCTGAGCTGTCTTTCATGATGATTTTGAATAATTCATTGATACTAGCAGTGTTCCCCATTATCATTGACCTACACTTGAACCTAAACATGGTGCAGAATGAGGTGTTCTATTTTCTCAGCTTGGTTCAAGCTCCATTAACCACAGGAGAGGTGCTCTGGCTGTCTGCAATAATGCAGAATCTGGAGGGCAGACAGGAAGCTTGCAACTGCACTGAGCCGTTGGCATCTTGACTCATTAGCACACAGACAACCTCTTCTTCTTTTCAGCCTCTGTGATGCACACACACTCAAGACTCTCTCCATGCAAGCCTGCACTAACACACAATCACACCTGACTCAAGTCGATACTCCCAAAAAAATCAATAAATCTCAAGTCTTTCAAATGCATGAAGTCGTCCCCATTGTGAAGCCGGCCGTCTCAACAGCACACAGGTGTTTGAGGTGTTTTGCCATGACTGAGACGTTAAGCAGAATCTATACTGCGTGGTGAGGGCCAACGTCTCAGTCAGGACTGACGACGCGGTGGCAGCAGGCAACTGCTCGGGTCCTGATAACAAGCCGGACTAAATATAGAGAAATCAGGTCGTATACACAGCAGAGCCCTGGGGGCCCTGCCAGCACAATGTGCTTCAACTCACGCCGGCTCCGCTTCAACTCCAGTCAGCTGGCTTTTCATATCGCCAATCAGCTGCCCCGGCCTAAAGAGAGCACCAGATCAATGCATGACGCAGCCTCTTTGTGGTAAATTATGAGTTTTGGCTGTAAGGCACAAAGCTTTCTGAGCTTGATGCTTCACCTCTTCCATGAGGAGAAAGAATGTGGGGTAAGAAGATGAAAGCCAAGGATAAATTGAGGTAAGAGAGAGGTGGAGAAGGGGGGTGGAGAGAGTGGAGGGAGATGAGGGATTGGGTGAGGGTGCTTGCAGTAAGGTGTCAAGACTCCTGAAGCAGCCTCATTAATCAGGAGTGTGTGAGCCGGACAGGGGGAGACCTGGCGTGGAGACGGGTTAATGGAGTTGTGTTTATCTGACCTAAAGTCTTTTCAGTCAAACTCTCTCATTTTCTCACATGTACACTCGGACAAAGACTCGTCCATTTAAAGTTGGATACACACAGTGTGTTGGGGTGTGGGTGTGTGTGTGTGTGTGTGTGTGTGTGTGTGTGTGTGTGTTTGGTCCTGCAGTCTTAAAAGAATGCTAATGCAGTGCTGGGTAATTCAATCAGGTGATGTGGTAAAAATGGACAGGCAGCTCAATCGCTCCCCTCTGATCTCTGAGGACATGCAAAGTAAAGTTTGGAGGAAATACAGTTAAAGTTTGGCTGAATGGTAAACAGACAGGAGGGGGACTGAGGAGGGGGGGACTGAGGAGGGGGGGGGGTGAAGGGAAAAGATTAGAGCAAATAAGATAAAAGGAAGAAGAGAGGAGTGAAGTCACTTTGTTCTGTTCCTAGAGGCTCCTCAGCTCACCGGCTTGCTTTAAAGTTGATTATTAGATTTTAATGATCACAGCTTAGAGGACAGATATATCTGACTCGAGCTGTGTTGCAGCCCTTTAAACTTTCCTATAATAAAGTGAGCAGCCACAGATTTTCTGGGCTGAGCACTGAAGGTGACTGCACTGGCTTTGAAACATTTGAGAAGCTTAGACTAATAAAAAATCACTTGTATCTTTTAAATCCCTCGTCATAATTGTCCTACACATTTTTTCTACTTTTGATAAATGGTTTTCATCTGTGGTGTCCTCTTGTTTTCACCTGTTTTAATCCATTTGAAGATTAGGCTTTTATAGTGATTGTTGAAGCAATTTATGAGGTTATTGAAATGGCTGATAATTAAGTTCCTGAAAAGGAAGTGGGTGATGATGGCAAATATTTTTAGGCAATATCAAAGAGCCCAAAGAGCTGGTGGCCTATTATTTCTATTGAATTTTCAATCTCTTTTTTGTCATCCTTTAACCTTCATCTTAACTGACTTTTGCACAGGTGGTGCTACGGTGGTGCTATGGCAACCAACTTAAGGTCAAAATTTTGAGAATTTATCATCAGCTTTGTCAGTTTCATGAGGAGAGACTCTTCATACAGTGAGAAGAGTGAAATTTATTACTTCAGCTATAAATCTGTAACTGCAACTTCCAAACTTGTATATTCTGTTCTATTTGATAGGATGGCGCATGTTGTCGTACATCATCTTCACCATGACAACCCACTAGAAGCCGACTGTGCAACACTTCCCCCGCCACCTCTCTGTCTCACTGTGGTTGCGTCATCACTCAAAACTTTAGCAAGTAGCTTCAATGATGAGTAACTTGCTCATTAGAAAACACTATGCAAATAAGCAACTTACAACACTCATACTTAATTTTTATATATAAATTGAAGGAATCAGAGAAATGCAATAACAATCTCCACAGAGACGAATCTCTCTCTCTTTTGTTTTCATTAAGTTAAATTATTCAACTTTTAAACCCCTCCTTTTTCTTTTGCATCCCACAATGCCATTCCTCTAATGAGAAAGCAAACAGGGGCAAACTTTGCCTTTGCTTTTAAGTTGTTAAAAATCCAAACTTGAGCTTGCAAAAAAACATGCTAAGATGCTGACTAAGACTGTCCTGTGGTGAGTTCTGTCTGTTTATAATTTTGTAGTAATTTCTCAAGTGAAAGTGTAACATCTTTTAGATTTGGTTCTCAAATCTTGATTTTTTTTTTAAACATCTTAACTTACTTCTATCTAAATCTAGATCTAATCTCTTCAAAATTTAGAAACCATTTTCCTTATTCTAAAAAATGTTTTCAAAAATAGCGGCAAAACAATTGTTACAAACATCACAGAGGGCAGATGTAGGTCAAGCGCTACACCCTGCTGTGCTACGTTTTAACTGAACCATAACAACAAGACATCAGCCGACTGCTCCACTGCTGCCACAAACTACAGCGGGATCACTGTGACTGGATGATCATGTTCAGAGGACATCAGCGCGAGCATCGGACAGTTCATCATATTAACAGCTTATTACTGTATCAGTCAGCGTCAGCAGAGCGGTGCCACAGAGGAAGGCAGAGACGGGGGTCGACAGGCGTCTTACGGCCTTAATCAGTCTTAATTGAGGTCAATGCAGCGTTATAATTAATGCGGCTCAGTTTCTCCTTTACTACTGCGGCCTTTGTTTAAGAAGACGGGGGTCACACCTGAAGACACATTGACATCGTGTACAGAGCTGGATGATCCATCACAGAATGCCCACTTCCTCATTATGATCCATATGAAAATATTTACTGTTGACACACAAGTTGGTGAGCATGTCTTTAATTGCCAGAATATTGATAATGACTGCCATGTGTGTAATTAATGTGCCGCCCTTCATTTACTCTGTCAGTGTTGGGTCTCACTCTTGATTCAATACTGAAAAAGGCTTTTATTCTCTGAGGAGCAACAGAACGAGACAAAGAAAAGATGTTTGTTTTGTTTTTAAACACCTCCACAGCTTTTAGGTCGAAAAAGTTGGTCTGCAAAGGCATTTTCACTTCAGATGAGAATGCAAAGTTTAGCAGAAAAGGAAAAAAAGTTCTTGGGACTAAAGAACTGCAGCAATTATTTTTCTGTGCTGAATAATCTCTGCTTCCCCCAATGCATGAGAGACTAACAACTCACAGCTGAGCGGAAACTCAACGCCACCCCTCCCTCCTTCCCCTCCCTCCTCCTCCTCCTCCTCATCCTCCTCCTCTTCTTCTTCCTCCACAAAACCTTTGAGCCTCTTTGGCTCCACAATACCTATCTGCTGCTTTGTATTGCCCCCGATGCTCCACGCTAAATGACACAAACACACAGCAGGCGAAATTGAAAAAGAGCGACAAGCGTAGATATATGGCCTAGAGGCTCCATTCATGTTTCTGAGTCACATGGTTCAGAGACTGTGGAGATTTTTAAAACATGAAAACAGAGTCAAGAGGCCAGATAGGGCTCACTGAACCAAGACCGGGCTCTCATGGATATTAAAATGGACAAGGAGCTTAATTCATGAATGTCTCTCCGCTCACAGGGAAAAGGAGCCATAATTCAGAATGCATAACAAGGCAATGGGCAGCCAAAAGGAAAACTCTAAAATGAACTGGAAATAGATGGAAATCTTTAAAAAGGCCAGAGTCGCCAATTTTCAATATCAAGAGTTGAAAGGGTTTTGAAAAGACGAGGCTCATGCAGAATTTATCAGTTCTGAAGTCTGCATATTATTTGCCACATCCATTATGGGACAACAGAGAGGAAATTAGAGTAATGAAACAGCCCACTAGAATACCTCCAAGGGGAATTTACATAATAATCTAATTAATCTTTGCAGGAGTCATCTCTTCAGGAGAGCAATACAGCCGATTCTCAAACACGACAGGAAACATGCACTTCTTTAATTCCCTTGCTATAGTGACTGAACAACATCAGTGTTTTAACATGTACCTTTCGGCATTCCTGTGCTGTACTTTTAAAAATCAAGTGAGATATGCTCCAGTGATGATGACTACCGATACGTAAAGAAACACAGTGCAGTTATGGTTGCAGAATTGGAGGCTACAGTGAGTCGCTATCGGAAAGTGACGAGATGGGCCGAGGCTGGGTGGTTGGCATGCCGACTTCAGTAGAAGAAAAGACGCGATAGAAACTTTGGCTTTGCCGTCCACCATTGTTCAAAATCTCTTAAAACACATCAGTGATCTGTTCCTTCATTACCATGAACACACAAACTGCAGTTTATTGAGTCAATCCACAATACACCATCCTGGTGCAATAGATATTGAAATGTGTATTACTCCTCATCTGAAAATAGTTTCCAACAAATGTGCGGTTTCCTCCTCATTGAGTAACATTTGTTAAAAACTGTAGTGGGATGTACGAATTGTTGGTTTTGGGCTTTTCACAGTATTTTCTCACTATTAAATAAAAAAAGAATAATGCCAGCCTCATCCTTGAATATATCCCACTGTTACAGTAACCAAATCCCACAGGATACTGAACCTTACATAATGGTTGATCACCTGCTCTGACCTGCAAACAGCGATGGGATTACAGTAGAACAGTAGAGTTCAACAACTTGGTACCTACAGAAACTTTGTGTTTGTATATTGTTGGAAAAAGTATGTGGGCAATCTACCACTTAGGTAGTGATCTGCAAGCTGCCTGCCTGCCTGCCTGCCCGCCCGCCTGCAGCAGTGTGAACTTTCTGAAGAGAGAGCTTCGATCCATCATCGCCTATTATACGACTTCAGGGTGGGAAGTGAAGAAAGGAGCAGAAAAAGCTTCCATCATCTCGGCTTGATCTTCTCTCCAGCTGTCACAAGGAAGTTGTCAGGATCCATCTCAGCACATCAGACGCCCGTGGCTTACCCAAACACACACACACACACACACACACACACACACATACATACATACATACACACATACACGTGCTGGCATCTCAAAAACAAGGACATACTTGTGTGCTCACAGAGGAGCAATACATTATGTGCATGGCTACACACAAAACATGCAACACACTGAGATACATGCAGACACACGTTCAACCACACCAAGTAGGATATCATTCAGCATCGCAGAGAGAAGCGTCAAACAGAGGATGCAACATGTATTTTTTATGACTTCTACTCTTGTGATTGTGGATGTGTTAATGTGTGTGTGTGTGTGTGTGTGTGTGTGTGTGTTTATAATTGTGTGTGTGTATGATTGTGTGTGTGTGTTGGCCTGCAGCTGCTCTATCTACCCAAAGCTCTGTCTATCCACAACTGGTACACTGCTGTCTAATCTATGATTTATCACCATACTGACACACTACTGGTTCTGATAAATCAAAAAACATCACCTGTCATCTGAATCCCACAGTTTCACTTCTGTTGTATGTTATACGTCAGCTACTGTTGTTTTCACTTTGAATATAACTAAACCGAATTTAAACTAATCCACTGAGCATCACCCCAGCTTCATTCTCAACCCTTCAGATTCCACCTGTGAAATTTACCGAGTCCAACCTGCATCTGCGTTGTATTTCAATCCAGTTGCCATCCTGCAATTCTTTAATAAAAGCTTTTAAATGACCAGGAGCAACCTCAACTCCTGAAATAACTGATGCCAATAGTATTCTGAATAAAGTTTTATTCTCACAACAACATGTTAGGTTGTAGATGTATAAACAATGAAATGAACTACAATTAGTTGACTAATCAATTTGTTAATCAGCAAATCCACAACACTTTGGTGTTGGTCCAGCCAAGAAAGCAATTTGTAGCCTGGGCTCTGGGAACTTTAGATGTGCCTTTTTCATTATTTTCTGACATTTCACAGGTCAAACTATTAATCATTTAATCAGAAATGTGATCAACAGATTAGTCCGCCATGAAAATAATCATTAGTTGTAGCCTTGATATCTTCCCATGCTGGGCTATGTGCAGTGAATATTAGAGACCTGCTGTTCCTGACAAGGCAAGCTGCTTTCGAGCCCTGGCTGTCATACTTGTTAGCGGCCCCCGAGGGCCGCTGGGCCACACGGCTGTTCAGGTCAAACAAGAATTATATTCACCTGCACTGGCAAGACAACCTAGAAGGCAGGATCAAGATACAGTTGTCAGCCAGCAGCTGTCAGTAGCCTTGTAGCAATCGGAAGGATTTGGCAGAGGAGGATGGACCTCATGAATATTTATGAGGGTCTGAAAATATATTTCTTATTTACTCAAACAAACGGTAAAAGGAGTGTGTGTGTGTGTGTGTGTGTGTGTGTGTGTGTGTGTGTCAGAGATGGATCTGTCTTTTCCAGCTGATTGCTGCTGTGATGTAGCCAAACTTACAGGGAAGGATAATGAAACTGAAGACAGGTGAACAAAGATCAGAAGAAGAAGCCGCACTCATGAAACATGGTCTCGAGTACATACTAACATACACACAAAAATGCACTTTCTCACACACATTCACACACACACACAAACACACAGTTGCTTAGATGGATGACTGAGCTCAGTTTACTTATGAATTCACTTTTTCATGAGAAAGCCACAGAGGCAGAAGAGAAGCAGATGACATGCTGTCCTCTCTGCTGCAGCCGTAAATTATTATATCAAAGTCTGTCAGGCAGCCAACTCAAAAGATAAATCTGAGTCTAAATTACAATAGGAAGTTTTCTTTCTTTATGCTGAATGTGTCAATTGCATTGAAACCTAATTTTCCCACTGTCCGCCTTTTATCGGCAGCATCTGCAGGGCTTCAAATGGATTTTTGGAGACAATTGAGCCTGTGGCTTTTGGGAGATGAGAGAAACCTGCAGGGGACAGAAAGCCTCTGAATGGCGCACATTCAGACATTTTCCATTGACAAAAATAAGAAATACAAGAAGTATTTAGGTGGTGTTATCCTAATGCCACGAGACTAATAGGTGCAGAAGATGAATGAAAAAATGAATGCATTTGAAAATATTAACAAACCAATGGGAATTTCATCACATACTGTTTCCTCATTCGCACACATGCAGTACTCCTGTCTTACCTGTAGAGTAAAAAGTAAGAAAGAAGAGGAGCAGGCCGGTGACCAGGTTCCCCAGGAAAGTGACCACTCCACAGGTGATGCCTTCAGGGACCGGGTACACCGTCTCGATGAAGAGCTCGAAGAATATTGGCACGCTGCTGTTGATAAAAATGCCCACCAGGATGCAGGAAGTGTACAGGATGGCTGTGAGAGGGCAAAAGAAACAGCAGAACAACAAAAAGTTACAGTTTAAACTGGTAACTTTGATGTAATTGGGCATCAAATCCCATCTGAGCGACTGTTTAAAAAACGATGGCATGCTAGTCAAGTTTATGGAACCACAGTGGTGATTTATGCTGTGTTCTAAAGCTTCCTACTGTGCCATTTGTTCTCAACAGCAATGAGATTGATGACGAAAGCCTCATCCTGAAGCATTTCATTTAGAACGCCTCCCCTTAAGGTGGCAATTTACTGGAAACAAACCCAAACCACTGTGGGCATTTTGATGGAAAATGGCCAGTTTGCAACCCAAACAACATAACACATCTCCCCCAAGTCTGGTCACCTGGCCTGCAGTGTCACATAATGAATCAAATTTGTCAGGTTTGTGCGTTTCTGGCTCACTCCCTTTGTTTATATCACATTCCTATTTCAAGTGCTCAATTTTAGGAAGGATCAGTTTAAGGCTGCAGGGGATCCAATTGTGTGTTTTTCTATACTTGTGTAAATGTCATACCTGACTCAAGTAAATCTAACAAAACAGACCTTTTTTGAAACCTTACTCTGACAGATTGAAAAATGTGTATCATAAAGGCCTTTTTTAATGTATCAAAAGAGGCCAAACTTCCTAAATGTTAAATATCGTCAGAAAAACAAGCAGCCAATTAAGTTACCTGAATAAAATACCGTCTAAAATTCACAAAAGTTTAAGTCTGTAATAAGTAAATCAAAGAATGTATAAACAAAGTTACAAGTCTCACCAGGCAAACGGCTCTTGGTGCTTTTTGATACTATGAGCTATGAACACATTTTTGTTATCACAAGGAAAGTATTGATGTTTGACACGTAGTCTGGCATGAGAGTGTCATGAGAATGTTTTACTGGCTCTGTGACACCAATTCAATTTGAATTTCAGTTTCTTTTGTAATATATTGCCGTTATTAGTTTTTTTGCACACTCAGCATTAAGCTGTAATTCATTTCATGGATTCTACAATATATTAAAATCAAATTTCTTATTCTTTTGCCAAAATGTGCAGCGGTCCACATAGGAAACAGCTCGTCTCATTTGCTCCTGAGGCATGACGAGAATGCTGCTGCTTTAATTTGTGTAATATAGGCTTATTGCTACAAACAGCAGTTTATTGTCAGCTACGTGTGTGTGTGTGTGTGTGTGTGTGTGTGTGTGTGTGTGTGTGTGTGTGTGTTTGCACAGCAATCAGAGAGCGCTCAGTATGTTTGGCCATCTCAGGGTCTAGTCTCAGTCCTCAGGCTGGGACCGAAAGTAAAATGTGTGAACGTGTATTAGAGTAGATGTGCGGAGAGATTAAGCCATCACCTCTTGAGCATCACGGCACCCTCCATCTCCCTTATCACGGCAGATTGGCCCAAATGAGCTCCCCATTAGCCTGCACGTCCCTTTAATCACAGTGCCTCTGAGGGCCCCCGCGTGCCCGACTGCCTGTGACAAGGAATCCAGGCGGCACTCATGCAGCCATCAAACAGAGCCTTCTCCCCTGCTTGTCTTTATTCAACCCTAATGAAGCACTGATATCAAACCCTTCAACCACTGCACTTTTCCCCTCACGTTATTGAATTAGCCTATCTGCAGCCAGCTCCCACAAGGTAGCAGGAAATCCCTTGAAGGAGGGAGACATGAGATGAGCAGAGGAACATGGGACGTACCTCACTGCCCTGAAGAGAAGACAATGTTTTTTCTAGAAGTTATGTTGGGGGTCGTATTACAATTAGACATTTATGCATTTAGGACTACAACTAACAATAATAATAACAATAATAATCAGCATAATTTTTAAGTAATCTGCTGATTATTTTCTTGATTAATCATGGAAAGGTACCAGACCTCTGTTATTTGTCATTCCCCATCACTCCCCATTGCCCACATTTTATATTATCTCTCTACTGTCAGCTTTGTAACAAAGGCAAGAATAATTTGTCTTAACGTTATTAGTAGCCACAGTCGAAAAACATACTTGGACAAGCTACATAAAGGTGATTATGGTTTATGGGAAGTAGCAGCAGAATCCATGATATTGATTTATATGACAAATACAACCATGGGAAAGTCTAGTTTATCTGTGTACCTTCTTATATTTGGCATTAACACGTGTCCATCATTCTGTGCTGCTTTGAATAATAGGGAGTTCATTTTAGGAAATCAAGGAATTTAGACAAGACGAGACCAGAACAGAGACACACAAAATCTAATACACCACAATGACAACTTCTATGCACATGATTGATTTTTTTTTTTCTTCCCAAAAGACTGGTCAGTTGGTCGCAAAAACTGCAGATTACACTGATCTGTGTATGTGCCACTGACCATCCCACACTGGGATAATGAGGGGTTTTGGCAGATTTTGTTGCAGTATCACGACACCCCCCATGTATGCTGTGCCAGGTGGATGAACAAGGTTGGAGTCTGGCTGCTGCAGATTGCCAGAGTCTCAGATAAGAGGACATGAGATAGAAAGAAAGCAATGCCAGGGCCTGGAGAATGATGATGGATGATGATGCCTAGAATCAGTGGCTTTGAACGACATGCTGGTATGCTTATTGGTTTGGCTTAGTGAAAGTCCACTAATGTCCCTAATGGGTTTATCACTGACATCTACTAATGGACTGGTTCTGCTGAATATGTACCAGATGTACAGTGCTCTGTGCAGTACCTGTGCCGTACCTACGTGGTGCTGACTTTAAGCTTCCGGGGTGTTTACATCCATATTGGTGGAGAGTATATGAATCATTTTACATGTGGTTGCTCAGTTTTAAGACAACACAGCAGGACAAAGCCAATGGGTTTTTAGGGCCAAACACTCAAGTGTCATCCATGTGTTTTGCTCGCTGAGGACCACACTGAGGACAAAAAGGCTCCAAAACAAGCAAGAAGTGAAGCTGGCTGCACTAGAGCCAGTAAGCTATTGCCCTAGAAACACAGTGACCCCGTACGTGCAATATGATGACTGACTTTCTAGGGCAATCTCTACTGGATCTAGTGCAATAATTAAATGTATTTATTTATTTATTTATTTATTTACCTGTGTTATTTGCTGTGGTTGTTCTATTTCCCTGTGTCTTTAAATGCACTAATCAAGAGAAGTCCTAATTGCTTTGCATTCTGGACAATGACAATAAAGGCTTTCTATTGTATTCTATTGTATTCTATTCTACGAGTTGGAGTCCAGAGCCAACACAAACACTTACATGCTGGTCTATATGTACTAAGACGGGATGCAGGCGAAGCACACCTGAATCCACATAATAATTCAGTGTGGATTGTCCTGCCTTTGGCAAATTTATCTGAGCCAGAGCACTGAACTGCTCACTGAATTCATTTTGGCTCTGGGTTGCATCAGAGCCTCCCCAGTTGCATCGGCTGTGTGCAGTGTCTCCTTGGACCAACCTGCAGTGGAGGGAAGGTGAGTGACTCTGCTCAGACAGGTGAGCGTGAACCATGTGGAGGACAGCGAGGCTCCTGCTAGCATCAGCACCAGGATCAGCTTCAGCATCCCCCGAATAGAGTCTGCAAACCTGGGGGTGGGTGAGACGAAGGGGTGGGGGAGAAAAGAGGAACATCAATATATATATAAAAAAACAAAACAAGAAAAAACGCTGAGACAAAGTACTACACATTCAAGATGCTGATCTGAAAAAAAAAAAGAAAAACACCAGGACAAAAAGGCTGACATGATTACTGAAGTGAGTAAAGGCAGCTGCTTCAGAAACAAGAGGCATCCTTCATAAACACAATGAGCAGCTATGCAATTTCTCAATGTCTGCTTCTTCTGTGACTTGTGTCATAATCTATTACTGGAGACAAGCATTGTTGCAGAGAGAGGCTAGATCATTTCCTTCTCCCACTTATTTCTGAGTACGTCAGTTGCACTTGTCATTACACAAGCAGACACTATTCCAAGGGTTGATTCAATTTGTCTCACCAGCTAAACAGACAGACTTGAGATGTGCATTTTATTATATTGTGGAAGACAAGCCATTCGGCCATTCTCAAACTCTCTTGAGCATTGTGGTTTCTCTTTGTAGCCCTTTCTAAACCCTCATAGTTCATTAACTCCTCTCCGCTCCTCTGGGTATGCATATGTATGCTTGTGAAAAGCTACACAAGCCTGTAGCAAAGAAAGACACTAATTACTTTTGTTTTGTTGTGCGCAGACGAGATGCTTTAGAAAAGAGGTCTGAACCTGACAATGAACTTAATGCAAGAATAAAAAAAGAAGTGCTAGAAATGGCTGATTAGTTCAGCTAGGTTGTGAAGTTCTGTCAGCGTGCTGAGGGCCAGGGGATAAGGGAAACCACCCTTTGGGCAGATAATGAGAACATCTCCACTCAGAATGTTGCGGGATGGCATTTTTAGATGACATTAATATCTCCTGGGATTTCATGAGCTGTCATTCACAGCTTCGACATATTACCTCTGTGTTCACAGGACATCTACTACATTCTGTATTCCTAACTCTGGACTTGGAATCACTGGGAGAGAATTTAGAGCAGGCTAAGGGGCATAACATGATTAATTCTGCCTTCTCTGATAAACAGATCTAAAGCCATCATATTTCTGTTTTCAAGAAAGAGCCGGTTACACTGGAAGAGGCAGTCTAGTTAGAGTGCCAAGCGCTTGCTACTACACAGAGATGTCTAGTTCCTCTGCCCACAGCTACACCCCTCAAATCTGCATCACCCATCTGCCACTGACTGGCTCACATCCACAACCCTTCAACCTCCCCCGGTGCCAAAGAGGGACGAAATCCTTAGCCTGCATCCAGTCAAACCCTCATCTCTTTGCATAGAGGATCACAGGCTACTCCCCTGTATCAATTCCAATCGATCCTCGAGGCAGAAACACCATAAGTAGCTTATTTTGCGTACTCAACCTCCAATGGTCTCTGAGTCCAGTTGATAAAGAGCTTGGTCACTGATTGCCAAGATAAGTCAGGTGCAAGACAGTTTGAATGAAACTAAAACAATTGAGCAGAGTTTGGGTTTTGAAAACTACTGGCTTACACTTGACCAATAGCAAAGCTAAATATCCTATCATCAGAAGTGTTGTGTTTTTAAAGGGGGAGGCCACCAATGACATGACATGTTCCTTGTTTTGAGTCAACTGGACATACACTTAAACACACAGTATGTAACTTCTGCCACTAGGGCTCTTTCAATCAAAACGCCACATGGTGGAATTGCTTGGGATCGTGGGCGTTGTCTTCTTGCCGTCAGCTTCTCCCAGTTTGGATTCCTTCAGTGTCAGTCGTTCAGGAGGTTTTTTTTTTTTTACTGGGAGCGGAATTATTCACAGAGGTGTCCTCCTCTCCAAATCAAACAGACCAGGGGATTAAAACCGTTAAAAGCACTGAGTAAAGCAGTTGAAGACAGTGTTTCGCTGATGCTATACAGCGGACATGAGACGTTAGGGAAGGGTTGGGAGCTGAGATTGCTGCTAACCTTTGTTTCGATTGTTGCTCTGATAATGCATGATCCAGATGTTCAGGAGGTTTTTACCGGTGGGTGTCCTCCTTCCCATAACAAATGGACCAGGGGATTAAAACCAGTAAAACACAGAATAAAGCAGTTTCACTTTAAAAATCTGTGATTCGCTGATGATCTTCAGGAGACACAGGGCGTGTCAGGGAGCGACTGGGAGCTGAGCTGCCAAACATTTGCTTGGCTTTTTTCTCTGATAACTTAAGATCCAGACGTCCAATGATTAAAATACTTCATCTGGTTAGAATATATAATTAAAACAACCAAGGTGTAAAAAATGTATCTTAAAACTGCGGTTTAAAACTGGATAAAAGTGAATTTTGAGCTTTTAGCAGACAGCCACAACGCCAACACATAGGGGATATGATGCCATCAAAAGGCGACCAAGTGAAACGCACCGTTACCATGACACCTGTTACATTTGGCATAATGTAACTCAAAAAAATATATAACACAGGTCTGGTCACTTTTAGACATTTTAATGTGAAAAAGTCACATATAATAACATATTGTAGCTACATGTCAGTGGTTTTCTAAGACTGATGTACTTAGTAGAAGCAGAGGGCCTTGCCACAGACATGATGTGGAAGTTGGAAAGTAATACAATACTTTGTGGGCTTTGGTGTTTTCCTAGAAATTGTTGACAACAAGACTCACACAAAATAATATTGAACAAGAGAACACTTCTCTCCTGTAATGTAATTCAGACCTCTGTTACACTACTCAGTGAGTAAAGAGGGTCATGTCATCTCATGAGGCAATGTTGGAATTAAAAGCCTATCTTTAACACTCCTCTAACAGGATTTATTGGCCATAAAGATAGCATCGTTTAAGTCATGTAGAATCAGATTCCATTTTCTGCTCTCCTAGTGCCTGCGGGGTTTGATGAATATCATTAGTATGGTATTATCATTTGGGCCTGTCTATGTTTTTAGTGAGGGACATGCAGTAAATAACCAAATAGATGGAGAAGGTATAAGATGACCAGCATGCAATTACGGATTTGCAGGTAAAACAAATGAGGCAGTAGTTGATACTCATTTGTGTTTGCTCTATCTCAGCTCATTAACCTGAGAGTATTGCGTGGCTCAGACCTTTGTGATGTGAACGAGAATAACCCAGTTCTGTTTTCTATCACCTCCTCTTCCCTCACCCGCTCTCTCCAATCTTTTTAACTGGAGCTAGTAATGGGAAGATAATGAGGGACCCTTGTTAGTTATTCTTTCCCTCCTCAATCTGTGATGGGAAAAAAAGTATGCAGCGACCGTTATCCAATCAGCTTCTGTCTGGGCCATGCAATTAAACAGTCGCCAGATTGTTTGTCAAATGTTTCCATGATGGGTGCCACACCTTGCAGCATCCACCACCATTAATTGAACCTGCTGTATTAAGCTCCCTGCCATTCAACTATTCACCAGCAAGTCACAGGGAGGGAAATGCTTTCAAGCATCCAGTGATTTTTGGCAAAGGCCCGACCGCTGATCCCCTAAGAAATTTAGCTTTGGAGGAATACAAGCCACTTAAAATGTGAAATTGCAACACAAAAAGCATTTAAAAGGGGGTAATTTTCTGCCCCCTGTGGCAAATTGTGCTCAGCATTGGCTTGGTACTGTGGTAGCTGGGGGGACAGGGACCGCTAGTGGCATATAATAACTCGCATTCTGACATTAACATCTTAAGGGCTGCTAGTGGGTGAGACAAGGGCCAAAGATTGCTCTCTGCTCAGTTCATTACCACAGGCTTTCCTGGGAATGTATCTAATGATGCCATGTTCCAGCAGGATGAAGAAGAGGAAGAAGGAAAGAGCAGAGAGGGGCAGGATTTAGTTTTATGGGAGTAGAGAGAGAATGAATAAAGTAAAGATACTGGTTAGTTCCTTCTGGTTCTGCTCTTTTAAAACATTGCCCTAATCAAAGGAGCCCAGTAAGATTGCATCTAGGGGCTCATTTCCCAACGGACATCACAATCAAAGAGGGGATGTGAGGGAAAAAAAAAAAAAAAAAAAAAACAGCTTGGTGACTGATGATAGTAAATGAGAATGTCTGTTTCCTGTTTTCCATTACCCAGGCGCAGCAACCACAAATTACAAGTCAACGTCTCAATTATGCTCCAGCTTAGCATAGCATTATTACCCAGATACAGGTGTGAAATATATACAGTAGATGTACGCTTAAATGGTAAGAAAATGTCTGACTTTCAAGTTTTTTTATTTATTTTTTCTTTCAAAAATTCTGAGACAGTAATGATGAAATAATGATGTACGTAAAGTTGTAAAACTAAAACAAAAAGTGCATTAACTTTCGCTTATAACACGTCCAAACTAATTTCCAACCCAATTAATAAATCAGCAAAGCTGGCCTCACATTTTTAAAGTAAAGTAAAGGTGTTGTCATAAACTTTACTTTGTCAGATGACTTTGTATCATTACATAGTAATAGAATCAATATCTCGGTGCAAAAGTGCAGGAACTACGGTTTGCCTAATGCACAGGTAGCATTTAAGAGCTGCAATCAAATCACTACACTGATACTTGATACGTGGTTTAGACAGGTTCACACCTGACCCCTACCAACCGCGTTTATCACATTTCCACATCTGCACATAGAGCAAATGATGTGCGGCCAATTGTTAAAACTGAATTTCATTTAACTATCAACTGTAGCAGCAAAGAGTCTAATCAATCCGTCCATGGCCTCAGAGTCTATGTAATCAACACCAATAACTCAACAGCTCTGTTTACATACACTCATCTCATGCTGCAAACAGCTTCATTGATTAACGGTGGGAGTTATGGGCTCATTTACGTGATTACAACTTAAAGAAAACAGTGGGCCTGCCTGGAAGTGCTGATTGGGCCTCGGCCTACGATAAACATATATCCGTCAGAGCAGGAATGAATCCCTTGCTTTTGCAGACTCCACACTTTGTCTTTGCGGTGTGGCTCCCTATTCATCAGGGGAGGTGAAGTGGAAATGCAATAGCATCTATTCCCCTCGCTCTATCACAGCGTCGCTGGATACAGATCATATATTAAAAGAGAGTAGATTAGATGAAGGGAGCGAGCGAGAGACCCCCATCCTTTTACTCAAGTCAACCCTCCACTGTTCGTTACAAGAGAATAAGTTATTAATAAGGTTATGAACGGGAGCTAGACTAAATTACAATATATATGTATTACACCAGTGACCCGAGCCATTGCACTGTGAGGAAGATTCAAAAGGTACTAGCTCCTAATCTACTTCTTCAGGTAGCAGGGGCACAGGGGAGGCTATCGCACAGAACTTGAAGTGAATACTTGCAAGAATTCAAGGACAGTTCCATCTTTTGTGTTGCGTTACACCAGGTACGCATTCATGCCGGGAACAGGTGGTAAACACAGAAAGCCAACTAGAACTGTCATTATTCTAACTACATAGGGATCTACATCTGAAGTTGCTCAAATGTCTGGTTTTCTGACCATCCTTGAGACAACTCTACATCGAGGGCTGCATGGGTTACACAGAGAAGGTCTGCAAATGTAAATGAGGGGTTACAGTAAATGTCTGTTTTCTAATTTGATGCCTCACCGGGTCCATCAAGTTTTCACTGAGCTGTGTGGCCTGATAATCAGACTGAATTACCATTTTGTTTTCACTTAAACGCTGAGAAAATTAGACATCAGGGGTGGGGTGGGGGTGGGGGGGGTCAGGGGTCTGGAACCAGGCAAGGGTGGCGCTATGTTCTCTTTTGAAAGTTACATAATAACATGGATGAAAGGGCTGGGTATAGGCTACCCAGGTCCATGGCGTTTGTTTGTGGGAGATGTTAATTAACAAGCCCATTCTGGGGAAGCTCTGGATGTGCACAGGTCTTAGCAGTCTAAACTTGCTGAGGCAATCTTACCATACAACTGCAACCACTCAGTGGTCACAAAGTGAGAGACTTACATCATTGAAAAACAAGGTATAGCTCACCTGGCCATTGCCACTCCAAACACACAGCCACCAACAGTCGACCAGAAACCAATCCAACCTGCATCCACCTGTATAAAAAAAGAGAAGATAAAGAGGATGGTGGATTAAAAAAAACAATAAAGTAAGAGAGAAAGAAAAAAGGAGAAGAGACAGGGAGAGAGAGTCGTGAAGCAAAGGGAAGATTATTCAGTGTTCAACATGCAATTCATGACTGTGGGGACAGAGCGAGACAGAGAGCAAGCACTAAGTGTCTGAAGTCTGCTGAGGACTGTCAGTCAGTGTGTCTGGCAAATTGTCGGGCAGCATTGCTATAAGAACAGCTGTGCGTGTGTGTGTGTGGGTGTGTGTGTAAGATCGTTGTCCTTTCTTATTTATCCTGGTGAAGGCCAACACATACACTGCCATAAACTCAGGAGAAACAACGCTATGGCCAAGGGACTGCAGCAGAATCAATACGAGGTGAAGTGTACCACACGTACGCACACACACGCGCACACACACACACACACACACACGCAAAACCAATCAGCTTGTGGCACCCAGGCGAGAACGTCTCCGGGTGCCAATGAAGGTGTTTGGTTCCCATCCATCTCCCCGAGGCAATAACTCACATTCAACCAAATTCAACCAGATGGAAGATGAGACAGCAAGGGAGCAGAATCTAAAGTAGGATCTGATGCTTTTTGCTTAATCATACTCTGCAACGACCTGTCAGGAAAGTCTATAATGAAGAAAAGTGGACTATCAAAGTTATTAAATGTAAAATGTATTCTGGCTGAGTAAGTGATGAATGCCAAAATGTTATTATATTTGATCTAAATTACACTCCTCTGAGTGTTCTGTGCCGGCCAGCCGCCTGTAATATGCTAAAAACTCATCGGGAAGGCACGCATGGCTTGAGGTGAGGCGAAATGCACCTCCCCAGTAAATGGCGCTGATCAAAATATTTGATTCACAAACATTTTAAACTCCCACTACCCTATTGGCCCCTATAACTGCTGCTTATTATCTATGTAGGCTGTGCAGCACCAATGTAAGGGCTTCTAAGGCGTATAATGCCACATTGGTTTGTGCACCAATTTAGGAAGCTAAACATAAATTGCTTGCCAAGCCATTTCAATTCTGAGATGCAAATTACTATGTTTCATGTGCGGGTGGAGAGGTAATTAACTGCAGTATTCTTAGTGCCTTGGAACCCTAAAAAAAGGACAGATTTGAAGCTTAATCATGTCTGCTATATTGCGATTGTGTCAATAAGCTGGAGATGACTAGTGCTAGGGAAGGGAAAGCCAGGTCTTCTGGCTCTTGACACATTAACGTGTTTGAGTTCCTTAATTTTTCTCTCTGAATCTCTTGTTATAAGCCATTTTAAGCCAATAATCAAAGACCTTATCCTTAGCTTTAGTTCAACATGGTATTCCTCCTTCAAGTCACTTCATGTAATCCCAGAAAATCCACAAAACAGTCTTCAGTAAAAAGCAAGTGTTTTGTGTGAAGGCAGAACATGCATTCTAATAAAGTTAAACACTGCTCTGGAACTTCGCAAGTGGTTTAGTAATGGAATAAAAACAGCAATCACACTAAAAAGGAAGCAGGACACATTGGATCAGTCTGTAGTTCTGTGCATTATAAATGGCTCATCTCCATTAAGAGAACAATTACACATGACTGATGATCACAGTGCAGTACCTGTTTCCTGAGTCATACTCATTATGGTAATGCTAAGGTCTGCGCTCAATCCTTCTGTCTGGCTGTCTGGCACATTTCTACTCAAACGCCAGGAGTGCAGTGTTTTTATAAGAGCCTTTACTATCCCACTTCTTCATCAAATCCAAACCAATAATTATACACCTTAGCATTGTCAAACCATCTCACTGTCCTTTTGTGTTTCAATGGCACTTCTGGTCCTGGTTTCACCCTAACTTATACCTCCTACCTAATACAATTATAGTCATGTACAACCCATTCCTCCAATCTTGTTTCATTGACTGGACTCCGGGTTTGACAACTCCTAACTAAAATTAGCTTTTTTGATGAGAAGATGTTGGAAACATTTCTTTGCGGTTCTGGTCCATGTTGACATGACTGCATCAGATCACATCTGCAGATTTGTCAGCTGCACATTCATGCTGCCAATCTCCTGTTCTACCCCAAAGGTGTTCTGCTGGAATCAGATCTGGTGACCGGGGAGGCCACTGAAGAACACAGAACTTGTTCATGAAACCAGTCAGACGACTTTTGATTTGTAACATGGTGCATTATCACACTGGAAGTAGCCATTAGAGGATGGTAAATTGTGACCATAAAGGGACACACGTTGTCAGCAACAATACTAGGGCTGTGGAATTCAAACCATGATTGATTGCTATTAAGGGACCAAAGTGTGACAAGAAAACATTCCCCGCACCATTACACCACTAGCAGCAGCCTGGACTGTTGACACAAGGCAGGTTGGGTCCATGGATTCATGCTGTTGATGCCAAATTACCCTCCCATCTGCTGCCTCAGCAGAAATCCAGATTCATCACACCAGGATATGTTTTTGCAGTCTTCAACTGTCCGGTTTTGGCGAGCCTGAGTCTGAGCACGCAGCAGCCTTACGTTTCTGTTCTTGGCTGACAGAACTAGAACCTGACGTGGTCTTCCGCTGTTGTATCCCATCTGCCACGAGGTTCAATGTGTTGTGCATTCCGAGATGGTTCTCTGCTCGCCACGGTCGTGAACGGTGGTTATCTGCGTTATTGTAGCCTTTCCATCAGCTCTGGCCACTCTCCTCTGACCTCTCAACAAAAAGGCATTTACATCCACAGAACTGCCGCTCACTGGATGGTTTTTTTTTGTCTTTGGCACCATTCTGAGTAACAACTCTAGAGACTATGTGAAAATCCCAGATCAGCAGTTTCAGAAATACTCAAACCTGGCAGCAACAATAATGCCACGGACAAAGTCACCGAGATCACATTTTTTCCTCATTCTGATATTTGATGTGAACATTAACTGAATCATCAACTGAAGTGGGTTTAAAGGTGTCCCTAATAAAGTTCTCAGTGAGTTACTGTACAAATAACAGCCAGAGCCTTCCTCTATAGAGAGGTTTTCAGGAGAGAACTCCAGTTTCCCTGATGCAGGCAAGGTCACTTCTTGGATGTACCATGTCAACATGAAGTGAGCACATGTTCCCAAAGTGTGCCTGAATCTGTATCCTATACTTCCATCTCCTTTCTTCTAGAGTCCATCCCTGGTTTTTACGTTGCACTCAAACTCAAATGTCACTCCAAAACAAGAGCTAGGAGCTGAGGAGTTGGTGTGGGACTTGGTTGTAACACCTAGTCATGGTAGTTGCCAATTACTCTTTCCACCACTGCTTCACCAAGGATCCACCCAGTTTCCTAAACATACATTTCCTAGACATTTTCAAGACAAGAGTAAAAACCCCCCTAAAGCTTTCAAAGTGTGCATTCAGAATCCTATGGGTGACATCACAGTTGCTGTCTACATGTTTAACTCACAGTGTGTTTGCAGTATCTTTAGGCTGTTGTTTAATTTCCATTGATGTTCACACTGGCCTTGTATTTATGAAGCCACAAACATGAAAATTTTGAAATCCATTTCCATGTGCCTTCAGCCCAATACTTTGTCACCCTCAAGTTACTACAATCAGTTTTTGCATCACTCAAAACCCTGCTAACTTTCCTAGCATAGTGTCAGTCAGACCACTGCGTCTCCTCCTGCTGTGCCATTTGCCAGCCAGCCGATCCCTGCATGTCTCTGTTCGTCTGTCTTTCATTTATTTAAATCAACCCTTGCAAGTTTCTTCTGGGTTATATTTAGTCAATCTTCTCCCCTGGTCGCAGCAGGACATGGCTTAGTGCTGGATCACTTTTTGTCATTTGTAGTGTGCGTGTTTTAACACTATGATTGTTTTAGGACCCTCAGCTGTGGATTGGGCACAAGTTTGTTTGTCCAAATCAGTTTTAGAGAGTAGACGGCAGCATTTGTCTCATCCGACAACAACTATACATGCTGCCTCACAGCAGCCATGGTCACCTCTCAATCAGACCACATGGCTAGCTGGAAAAACAGATGACAGAAGCATCTTTATCTTTGGGGAAGAACCCTGAAGAACAGCTCAAAGAAAAATGCTGTAAAAAGATGGGGAGGGAGGGCAGAGAGGGGAGGGAAGATGAAGCGAAATCTGGAAACAGACTAAAGATAAATGACTGCATGAAGCAGAGGTAGAAGAAAGTTGTCAAATGTGTGCATTTCAGAACACTGAAAAAAGCATTTGGTATTTGCAGTACAGAAGTCATTATTCGAAAATAAGCGTGACAGCGTGCAGCTCCAGACCGGCTTCTGTGAGAGGGAGAAGAGATGGACAGGAAAGGGAGGGAAAGAAAGAGATCTCCAAAAGTAGATGAAAACCTCCAACTAGGGCAGAGTGGAAATAAACCAAGATGGCTGGAAGTTGGCACGTAGGTGGGATGTATTGCATCAGATCCAAGTGTGGCCTGTGAGCATAAATGAAGGGATTTAAGTGATGCACTTAGGCGAAAACGAGCGCACTTGCATCCCACCCATTTGCAGCAGGATCTGGTCTGCATAGATAGTGCCAGCGTGAGGCACGCTTTATATCATAACAGACTGACACAGGCTTCACAATCAGGATGACCTCTGCTCCCGTACAATGGAGCAATTATCCGCAAAGGAAAGGAGTACCAAGGTATACACATCCGCTTGTGAGTACACTTTCATGTAACCACCCACCTGCTTCAAAATGAACATATTATGGGAAACCACGAGGAAATTAATAGAAAGTATGAAATTGCCCTCTTGCTATCATCTTTTTGTGCCTTGGCCTGAGGCTCTTACTGCATATTTTAAATTACCAGACAAACAGTCAGTCTCAGTAGCATTTTTCGAATGAGAGGAAGATAACAAAAGGGAACAGAGCAGAGCAAAAATGTTTGTTCCAGTGCAAGTGCATGGGAGCTCATGGAGAGAAAGAGGGAAAAGGTCTACACACATCACATCTTGTGCAACATCTCTCTGCACTGTTTTTGGATCTGACAGAATCAACAAAGCTTACAGCAGATAGGAAAGCGGGATAAGTTAAACCTATGATTTGGATCTGCGGAGGCACAGTGAGCTTAAAAAGAAGACGCTGTGTTTGCTTTTCCTCAGTTTAACTTGACTTTAAGAACAAACATCTCCATGTCTGAAGAACAAAGAACATTTCCAGAACTCTTCTTAATACTCTTCCATTTCACCATGTTTGGATGCATCACTGTTCTGGTCCATTCATTTTCTAAGCTCCAAGTTTTGTACCCATGAGATATCCTGTAACATAGCTCACCTCACTGCAACAGACTTTTATTCTTAACACACTTTTATCTCCTTAACTAGCATGGATAAAAGGAATGTGGAGGAGAGGAAAAAAATCTTTTGAGAACAAATGAAATCTAAGAACAATTTGGTATGCGCTCTGCTACCTCTTGACAGGGGTATAAAGATAGAGGTGTGACGAGAAGTGTCTCATCCTTCGCTCTCCTGTGTGTGATCTCCTCTCAAGCAGCACCTGTCTGATGATAACCTTGAAAAGATCCTCCCTTTGTCTTTCGACATACTGCTGTGTTGAGACCTGGAAGATGGAAATGATACAGACCTTCTTCTCCAACCTGCACCCCACCCCCCCCACCCCCACTCAACTTGCCTTCCTCTTTTGTCTGTCTCAGACTGAAGATGGAAAGCAGGCATGCAAATGATGAATTGCAGTTGATTGGGCCCCTTCACAAAAGACGGACAGAAGTGCTGAGTGTGATTAACAATCATTTCCCTCTTTTTTTCTTCTTTTATTTTTAGGTCCCTAGAAATATGGCTGAATCTGTTTTTTGTACAGTGAAGGACATCATTTTTGAACTTTAAAGTGTATTCAAAAGAGGGTAAGAGCGAGTTAATAAAGCACTGCAGAAAAGTTCAGCTGTCAGGAGGCCTTCTACACAGAAATACACTTTCTCATTATAGTACAGGAGCCTTGGGGTTAATTATCCCTCAGCATCTCCAGTATTTCAGATCTGCTTTAAAATGCAATGTGTGCTTTCTGTGCGTTGACTCTAAGGAGCATCGACTGGACAAATAACAGGCCTCACTCTCTTGAAGGCATGACGACTTTCTTCAAGACACAACCAGGAGGCCGAAGAGAAATCTTACCGGATATTTATCCCATTGTTCATCTGAGTGGGCTACACTTGTGTAAAGATCTGCAAATAGCTGGCACAGTGAGGGTTTTCAAAACGGGAAAATCAAACCTGGTGAATGGAATGGTAAGCTACTCGCGCTGCTTCGTTTTTTATGCAGAAATACACGATGGCTGTCTTTTCATTCTATTCTTGGGTGCAACATCCACCTAAAGGGTAACCAAGATGAAAAGTAAAGTGTTGAGTAGAATAAGTGCTGACCTAGTCTGCACATTTTCACAAAAAGCGGCCAAAATAGCAGTATTGACTACGGATTTTACCTTTTTGATGGAGTGGTGTTTGGAAAGTCTTCCCACACAAACATTTCTTGGCAAAGTGTGCACTTGAAAAAAAAGCCCACTCATAGCTACTATATTCAGTGCTGTTAGTGACCTTGGTTTACTGATGTTCTTTTTATCCAAACCTAATACATTACCAAGATTAAAGGTGATATGTCATTCTGTGTGTGTGTGTGTGTGTGTGTGTGTGTGTGTGTGTGTGTGTGTGTGTGTGTGTGTGTGTGTGTGTGTGTGTGTGTGTGTGAGTGTGAGTGAGTGAGATACCTACCTGACTGACTTTGGCTGGTGTAAGGACCATGTCAAGGACTCCTGCCCAGCCGGCAATCACTCCTGTGGGGACTGCATAGGCCAGCGCTATCATCAGGAACCGCAGGTTACTAAAGGGGACAAACCCACATTAGAGATTCAAGATTGATGCACTCTCAACAAAGTCTTGTGACTAAGTTGTTTGTGTACTGATTCTCCCAGCAATATGAATATGGCTGAGTTCTCTGACCATGTGTGTCTTGGAACCATTAGATTAGAATAATATCCATAACATTAACCTTAAATCTTCTATATCTTCTATAATCTTCTATGCTGGACAACACATCATTCTGTGAAAGGACAGAGGGTCACTATGCTAGCCTCTAGTTTATTTTTTAACTATAGCCACTGACTAAAGTTCTGTAAAAACATACTGTTAAAATCAAGTACAGTCCACATCCTAACAGCTCTGGCCTGAGATGAAAGAGTGAAAGCAACATAATGAAATTCCTCCTTCCCCTCCTGTTCACTGGTGTTTGGAGGTCTGCCATCAGCTCCAGGTCTTTTTTACTAGTCTTCCCTATACTGTGCACACACACACACACACACAATTCCTCCTGCTTCTGTCACAGCAAAAGATCTATCCTTATGCAGAGCGTAGTGACAGAGCGATAAGCATCTATCTGCACATAGTGGGCAGAGCTGCCAAAATAAAGCTGAGGTGTCACAGAGGGCAACATGCACCTAAACTGAACAATACGGTCCAAAGCTGCTCTCCAAGCTCCATGGTCGTGTGGTGTTCAACAGATGGAGTGAGATGTCCTCTGATTCATTCACTGGATGAGTGAATTGATAATAAATTATATATCATAAAAGACTTAACAGAATTAATTCACTCTGGTTTCCGCAATAACGAATCAAACAACTCAAAAACCTCCCTGAAGCTGAAACCGGTACCACGGTAACTGTGACTATTACAGCAACTACTGCGGCTGACTCTCAGTATATTCAGCATCAGCATATTTAAAAAGTGTGGAAACATTTATTTGTTGATATTATTCCCTATAGAATATAATATTCATTCTTGAGATATAAGTTTAAATGGTAAATTCCAGTTTGATAGCACTGTTTAATGGAACTATTCCTACTATTCAGTGAAAATGGGGGAGGACGATTAAAGGTGTTCTTATACATGTAAAAAAGAATTCTCTCCTGTGCTCCCTGGGATTATTTATATTATATAATTATCTATCAATTATTTTTAGATTAACCAATTAGACATTTAGTCTATAAAACAATAGACTATAATAAAAAATACCTGTTATAATTTCCTAGATCGCCAGGGGATCTTTACATGACCAACAGTTTAAAACCCAAACATATTCAATATATTTCCAGTTTATCAAAGTGCTCACATTTAAGAAGCTCAAACCAGAGAATAGTTTGCATTTTGCTTGATGAATGACTTTATTACTGATTATTAAAACTGTCACCAACTATATTTACACTGAGTTTTTAAATCGGGTAATGAAACCAAGTATTGCCAATGAATAGTTGCTGATCAAGTTATCAGCTAAAATCAAACTGCACAATAATAGATGAAAACAAGCACCATTTCCCAGCTGTGATAAATGGCTTTAGGCTACAGATATTGTGCTGCAGGGTTTATTACGAGCTGTCTGCTAATATCTCATCAGCTCACAGCGAACTGTGTACAGCAGGGCGAAGAAAAAAGAAAACAGACACCTCTGTACACCTCGTTATGTATGCGTATTCAGTGTACAAACAGAGAGCGCACCTCTTTAGGGTATATGGCCCCCCTCCAATCACATGCAACCCAATTACAATCACTTGGAACACCCACGCTAATCACCTTCGCCCAATGAGGTGGCTTGCTGATTTAAATCAGTGCCACCTCCTCAACCCCAACAATGTGATTAGAATCACTGGGCGTCTGACAAATGAGGCAGAGCTGGCAGAGCCGGCAGCAGATTCATAGATTGTTTTGTTTTCTTTGCTCTCCTCTTTTTTGTTTATGGACACTGTTTAACATTTATTCTCCACCTGCTTTGTTCATTATAATGCAGGCGGTATCCTGAGCAGTATCGTGCAGGGACATCTGGAGAACACTTTTGGCCTCCCGCATCCCTACTATGGCATCAAACGCTCAAACACACTGACAGATCAAGTTCACACACACACTTCAAGTCAGTCTTTGAGTTGCAAACTGTGGGGGGAACTTGTCCCAAGATACATACACTGTACAGCAAAAGCATTGTTGCTTTAAACACATGCACACCCTTCCCCTTTCCTGACACTGGTGTACTTCAGACAATGAATCACTTCTATTTGCAGAATGCTTTGACTCCACAGAAAAACAAACACAGCCTGTCTCTCTACTGCAGCCCTGTCTTGTCCTAAGCAGTATGAAGCTACTTGGCCTTGGAGAGAGAATGGAGGGACGGTCATAAAAGCCCCATGATGGAGCACCCTCTCTGCTTTTCTCCCAGCACCCCTTTCATTAACCTTGCCACAACAGCAGGAAATCGATATCCAGGCACCTTTTTCTCTGTCTGAGAACTTATTTAGATAACCAAATGTAAGCAAGCTACTGGGTAAGAGAGGGGTCATTTTTCCCCCTTCCCTTCCTGCTGGTGATGAAATATTTCCGAAGAAGTCACAAAGCTGGCGGCGTCATCAGCTAAGTGCCATTTGTCCTTGGCAGACCCGGCTGGAGATCAATGCATCAAGATGACAACTTTCGAAGCTAAAATGAGTATGACCGGGGAGGGAGGGATCATCAATACTCTAGGCTTAGGGCTGTTTAGCATTCCCTCAGACTGTGATCAGAATACAATGATAACTTTACACCATGTGTAGAGACATTCAGGCTTCTAATTAGACTGCTGCTGTGGAAGCAGATGTGAACAGCTGGAAGCTCTCATCAAGCTGAAGATCATTAACCAGTGCTCATACCCTGACAGGCTAAATGGATGAACAGATACATCAATGGATAGGTATCAGGCGCGCTAACTGGCTAGATGGCTGACACCTGCTGTCATTGTGGAGGGCACAAATTGTTACCATTTTGTCAGCTTCTGCAGAAACAAACTTTACTCGGAATGCACCAATCAACAATGATACTGACCTTATTAAGCAGATCAGGTATCATACAGATACGACTAATCAACTTTAAATACAGTTTCTTCATCGATGTCATTATAAAGTTACCTAATAACATTAATTAGGTCACGACCAACTTAGTTTTTAGTCCCACTGCCATCCCTGGCCTCATGTTACCTTCCATAAAAATGGTCCACCTCCACCGATAGACACTTGGGAGGAAGTACGCTCAGCGGCACAACTAGTTACATGCTCAGATGCTCTCAACACCTGGAGAGAATTTAAGAGGAAGGACTACAAGCAGGTTTTTCAGAACACCACATATAACAGCTGAAATAAACTCTTCTGCTTCAGGCGACTGGAGGAACTGTGGTGCACAGGCGGGCAACCATACACACACATTCTGCTCATGCGCAAAACTGGAAAATGGTTCCAATCTATTAGGGAAACAATGCATCTTTACACCCCACAAGACCCAAGTTTCTCTCTGTTACCTGAAGAGACAGAAGGAAGGAGCCAAAAGTAATTACTCCTGACCCTCCCGCCTACAATTAATAGACACAAAAATTATGAGACAGATATAAAATGTAACAAATTACTCATCATTGAGGCTTCAAAAAACCCAAATTTATTAAGAGATGGAGCCCAGCCATGACATTACTAATGCAATAAAATAAGCTTTCATCTTTATCACTTCACTTTCCTCACCAGCTAATCATCTACTCTGATGTTTGGACTGGGCAAGTAGAATAAAGTGGGTTTATGAGGGAATTTTACTTGACAACAGCTTCCTGTTACACACTGAGATGTGGCCAATGAACGCAGTGAGAGTTAATGTGCTGTAAAACCAAAACAATGGGCGAAACAAGACTAAAAATGTAAAAATATTAATTAGTGGAGCTTTAAATTTTAATTCTTTTGCCTGACGTGTTTCTGTTATTATGTCTACCTCCTGTATGAGTGCACATGGACACAAAGACTTAAAAGTCACTTTTCCTCCATGTCCAGTCCCTTCAGAAGAATTCTAAGGCTTGATGCTGCTGGACCGAGATACAACATGCTGCCCAAACAGGTCGCTGGAAGGCTGCCTATCAGAAGTGGAACAGAAACCCTCTTAGCTGGATGGCCTAGTTAAGTTGGCCAGTCTGTTTATGTATGTGGATGTGTGTGCATCTTTCCAAAACTATGCATTAGGTTGATATCTGCCTGGTCCCTGTCATCTATCTGAGGGAGCTCTTTCAGCGAGTTAAGCCCGTCTACGCTGGTCAGAGGCCTATAAAAATCCTGGTGCAGTAGTGAAGCTGTTTCTTTCTAAAGGGGACCAAGTGTAGCCAACAAAGCTAGGCCAACTCCCCGGCTGCCATCGCCCAGCTTTCCTCTCCCTTTTCCAGCTCTTTAATCCCTGGCCACTGCCATGGGCCTCATTCCTCCACAAGCCAGGCAAAAGGCAAGACACTCACTCCTCAGGCGATGCTGTTTCCTCATGGCCCAGAGGATAAATATTTCCTCAGTAGAAAGTGTGAGAAGGGGGGTGGAGTGCTGCAGGGTTATAGTGAACTGTGATTCAATCACTGTCTCTAGATTTCCTCTTAGCTCTCCCCTTATCCGTTTCACAGGGAGGGAAAAAGACAAAGGTGATGAAACATCAATAACTGCATTCCACTAATACTGAAATTCAAGACCTTGTCATAATATATCATCTCTCGATTTCTGTTACCACATGCATCAATGGTGTTTTGAGAATGTATCGATTACTGAACCTGATGGTATAGATGCAGAGGATGATGCAGTGGATGATGCTGCGACCAATATATTATAGCTTAGTAATTAATCTAGAGGGAAGGCTGGGGTTTCTTTGATAACAACCCAAGCAGATGGTGAGTGGCAGACCCCTTCATTAAGATTCCATATCCTTCTCCAGCGCAAGACTCTGTCACTTTAACTTTCTAAGACAAGAAGCGTGCATTGCATCAGTAAATAAGAAGCCAAACTAGACCAAATGGATTTGTAGACACAGCAGTTATTGAGCACTGAAGGTGCTGCAGAAATCTGCTCCTGACTGCTCTGTTAGAGTCTGATGTCGTAAAACATGACAGCACCTGAAACTAATTTCAAATGCAGCGCTGAAGCTTCACTTGTTTTACACGTCTACACCAAAATTGAATCAAGGACACATCAATTTAGGCATGCTGAATAATGTACTGAAAGAATGGCCTCAACAAACCGTGTCAGATGGTATTGGTCTTTCAGATGACTTTGTGTGTATGTGTGTCAGCATGTGTGAGTCGGTTTTTACCTAAGAAGTCTGCAGATGCTGCTCCTGTAACTGAGTCTCTGGCTCGCAGCGGCCACACTGGGAGGCATCGGTGGGCGTGATGGGAAATAGAGCAGGACTGCCACAAAAAGCACGGCAATTGCAGTCAACTCTGCCGGAGCACAGCGACAAAGATAAAAGACATATGTGTTATCTTCATAGATAAGACAGTCAGACCAATTTGACATTTTAAAAAAGGTCACAGTGACATCTCAAAAGTCCTTTAAAACCAGCCTTGGAATGAACACAATGGCCTGCTAGACATGACCATAGACTAAATACATGTCCTTGTAGCACTGGTTGATATATCAACTTATTTCTCTTGGTGAACCAACACATTTTACAGCTCTATGTCATATATGTATGTATATGTATATATGTATGTATATCGCTGCTTAAAATGAGTTGTCCCCACAATAATCATAATCATATGGAGAGGTAGCCGGTTTCTACTGTGCAAATTTTAAAGTGCTTTCTATGTCTGTCCTTTCTGTCTTTTGATAACCTCCAAAAAACTTTTGGTTCACAAAGGGTGCCTGCTTCGTCCTTTAAAAATAAATAACAATACTACCTTAGGTTAAACAAAAGCCGCAGCCTCAATCTATTACAGCATGCTTGTTTCTCTTTTCAGCGTGCTTTTAATTTTCTGAATCAGTTAAGCATAACAGTCCCAGCAATCTATTTTTCAGAGGGGCGGTTATGAAGATTATAATTGGAGTTTTTTGGTGTTCGTGCAAATATCTTGGATCCCTTCGCCTGATTGTATTTGTGTCCCTTGACGGGGTTGACATGATGTCGAAATGATGTGCTATCGATCCTCCGTGCCCTCAAAGGTTCTCCCTTGCTGTTGGTACCTGCATACATAACCAGCTGGATCCTGTCTCGGATGGAGCTGTCGGAAACTGCTGCTGCCATCGTGGTTGCTGCCTGGGTGTCATTGGGGGCTGGCACTACCATAGGTCCAACTACAAATGAAGCCGCGCCTCCCAGGTAGGAGAAGAGTGAGGCCACAGCCGTTGCTGTAGCTCTCTGGTCAGGAGCGAACCATGTTGTGGAGAGGTAGGGGCCGGCGCTCATTATGGTTGGGCCGGCTAAACCATTCAGAAACTGACCTCCGTGTATCATCCTGTAACAGAGACAGAAGGAGGAAATAGCTTCAAATCTTCACTATAAACAACAAACAAAAAAAAATCACATATTGTAAGGAAGTGATGTGGTGTAGGTACAAACATCTGTGCGGCACTTTGGGCTTTTCTTTGAACAGCAAATATCAATATCAAAAATTACAATTTTCCACAATATAGGGAGTAATTTAGATGTCACGTAAAATAATAATAATTAGGTTAATACATTCTAACACTGACACCAGGCTAAGTTTATCTGGCTAATTAAAGTCTAATTTCAGTTAGCCAGATGTGGAAAATGCAGTTCTCTTAGCTCAGCTGCTTTCAGTTACTATAATCAAGTTTAGTCTCTGAAAGGTTGAGTCTGCATTGTGTGGCTCTATAATGGCCTTTAAACGCAACTATCAGTAAAATCATGACAATGTGATTGATATGATATGTAACTTTACATTGTCCCTGGCCAGATGTGAGATTTCCGCTTCCAGCTGTTGCAGGGACACTGCACAAAATCACAAAATCAAAGTTGAGGACTTTTATTTGATTAGGAAAAGTGTAATGCAGGGTTTTCATGATGCGTGTTGACCCTGTAAACCTTTCTTTTGTGTGCAGCCTATTTATAATACACTGTTAAACAAAGGTAATCAGACATGACTGCAGCAGTGAGCCTGTCATCAGTGTATTCATTAAGTTAAAAATAAACATCAAGTAATGATGCATTTCTTATAAAAATCTGATGGAGTAATGACAGGTGAAAGAATGAAAATAAGGTGCAAAATCTCCAGGGAAGTAAGTAACAACCTGACCCTGAGAGAGTCCAAGTTATAGTCTCACTTTCAGACCGAGCTGTGCAAGACAGATGTACTCAGAGATGTCCCCCGATGGCACCAAACCCCTCACCACCACCACCCGGCCCCCTCCTGCACTGTCTAACTGAGACAGCCAGCCGCCAGAGACAGGGCATGGCTGATTGATTGTCTGTGAGCTCAGTAAAGACACCTTTCATTCAGAGCAGTTTGAGACGGCTCAGCAGGGAGAAAAGGAGAAACAGGAAGGAAGGAAGGAGGGAGGGAAAAGGCAGAAAGAGAGAAATTGATGAGGTAGAGAGAGGAAAGGACAAGGAGGGATTCTGGGCTAATTCTAAGTATTTGATGTTCAAAAATATTCGGTATATTCGCGTGCAGATTGTAGGTTTGACAGCTAAGAGTCCCCGCTGATCCTTACTAGATGTTTACCAGCCGCAACAGCATGTGGCTGCTATTGTTTTCATCTTGTGAGTCTGTGTGTTGTGACATCTGTTGTGCCCTTTTAAATATTTTGTTAATACCAACTGGATGAAATATATCACCAGTTAGTTAAGTGAAATAATTTTGGAAGTAATAGATGTAAGCGTATATGACCAGGATGTATGATAATCAGTGGTCCCCAACCAGTTCCAGCTCATGGCCATGACTTGAAAATCTCAAACATCAGACCCCATAACAATACGGAGCCCAAATAAAGCCTCAGAGCACTTTTTGTTTTAATGATAACACTTGAACATTAGGACTGAACTGAAAGCAGAGGAAGCTCAATTCTTCTTTTCTGTTTGACGGGGGAGACACCATCTGTCTCTTAATGCTTTTTCTTTTCATTCATCCTGTCGCTAACCAGTTAGCCATTTTGATACTCCAGCGTTTGCCATAGATGTAATCTTTTAGTGCACAATCACACTGAGCTAGAAAACAAGTATACAATGTGGTCTGGCAGCAAAGTGGTCCAGCAGGACCTATCCAGTTTCTATCATTAGCTTAACAGTGAAAGGAGTTTTTAAACATTATCAATGTTTTTAAAGATAATTTTGTTTTAAAACATTTCTATTTTTATTTCAATTTTTTTTTTTTATATAATTACATCTTTTTGCAAATGATTTGTCAGTCCCCTTGCAATACCTTTGCAGACCACCAGTGGGCCCCGGCCCACAAGTTGGGAACCACTGTTCTAAAATATTATTATTAAGATTTAAAATATTATTCAATAAGACCTTGGTTTAAATAAGACGATTGATAAGACTGTTTCAGGATTTGCTGAGACCCTGAGAGACTAATAGCTGCCATCCTTTTGGCATCCATCACTGTCACTGCAAAAACCATCAATATGACCATTTTAAAAATTCACCTGTGTGGGGATGACAAGTACATTTTAACACACCACAATACTAGTGCTGATATGACACTGAGGTTTTGGTACTGATACCATAACCAAGTATGAACATGTTTTTCTACAAAACCATTAAATGTTGTCTAAACACAAGCAGCCAGATATGAACTTTGTCTACCTAAAATACAGTTTAACACTGGCAGATTATTTTTCTTAAATCAGGAACAATCTGATCAAAGAATATGTAAACATAATTAAAAACGAAAAAGAATTCAATGCGACTGGAACATTTTGTTTCGGTACCCAAACCTACATTTAGAAAAGCAGCAGTATCTTCAGACATAAAGCAGGTATACACTAGTTTGTTCACTCTTCATTGTGCTTACACTTCTCTGCCTTCTAACTGTTTTTAACGTTGCTGTCCACTGGGTTCCAGGGTTGACAGATAAATGCGTCATGGCAGAATACAAAGTACCGTGGTCGCTGACAGATTGACTGTAGAATAACTTGTTCACCCTATATCTCCTTCCCACATCTCAGACCTGCTAACATCCAAGCCTACACACCAGCACCCTCCAAAAATATTCTCTGACACTTACTTTTTATTCATCCCACTCCTTATTTCTTTGTAGAGTTCTTTGTAATGTGCCTCGGTCTTTATTGCTAAAAATTATAGATATGTGCACATCTATGAGAGTGATTACACACTAGTGTCCTGTTTTGATCATGCATGGGAAACATCATTTACATAGAACACAGAATAACCTGGTTATTCATTTCCCTTTATACATAATTCTACCATTATCAAGGTTTCTGATCTGGCCACCTGCGTTGGTGCAGGCATGTCTTTGATGTCTCCTCGACAGCCAGCCTCTCTGTCATTTCTCTACCAAGTTGCCGCAGCAGTTGAGGGATGAACCCAGTGTCGGGACACTGCTGCATTCACCGCTATGCTATTTTCTTCTCCATCTTATTACAAGTGATGGAAGACAAGAGTGACAAGCGAGAAAATTTATCCTCCACATAATCAGTGCCACACTGTCATTTCACTTCAGTAAGTTATCATCATTACATCATTTGTCAGTATATATATATATTTTTTAAAGTTACCACTTTGTGATTTAGGTCAAAGATGCATCTGCTGTCATGGAAAAAAATATCAGAAACCTAATACCCCAAACCACAATATCCCAGTCTTTAGATAGCATATTAGCATATTCAGGTTTGTCAAAATGTGTGTGAAACCAGAGTATGGTTTCTACACCTTTACATGTACTAAGAACCTCCAGGTTAACAACAGGGTATATTAGTGTTAGGGCTGAACGATATGCAAAACAAACTAATAATGTGATTATTATGACAGAGTCACAATTTCAGTTGGAATGGCCATAAAAATGATGATGCTATTTTTAGTAACACGTTACCTCACACCTGGAGAATATGATTTGTAGGCCAGGGCGTTTCTGTAGCACCACAATGCTTCATTTATGGCATGTTGTGACACATTTTTCCTTTATAAAAAAAAAAACAAACTGCAGCTTCTGTGATTTGGATATTGCAATTTCAATTATATTTCAATTGACTGTTCAGCCCTAATTGGTGTGCATAGAAATGTGCTCCATGTTAAGACGCTGTATTTTTGCAGAATACTAAAATGTGACGTCCTTAGCCACAGATATCACTGGATAAAATGAATGCATGACAAAATGGCTTACTGTTAATCACATGTCACATTAGGGTCATTCGAAGCATCTCTCAACATCTGTGACTGGCAGGTTATGTGTTTGTCCCTCAAATCAATTGGTGCTTAATTCAAGCGCTAGTTCACCACATATTCATTAGCTCTCGATTGGTCAAATCATCCTGATCCGGTTAATCAGGTGTTGGTGCAGAAAGGAAATACAGAAAATAAGCCGTGCTGGGGCTCTGTAGGACCGAGAGTAAGCACCACTGATCTAACTGCTTGGCGTCTCTCCATGATTAAGAAGTTTTTTTGTGGTCTGTCACACTTTGTTAAGTGCAACACTAGGTATATCACTGTGGCTGAGCTCCATTTGGCTGGGCCAGCGTGCCACTTGTTTTGTAATGGCAAGAGTGGAGGCACCGTGAGGTGAGACAGCAGGTAGGATGCTGAATCTATATCAGCTGATACTCAAACAGCAGCTGCAGGTGGAAATGGTAGAGGTAGAAATGCTGTAGTAAAGCAATTTAATCTTTTCACAGCTTTTAACTGTTGGAAGAGACGCTATAATACCTTTTCTATTTGGATTCAGCCACCCATCTGAAATATGTGTTTTCCTTTTTGCTCTGAATGCTGTTGATTCACTTGGTATTTTGTTTACCTGCTGCAGAGAGCCGCTGATTCAAGTCGGCATAGGCATCATCTGACACACTGTAATGGAGTGGACACCACGCCCCAACTAGCACAAGCCGGCATTGTGCCAGTCAGGTGCTGGAGCGCCACTTTTGATCACAGTCTCATTTAGGCCTGGGAAGGGTCCAGATATCAGACTGGTCCACCTGTTGCACTTCATCATGTCATTAGGCACAGGGATTACTCCAAACCCAACACTCAAATCCAGTTTGTCTAAACACTGATTATCAAAGCAACTCAAATAATCTGTCTAATTTAAAACAATAACTGTGGATCATTTGAATTTTTCATCAGTGTTAATACAGTGCCAAAACCTAAATTATACTTTAATCGATATCTTAGTTTTTCTATTTAAGAAAAGAAAACACATTAACAAAACACGCCAAACATGTTTTTACTGTTGTCCCAACTCCCAACACAAATGGCTGCAACATAAAAATTATAAGTTCTAAAATTATAGTTAAAACAGGTATATACCATAACCTGACCAACTCAATGACAGCATTCAGTATCACAGCTTTTGAAACTTTGTGTTACAAAGTTTGGTCAGTACTTTCTAAGTACAGAAGTTCATTATCCTGTCTCAGCGTCTATATGATCTCAGGATGGATGTGAGAAAGAAGAAAATTGCCTTTAATGTGACAGGAGATGAGGACAGATGGTGACTAATATGAGGATGAGCGGTCACACGAGGCAGCCGCACTGTGGTGGGAGAAGGAGAGTGAGGGAAGGGTGCAGCTTTTTTTTTTCCCCCCAACAAGAGATGATTAAGTTAATCAGTATTGATGAACCCTGTCAGACGGAATCTGATCGTGAATGAGACAAAGAAGCCAGCACTGTGGTGAAATCATCTGACTGCTTCTGGTACGCCAGGGCTGACAGACCCAATTCTGCCACCACAGAAAGGCCAGGCCAATTCTGTCTTGAAAATGGCACCACAGCAATTGTCACAGTAATATTACAGCCTGCTGCAGCACCCACAGCATGTTCTGATGGCCAATCAGACAGTGTGAGTGAGTCTGAGATGTCACTGATAGACACTTACTAATCACACAGCTAGTGTTTATTTAAATATATGAGAGAGACAGATGGAGAAAGAGACTGAAAGGGCAAGACAAAAGAGTGAACGCTTGAAAACAAAAAAAAATTGAGGAAGGTAAAAGTTGATGTCTTTGATTTGAGAGCAGACTTAAGCACAGCAAGGTCTAATCAGTGACCACTGATGCAAGAGTGCCTTTTCTGTCCCTGCCTGAACCGCACAAAACAAACACATTCAACTCAACGCTCCTTTTTCAACCATAACTGTAGCAGCTACACAGAAGATTCTGGATATAAAGGAGAGGAAGTTCCACTGCTAACACGTTCACAACTGCCTTTGATTTCTTAAAGAGTCAAAACATAGGCGGTTTACTTCCTTGAGAGGATAGCATAAAAAAGAAGGAGAAAAAAAAAGTAATCACATTTCAAACATGAAACGGCATGCGGAACAAACAGATCTGCAGGGGGCTGTCAAGGGAACTTCACTGTTTCTAAACCTGGATAACTGTCGCCACTTGTCTCCCGATCAGGGGAGCAGGAAACTCAAACGCTGCGTTTGATCGCTCTTGCAACGCCCTTGAACTCTACCTATTCAAAATTCTGGTGCCAGCTTCCTTTTCTCTCAGGTCGTCTAAGTCGTCATCCAAGCCCATTCTGATATGAAAAAAAAAAATATCTTGAGAGCCAGCCTACACAGCAGCACCACAGGTCACTGAACAAAAGCTCTCACAGCCTGATATTCTTTTATCTCCACTACTGCAAAGCAAAGAGTGACATCTACTGGTGATCCAGGGAGCTGCATGATCATCATATCAGCCTGTACTTTACTGTGATAATCCATTATGTCATCCATTAAAACATGGCTTCAAGAGCAGTGACCTGTTACATTTAATATGCAAATGAAGCTGAACTGTGTCAGAACTAACATTTGCTGTGATTCATGTTATCTTGGCTTTCAGTGAGCCATCTTGCTTTCCACTTTGAAAACTGAATCTAAAGAGCTGAAGGTCATGGCTGTGTAGGACTGCTCCCATCATCCACTGGGAAAACAGCTGGCAGCTCTGACCCCGGCAACACACTTTGAACTTTGCACGTGTTTCGTCTTGAGCTCTGCAGACACCAAGATCTGACACATCCTCTTGTATGGCTGGATTCAGGCGGGTGAGATGTCAGTTTTTTCAGTTTAAACCACCAGTCCTGACTGTATCCAAACAAGTAGAGGAAGAGGTCTTTTGCTTCTTTGCAGCCCTGTTTCTATTTGATTCTACTTCCCCTTTACAGTAAAAGCATCTGGCAATTGTTCGCGCCAATGCTGCTATATATAGATATATTTGAATGGATGGATAAAAGCCACCAATAAATGACGAGTCGAGATGCATTAGTCTTAACTGGAAGGTTATTGAATGAGGGTCAAGAGAGAGGCTGAGCTCAAAGTTACATTTGAGGGAGCTTTGTGGGCTTGAGACGAATCTTAATCCGGCCCAATAAAATCAACAATTGCTGCTGTACTGCCAACCATGATCTATCATTAGAAGGGAAACTCAATTTTACTCATCAAGATCAGTTAACATGGTTAACTCTTCTCCTGTAAAACCATGTGTATAATGCTGTGTGTGACTCAGACCCATCTAGGTTAAGTCTGAGAAAAATAACCCCTGATGGTGTCTGGGTATCTGGGTTATCTTATCCAACATTTTGGGACACTGGAGTACTCTTGTATGAGGTCACTCTGAAAGTTAAAACAATAAAACAACTTGAAATAACCAGTTTGTAAACTGTGGCATTATTAATATTTTGATTTACTGATGAAATTAAAACTCCAAATAGATCCTTATATCATTTCTGGAGGACTTCACATTATTAGGCTCATTAAAAAGAAGTTGAGTTTGCCCAAAACTCTGACCCAGTAATGAGAGGTGTATCTGTGTTTCTCACTGAAATACAGATTTCCAAGACGCTCTTTTGCTCTGTTATTTGTTTCTAGTCTGTATAAGTTAACATTGTAAAACACAACCAGGTCCACATTGTATTGATATGCAACACAGTGACCTATACAAGGTCAACAGTCTAACATAAGTAGTCTGCACATGCACGACGTGTTTATTCTACACGTTGCTACAGTACGAGCATTTAGAAGTGGACGTCACTCTTGACTGACAGCTGTGGTTGTGATGCTTCAACCACATGGAGCGTCAACAAACCAGGATGGTAAAACACATTTCACAGAAAACTGTAAATACTCTTTTTCAACTTAGGCACCTTCACAAGGGAATCGTGATTCTTCTGCCGAATACGCTTTAACTGAATCTTTTTTATTTTCCTTACATTTGGCCTGTATCAATATAACATAAGCTTTTCAGTCCACTGATGACTTTCTTACCGCAGCCTCCTGAGACACGGAGCGAAAGAGACCGAGAAACAAATTGATTTATGTGCTCTCTGAAAGCCAAAATCATTTAAAAAATCCTCAAGTCCGTGGAGTGAAAGCAATATGGGACACTGGAGGATTCTGTGGAAAAACAATTTCCTCTATGTATTGATATTTTATGATATACTGCCTCATTGTGCAGCCCAATAGGAATCATTAGATGGATTACTACTCGGAAATATTCAATGAATTTACATTTTTAAAAGGCACATTATAAAGGCACATTATAATTGAAATGACCTTCTCTGAGCACTTGCGCTTTCTATAAGAGGAACACTGAGCTCATGAGTAAAACAGAGAATTAAACACTAAGAATAATGGGATTCCTTTTATGTTGTCCAGTGATGGCCTGTCAAAGTGCTGACAGATAAGGGAGGAAACTGGCAGCAAGGACACGAAAAGAAGTTACAGAGCCACACAATATTGAACTGTCTTTCAGAATCCTGCTCTCTGGTAGCCAAATGCTTTCTGGCAATCCCACTATCCAGTTACAGGTGTGTACTCTGAAGAAAAAGAAACAGAACCCTTGGATCAATACAGCTGAACACAGCATAGCAACCTGAAAAGCCACAACAATAGACCAACATTGCATGTTGTACTGATGTTCATCCAGTGTCCTGTGTTCAGTGAGGTCACAGTAACCTTTGACCATCAAAATCTAAACGGTTCATCCTTGAGTCTAAGTGAAAATTTGTGCCAAATTTGAAGAAATTCCCTCAAAAAATAACGCCTCCAGCTGGGGCATAAAGAGTGGAATAATGCTGTAGTTGCTGCAAGTGGATATTGTGCTGCAAGATGAGATATTGTGCCAGAAAATAAATACGTTGTCTGTGAACATTTTACTGATTTGTTCAGTATCCTTTTTGACTTTCCAAATATGTAAAATAAAATGTCCTTATTACATTTATAGAAAACACAATCTGGTCTCAACTACGTTTCCTATTAAACCTATATGCTGTTGCAGTTAGGTTGTATAGAGATGTCATTTTTAGGAGACAGGGTTGGTCGGTCAGGTATTTGTTTCACCACTTTGGTCCAGAATGAAGTGACAAAATATTTATTGGATAGTCTGCATGAAATTCTGTCCAGACATTCATGATCCTACTGACTTTGGTAATGCACTGACTTCACCTCTAGTGCAACCACGAGGTTGACATTTGCAATTTTGAGTGAAGTGTCTTGACAACTCCTGGATGGAGTGACACTGGTGATCATTGCTCTTCAAAATCTCAATCTGTCCAGTTCTTTGGTTTATGATAAGATACACATGACATTCCCATCAGCCTCAGCTGGGCTTTGTGTTGAACATACTAAGATGGTGAACATGGTTATCATTCTACCTGCTACGTTTAGACATCAGCATTTTAGCACAGTCATTCCGAGCGTGAACAATTATTTCCGATATAAACATTAAAAAATAGAAGTTAGTAAAATATTCATGTTATAATTTCCCAGAGCCTGAGGTGACCTGTTCAAATTATTTTTCCAGTTTTTCATCCAAACTTCAAAGACATTCAGATATACGATGAAGAAAAGCATTAAATCCTCCTGTTCCCCACAGAGGCTGAAACCGGTGAAGGTGTGACAGTTTTACTTGAAAATGACTGAAACGATCAATCAAAATAGTTGGCAATTCATTTTCTGTGGATTGACTAATCCATTAAATTCATAATCTTGTCAGCTACATCACAAATCATGGCGAACTCATTAGACAAGGTGATGTTCTAACTTTGGCAAGCAACTCGATGCTCATAGATGGTCCTGAACTGGGTGTGGCAGCCGGTTTAAAAAAGTATTTCCTTATAAATCAGATTAGTCGTTATGGAAGGCTTATGACTGCAATGAAGATCACGAGTCACTCTCTGTCTCTGTTCCAAAACCTTTCAAAAGGTTCATCATCAACACACTTGCCTTACTTGAAACATCTGCTAGCATAGTGTTTTACAGCGGCGTCTTACCATCGTCTGAGAGGCTGCTCTGTCAGTGGTATGCTCCGCAGAGCCGCTCCCAGCAGCATGAGGAAGGCAGAGAGGAGAAGGGATGCCCGCAAACCTGGAAGACACAAGATATGGTCATGAAAGTGGAAAAAAACAAAGGAAAAGAAATTATTTTATTACTTCCTGCTAATGAATATTTTTATGGTTTGTTTTTGACTAGAAGTATAAGAAAATTGACTAAACAAAACAGAGAAAAGCAGCAAATCTTCATGTAACAGAAGCTGGAGCCAGCAAACATTTGGTATTTTCTATTTGGTAAATTACCTAAACTATTAATTGATTACATAATACAACAGTCCATCAATAACTCTGACCTTCATGAAGGTTATGAAGGTCCAAAATGACCATGCAGCTGTTTTAAAGTCTATATTATTAGTAGTATTAGTTTTGGCTTGGTGTACCTAATAAAGTGGCAACTGACTTTATATGGCCAATAAGAACACTAACCAAACAGACAACAGGAATCCCAAAGCTTCCTGTTTGATATCATTTGTTACAGCAATAGTACAGACAGACCTTTATCTGTCAGCTTGGAAGTGTCTATTCTCAGTTTCACCCACATGATGTCAATATAAGGAAACTCTCTCTCCGCTTCCCTGTTTCTGAAGCTTTGGCTACCGCGCTATAATTACCATTGTACCTCATCGATCCCTGATGCGAAAACAGGTCACGTGCCAATATGGGCCTATGGTGCCCGTTAGAAATGTGTCTTGCTAAATACTCTTAAACTTAAACTTAATATCTTTAGACTTTTGATTATTAGTTGAATTAAACAAAACAAAACAATGAATCAAGAAAATAATCTACAGATTAATCCATAATTAAATTAATAATTAGTTCCAACCGTAATTAGAATGGACAGATGTTTTAAATGCCTTGGATAAATTTCAAAATATCTGTAGCAGCATATAAATAGGGGAAGGAAATGAGCAGTGCCTTGCCCTCTCACTTTAACCAGTGTTTATGGGTCCTCCAATGATGCATATGAACACCCTAAAACACCTCAGACTTTAGTTGCATTAGATAGATGTCACAATGACTGAGTGTAACCATGCAAGTGTAAAACAGGGAATTGTCTAAACTAACCAGTCTTGAAACAGTCAATTAATCAGGTGGTAAATAACAGTTTTGGTGACTGATTACAGTCATTTATAAAGCAAAAGCTTTCTCTTGCCCTATCTGAGAATTTGCTGTTTTTCTGTTTTATATAACTGTAAATTGAATATCTTTAAATTGTGAAGTGTCACATAAACAAAATGAACAATTAGTCAACTTCAACTCTTACTTGTGATTCTTTCCTATTTTAGACATTTTATAAACGGGATGATGAATGGGGAAAAAACTGCAATGCAATGGACACAGAGACTCTGTATTTCCATCATAGGTTATTCAAGTGACAAGTAACAAAAACTGTAATCAGTTAATTAAATTGTATTTTGCCGGCATGCTATTATAATAATGCTGCAGAAATCTTGTACTTTCTGTGATGCAGGTGGGCTAATATTGCACAGAGTCTTGCATTTGTATTTACACACAAAAAAAAAGTAGAGCATTTGTATTTACACAAAAATATTTCACATACCCAAAAGTCAGAAACCTCGAGCGGCCCTGGAGGCCAGCTGCTGTGAGCAGGAATTACAAGCTTTAAAAACCTCACAGTTAAATGGGAGGATCAGCTTTGCCTGACACATTCTGCACTATCAGCGTATATGTATGTCATACCCTAAGCACATTACAAGTGCTCTGTGACCACATCACATATGACTTGGTGTTAAGACTCTAGCCTCTCTTGGATGCCAACTACTGTGTTGTTGATCATCCACAATTTCTGCCCTCGGGTAGAGGGAACTCTCAGAGGAAAGCCAAGCTTTTTCCCCACTGACAAGACAGAGAGTGTGTATTATAGACAACAGTTTAAGCTTGTTGCAGCCTGTGGATGTTACGTAGGTTTTTTTTAAACAAGGTCACACCATGGCTTAACACAATTTGTGAGTGCTGAATGAGCTGCCCTAACTCAATATATGACTCAGAGGCAGACATAGCTGAACGCTGGGTCTAAAGCAGGGCAATAACTTTACAAGTCTGTTGGGGAATCTACAGCTGGATTATTTTACTTTATATAGTCTTGTCAGTAATAAGTTTCTACCACTCACTGAGCTCAGAAGATATGATATGACAATCTATGTTTAAATTACGCAAACAAAACACCCCTGACTTCTAATTGCTGATGAATCAGAATCACAAGATGAGTTATGTAATTTCTTGGCAAGATTTGGCTTGTGGTCTTCAATTCATCCTGGTTACTGGGATGTTGTTACTGTTTTTGTCACCTGACAGTTCAGCACAGACAGTAACTACAACGTGTCAGTCAGGTGATGTGGAGGAACTGGTTAGGTGGCAGGCGTCTGATTCAGTGGCTTAAGTCAAGAGGGCTCCTTCAGACTCCCTTGACATCACTCAAAGGCACTACTAAATATTTTGGTGTCTTGTGAATTTGAACCCTCTTGAAAGAGAGAAGTCTTAAAAGCCCATCAGAGGTTTCTAGTCCCACATCAGCACTTTTTAGCTTTCAAACAGGTTCAACTCATCTACATGGAACACTGAACACAGGAAAACCCTTCTGCACAGTACAATGTTGATTTAAAAAAGTTAAAGGGGTATCAATCGTTTTTTCTGCCAACATGTTATATGATGAAGCCCATTAATACAAAAGTCAACCAAAGATGCATGTAAGTGATACCTGTACACCTGCACACAAAGACCAAGTCAAGTTATCAAGCAAAAATACCAAATATTTGTTCTTCTTTTCAAAGTTTTTTTCTGTTTCAAATTTAAATTGTTGAATATATGTGAGTATTAAACATTTGGTTGGACAAAGCCAGTCACCTGAAGATTTTTCACAATTTATAGACCTAATAAGATGAAAATACCTCAGTCGCTCATTCTGAAAATGGACAATGACAATGATCATTTTCTACAATGCTATCTAAGACTCATACAAATTTTCAGACTAAATAAAAGTGTCAGCCAATTTATATGAGGAAATATCCAATAATGGTATCAGCTAACAAACAGGATAGTAGTTGTCGCTCCACTGTTACTTCAGTTACTTTAAAAAGAGTTGATTAGTTTATCAAATATTGACGGACATGGACAGACATGAAATCTACTACCAGTTTATGAAATCGCAGGTATTTTAAATTTAAGTGGCCCTATCTTAATACTATGGAGTCAACATTTGTGATAACAGTTATCAAAATACTTTAGGTCACCAGGGTGAATATCTTTATCAGTGACAAAATACCTCGAATTCCCAGGCCACAGAATGATATGACAATACTAATTTATGTGACCAGAGAAGCGTCTTCTGTGTAGGATCCATGTCAAGTAACTACACTAAACTTCTCAGTGATATATCAACAAGACAAACATGTCATGAGTTATCTAAGACTTGTGGGTGATAACAGAGGGGTCGGGTGAAAAAGAGAGGTCAAAAAACCACAATGTTAAAATAGGACACAGTGTACCAGATTAGAAGAGCTCACCTTTTTTGTCCAATAACCACATAAACAGCAGCCAGGGGACGAAACCCACTGGGCCCCACAGAACCAGAACTGCGATGTCGGACTTGGTGAAGCCGAAAGCGTGAACGGCCGAGTTCTGGATGGGACCCCAGAAGTTCCACACCATCCCCTGCATTAACCCCAGCAGGGAAAACAGGGTCAGAACCAGCCATCTTCTCCCGTACACTCTGCTGTTTACTGGCTGAATGTTTGCCTCCGCATGAGAAGGGGCAAGAAGAGGCTCCCGTTCGGCCTCGGTGCTCGGAACGGCACCCATCGTCGCTGTCTTCTTGTCAGTTCAGTTAAAATTCCGGTTAAAACCCCTGTGTAGTAACGGGAAAAGGACGTCTCGCCGGGCTTCTATCGACCACACAAAACAAAAACAGCCGTTAGCTCCCCTTTCTGTCACTTAACTTTACTGCGCATGCCCAAACGGAAGCGGTTCGGAACGTGGAAACTGATGTTATGGGGCTGCCATTTTGGCTCGTCTGGAGCATTAGCTTGAGGAGGGCTGTTGCAGCGTCGGCAGATCCCAAATGGAGTAGATTCACACTAAAGTGTTCCAGATGTAAACAGAAACCGTACACTGTCACGTGAGCTTTGTTTACTTCCGTCCGTACCTCAACTACACGTGTAGTGCAAGGTGAGTCCCCCTTTTTTCCAGAGATCCCTCTATTTCCGCGAAGTTTGAAAACGTTAGCTTTCTTGGGATATCTTTTCACAAAAAGAGGCTAGCTGATAGCATCGCCTCACTATTTGAAGGGAGTTTAAGGGAGTTGTGTGATAAATCAAGTTCCTCACTCAGAACGATGAAACCAAGTTGCCCCTTCTGTCACGTAAAGATAGTTAGCGACATTATCTGAATGTGTAATGACATTAAAGTGGTTTATGGTGAGGTACTAGCTCGATCGGGTGAGAATGGTATGACAAAAAATTCGGGAACATGTTGTTTGTTTGTTTTTTAGAGGACAAAGGCCATTTAAAATGGTTAACAGTTAACTACAAGTTACGTTGATGTGTATTAAAGAAAGTTAACTTAGCTACGGCTGCAACTAACGATGATTTTCATCATCGATAAATCTTTTATCATCAATAAATGTTTCATCGATGATACGGCTGATCTGTGATGATGACACATTTGCTACACTGCCTATCTCGTCACATTCACCTCTTCACTCTCTGCCTGAACCTGCCCGAGCCTGCTGTTGAATGCAGGGAGTGACATTTGGGTTGTTAGTGAAATGAAAGAGCACTGAGGGAGGAACAAATTGCAGTAGACACAAAACAGCAGTTTTTTTTAGTATGCATAAAGTTTTACAATCTTGTTCACTTTTATCCTGCAGAAGATATCTTAGCTAATAGTCACTGGTACAGTATAATCTCTGTGAATAGCGATGATAATGTAACACCACAACTGAAATACCATTTATTTATCAGCTAATCTCTATCTACATCTTCTTTGTTGCAACAGTGTGCTCTTCAGGCCATGGCTGCCACCCCCATTCAACCCTTCAGCACAGAGGAGACCCAGAGGATTCTGCAACACCTGCAGCAGCCGGCAGTCTTCATGAACATGACCAGGGGCTGGCCTGTTCTCCACTGGACTGCAGAGCACCTGTCTGCCTGCCTTGGTGACAAACTGATCCGGTTCAGACTCGGGAGAAAAGGAGACGTGAACAGTAAGCTGTACCTAAGATTGATCTCGACAGATCTGGGTCGAAATAATTCCTGTGTAATTAATCACCTGGATTGAACATGCGGAATAAAAGGACTTCTGTGTCCCAAAAAGATTCAGTTGAAATGAATTTCTTCAAAGCACACTCTTATAGGAAATGCAAGTCATTTCCATTCAACACTATCAGAATCATTTTTAATTTATCAAATTCAATATGGTAAATTAATAAGCTTTTTCTGTTTTTGTGTTCCTGATCACATCAATGCACTCTTACAGGAACGCCCTGAACACACTCACACAGTTACACACATTAACACCTGGAAGCTGCCCAGTACAACCACAGTCTGACCTGCTGGACACTGAGCAGCTCCACTGGAGCAGTTGGTGGTTAAGGGCCTTGCTCAAGGGCACAATAGTATTCATGAGGATTTGGATAAGATCCAAATACTCAGTTCTGTATTTTCACCCAATTTTCTGTGATCACATAATAATTGCCTGCAGTCTTGTGTAGTTTATGCTCTAAGTGATCATTTACAGGTTAGACTGTAGTTAGCAGGACCCGATGAAGAGGCTGTTTTAATGATCTGGTTTAAAATGTCACGTAAGCAAAACACAAAGCAATGAGGATTTTTGCCTATGAGCATCTGGTGTATTTTGTCGTCAGTGTGGCTCTAAAACAGCCACAATAATGACTCCTCCTGTGATAAATAACAGCGTGCAAGTCTTCTAATAAAAGCTAGCTAATTAGATTTCTAAATCATCTTTTTCAGCTGCAACAGCTGACAGGCTGACACGAGGGCATTACTCATTATAAGTGCCGTCACTCAGCTATCAACACACGTTGTTTACTAAAACAAAGGCAAAAGCGAATCACCACAGCTGTGATTTATTTTTCTCATAAAAGTGGGTGAAACAAAATTGCATGCCTGTGTGACGAAGCATAGTGCAGAGATTCTGGTACATGAATTGCATTTCTTTTAGCACAGATCAGTTCAATTGTTTTTTACGTTACGTACCATTATGATCAAGTGATGATTCGCTGTCTTGCTCATTTTCTTGCTATTTTCTCCCATTCTCATAGCACCTCTGTTCGAAACCCAGTGTTCCTATGTGGAGGCCAAACTGGTGCACTTTCTCAGCTGGACCCGGGGTCAGTCTGGGACAGATGTTGGGCCTTTTTCTGAATTCTCCTCCTCAGAGTATTGGGCTTATGCCGACTACAAATACATCGCCATCCTGTTTCAAGATCAGCCTTCCATGTTTGAGGTAATCTGGCCTCTGCTTACATACACACATGTTAACATTTTAATGTACACCTGTGGGACACTTTGGCCTTGGAGGTGCTACTCATAGTGTCTTTTGGTCTGTACTAGACTCAGTCTTAACACAATCTTGACAAATTACACATTGTTTGAAAGCTCTAAGTCTCCCGAGTCTACCTGTGAAAAACATTTTAGGATCCTCACATCACCGCAAGAGCTGTTGACACAGTATTGGTTCAGACTTGTGGCTATTGCTCAGAAGTGCTCACACAAACGGTGCTTCTACAGACCTTATATTCCCCTTTCTATGCCAAAAAAAAATAGGCAAGGCAAAAGAAACCCCAATATTTTTACCATGTTTGCCTTACAATACAGTACATCTTACAATTGAACCAGTCGTTAATGGTGTTTTAAGGGTCAGCAGCAAGCAATAATACAAGATGAAAGCTCATTAAACAAAAGTTTGGGCCTGTGGTGAAGAAAGTTTTGACAATTTAGGTCAGTCCCTGGCTGTATGAATGAATTAAAGTAGTGTATTTTTGATAACATGGAGGTTCTTAAATAGTCAAGATAAAATATATGACCAAAAACGTATGTGGACACATGAACTTTACACTCTTGATGTAACCTGGATGTGCTCCCATTCAGCCACAATGGGAAACTGGGCAGACGATTTCTTTATTAAACTTGCTTTGTGTATAAGGGCCTTGTGTTGACGTAGGAAAGATATGAATCACCATGAAAAAAGCAGAACAAAAAAGTATGTGGACACTGATGGCTGTACACATTGGCCATATGGTGTATATCCTATGGAAAATAATCTTCCCATCCCATTATTACATCTGGTAAGGAGGTTATGATTTCACCCACGTCTGTTTATTTGTCAGCAGGGTTATGCAAGAAGTACTGGACTGATTTGCACCTTACTTGGTGGAGGGATGGGGCATTGGCCAGGGAGGAACCCATTAATTTTGGGGCAGATCTGGATAATTTACTATGAATTTGAATTTTTCTCTCTGAAGTCTGGTGTATAATGTTTGACATTGGCCTTGGCGGAGGTCTGCGCTCTTTTAGTGTCCTTGTAGTTTTTCATTTCATTTTCTTTCAATTTTTAAAAACAGGTCAAAATTTCAAATTAGGACTGACTGCATCTAACAATGCAGTGAGACAGCACTGTTAAATGATAGATCAAAAGCAGAACAGCAAATCTGGTCCTGACGTTAAAATAGTTGAGAATACTAGACTTCAAGTGAGAGCATAATGTGCATTTACCAGTGACCACCCAGGATCAGATATGTTGCCAAACTAAAACAAATAAAGAGAATCCAGGGTCAACTTAAACGCGTGTTTTTATTAGTGTTTTCATTATATAAATATGTCCATGCATGTCAACAGCTTAATTGTTTGTGTTCTCAGAATGAACACACGTTCACATCCTGGTGGAGCTGGTCATGTATGACTTATATGAAAAGTATATAATCACATACAGTCTAAGCAAACAAGAAGAGAAGAAATGTTATGAATACCAAATTTTATTTGAGATGACAATAAACACAATTAGAAGTTTTTTTTTCTTAAGGCTTAATTTAAGAAATATTATTCACATACTATTACTGTCTAATCGGGTTGCAACAGCTTCAGCTTATCAACAAATTAAAAATTAAATGGGGGGAAAAAAAAAAACGAAAGAGCCAAAAGAGTCTTTTTTTCTTAGAATTTTCAATGTTTTGACATTTTCAATTAAAATGTTAAGCTTTTCCCTCTAACGACTTTATTATTAGCTGCTATTCTTGTCCTGTGGTAAGTAAAAGCATAAAAGTGCCATCCGTTCTCGAGCCGCTGCCACACGTTCGTTTCATTTTATCTCAGTGATAAATTTTTATTGGGCATGCACCTGCAATTATTACCTGCTGACATTCATGCTTTTGAGACAGGCAGACGTGGGCTATTTTTCAGGATAAATGATGCTGGGGAAAAGGCTGCCTGAAAGCTAGATTGACCAGTCTGTCATTTACAGCTGTCTGCATACATCGTAATGACTTGCATTATTGCTACACCTCTGTGCCCTGACAGGATATGATTGACAGGACATTTTTTCTTGAAAGATGACAAATATTGTCTTTGGATTCTCTACACAGAGACCTCTGTTGGTCACCTATAATAGGTGTAAGTAGCTGATGAGGTGGGGCTACATCTTTGAGCTTATAGCCGTGTTGTGACAGCTGTGAAAATGTGAGCCGTGTCTCCATGTCATGTTTTTTTATCACATCCAAAAAAAAAAATGAGACTTGTGATTTAAAAATCAATTGTTGTTATTATTATTTTCGATTGATAATTGTCATAATGTGGTGTGTGTAAGTGTGTATGCGTTTGTGTTGCAGGATGTAAAGTGGTCCGACTTTGGTTTTGAGGGACGTAATGGGAGAGAGAGCACCTTATGGATCGGCACAGAGGGGGCCAACACACCATGCCACCTGGACTCGTATGGCTGCAACCTGGTGCTGCAGGTCCAAGGACGGTAAGACGGATCATCAAGCTAAACCTAGATGCCAAATCCTTTGGTGCTATTTTCTACTTATCCCGCCACACAACATAATGGGCATGTGAGTGTCAGAACCAGAAGAAGATGGCCTGGTCTGATGAATCGCATTTTCTTTTACATCATGTGGATGGCCAGCTGTGTGTGCATTGTTTACCTGGGGAGGAGATGGCAGCAGGATGCACTATGGGGAGAAGGCCCTTAATGGCAACAGTATTTCCTGATGGCAGTGGCCTCTTTCAGCAGGATAATGTTCCCTGCCACACTGCAAAAATTGTTCAAGAATGGTGTAAGGAACATGACAAAGACTTCGACAAAGGCATCTTTTTTTTTTTTTTTTTACAATTTTTTATTTGTATAGCGCCAATTCACAACATTCGTTATCTAAAGGCACTTTTCAAATAGAGCAGGTCTAGACCTTCTCTTTATAATAATATTTACAGAAACCCAGCAATTCCCACCAAGAGCAAGCGCTAGGCAACAGTGGCAAGGAAAAAACTTCCATTTAAGAGGCAGAAACCTTGAGCAGAACCGGACTCAGGGTGGGCGGCCATCTGCCTCAGCCGGTTGGGTCGGAGAGGGAGAGGGACAGGGAGAGAGGGAGAGAGAGAGAGAGCATCTGTGGGATGTACCAGAAAAACAAGTTCAATCCATGGAGTCCACACATTGCAAAATCCTTGTACAGGACTTAAAGGGTCTGCTGCGAACATCTTGGTGCCTGATACCACAGGACACCTTCAGAGGTCTTGTGAGGTCCATGCTTCAACGGGTCAGAGCTGTTTTTTCTGTTTTTGTTTCGATGGCATGAGGGGACCTGCGCAATGTTAGGCTGTTGGCTTTAATGTCGTGGTCGATCGGCGTATACCCACTGAGAGGCGTAAAAGTAAAAACTGACATCGCCCTGTCATACCTGTGATAATGGGTCTCTGCATTTAATAGAGACTTGTCGTAACTGAGCTGAAAGAAGGTTCAGGATTCCATACAAGCGCGGCTGTGCCCCACCACGCTGATGGTGGTGTTTTTATGCCGGTTAACCACCTACCTCTTCCATAACATGAAAGGTGCAATGTAGTGTAACTGCTGACACCGAGCGCGATCTGTCCTCTGCCCCACTGAAAGAGAGTTAATTCGTCGCAGAGCTCACCAGCACAGTAGGGGAATGGAGATAGAGGGTGAGGCGCTATATGGGGCACTGTGAGTCAATAAACAAAAGAGGAAAGGTCTCTGAGTGTCTTATCTCACTCTGCTGGTCTTCCAGAGAGCAACAGTTTTATCTCGCTCCTTGTAATTGGGTCTCGGATTCTGTTATTTGGTATTGATCTCAAAAGGGAACGAAATTCAGCACAAGCAGTTCTTTGACACTGCTGATCCATGAAAATACAACAGCGCTGATTGATTCCATGACATTTGTGACAATGGTGGGTCAGATGCACAGGAAACAATAATGGCAGTGGCTGTGTTACACAACACCCAAACTATTCAGGGGGATGTCATTTGAGTTTCAGGTTAGAGACAACTGGATTCTTTTGCACTGATTAATTTTCATTGGCCCTGTCAGCTTTAATTATCCTCACAAAATGACATAATACCTTTTGGAATTGATAAAAAAAAAAATGCTGCTTGGATCTTTAAAACACTGTTCACTGTCACTGTAGTTTATACTAACAACATCTTCTTCCTGTCATCATGATTCCTATATTTTGTGTTGTATCTAAGTCCATCACAGTTGAAACTGTTTACATAATTTCTAGTATTTACTACGCTCTGTCAGAGTGCAATAAAAGAGTTGTTTACAGTTTTGGATAGCTGCAACTCTTGGCTTACAACAACCTACTCGGCCTGAATTTATGGCTGACTCGGTCACCACCAAACAGTTGAATGAATTTCTAACGACAGCCTTTGCCTGCTCATTAGTCATTAGCTCATTAGTGAAATCATATCTACCTGCGATGTTTCCTCTTTGCAGGAAACGCTGGCACCTCTTTCCTCCAGAGGACACGTCTAAACTCTACCCAACCCGAATCCCCTATGAGGAGTCCAGTGTCTTCAGTCAGGTGGATGTGCTCCATCCAGACCCGAGGAGGTTCCCTGACTTCCAGAGAGCCAGGGTCCACACCGTCACTCTGCAGCCAGGCCAGGTCAGAATTCTGGACATGGTAGTGTCATCCGCTGCCAGAAAATGGACACACGCAGAAAAAAAACATGGAAAATATAAAATCAGCTTCTCTCAAGATGTTACATTTCATTTCATGACCAAATAAGGGCGGTTTCATTCAAGTAAAATTTCGAGATTTACTCTTGTCTTATTGAAGACATTGTTTATACATTCACATTCCCATCATTTTTTATTTTTTTTATTTTTATTTTTTTTTACTAAATTATATAAGAAGACCAGAGGTGAAATAATAAGCCCATTAACAGGGAAATAATTGAAAGCTATTTTTATAATTAGTGAATGTTTAAGTCATTTTTTTAAGCAAAAATGCCAAATGTTAGAATTTCCTGTTTTTCTTTGTATTATATGATAGAGTATCACACGGATATAAAATATTAGCTATCAGGTAGATACTATTTTCTGGCATTTTGTAAACTGAACAATTAATTGAGTGAGTGAGAAAATAAATGCAGCACTAAAGAATTGTAAAAAAACAAAAAAAAACATAAGAAATAGTCACATTTGTAAACAGCTTTATGCCCAGCTGAAATAATAAAATAATAAAGCTATAGTTTGTTCTCAGTCAATCTTGGTTAAACATTTTGTAGCTGTGTTAAACTGTGAACCCTGTGTCATGTATAATACCAGTATGGTTATGCCATGTTTTCATTTTTGTATCAAACATTGAACAAAATTACATTAAGCACCTCTTTTGTAATGAGGAAAACCACCCATCAGTGATTTACTGAGGTTTGATGTTATGCAATACTGTAGCTCTACATTTATGTGATGAACTGCTTGTGACACAGAAGCAATAACCATAAAATATGGCTTTATGAGTCCTTAAGCTCTGAACATGTAAAAGTAGACTCAACGGTGAGATTTATTTGTCGTGGTGTCCTCCATAAAAGCGTGAAGCAAGGCAACGGTCGTGACTTGTGTTCCAATTAAATCCTAGCCTGCTCAGTTATAGGGTTTCACCTTCAGCAGAATGGAGTTTTTATATTAAAGGAAGGGGAAGGTTAAGCTACATTAAAGTCGGCTGCGTCATCACTCTTGATGACTTGTCCTGGAGAGAAGTTACAGGATCACGTCTAAGCCAGTAAATCAACTGACAAATCAGTCAGGTTCCCTTCCTCTGCTCCGCTTTAGACGTGGGTGAGTTCATGGTGCCCCTAATTTTCAGAGACCTGAATCGCTGCCGGAGTATTCCTGGGTGTATTTGGTCTACTTTGCCTTGTTTCAGATTCCAGCTGCATTGTTTTTCAAAATGGTGTCAAAGCAATTAGCCATCTGTCTGTTTTCACTATCTGCTTGTGCTGGAGCTCCTGCAGTATACCAAATACCCTCCCATCAGCTGCACCAAAACCTGGCTATCGAGTAACTCTGGTGGCTGATTGCAGAGTGATGTGTAGGTTACCGTTGATGACATAACAAGCTGGTTTTGCTTGTTTTGTTTAATGAGAAGTCTGCGTAAAATACCCTAACTCTGTTTATTACCACCTTTCCTCTTTTCACTGGGTAGTTTTTTGGTGTAAACTAAGTCCTGGCTGGTCTAAGTTGATCCCATGATCAAAAGACTTTTATCCATGGATGTTCTTTCTTAACCTCTGGGCTCAGCCTTTTAACTGTATAGGGTTCAAAGGTTATAGTTATAGGATTCCATCTAATCATAAGGAAGGAAGGAAAGAGGGAAGGAAGTTTGGTTTCCTGACTTTCAGAGCTATAGACGCTACCTCACATTCTTTATTTAGCTAATGGAGCAGGCACAGATGTCATCCCATGACTTTAATCTGGTCCGTTAGTCATACATTAACAAGTCATAATATATGGGAGGCAGGTTGTGACCCCTGTCTTGGTTTAAGGCCGGCCTTTGGCATCAGATGTTTGATTCTTCTGGGGCCTCCAAATCAATGATGTTGAACTCCAGCTGATGGTGTGGCCGGACCCAGCATTTACAAACAGTTGAAAGCTACAAGTGCACTTTTGTGCTTAGATTTTTGTCACCATAAAAGTACTTCAGCTGTTGACACAGACTGGATAGTTATGGTATCTACAGCAATCTCCTGCAAGATGGCTCCACCTCTGCAAATCAAATCAAAGGAGAGCTCATCCCTCTTGTCTTGTCAGACCACAGGCCACGAATGAATCAGGACTGCTGAGGAGGCAGGGAATCAATAAGGCTTGCCCGTTTTAATAGAGTCACTTTGGTGAACTGCTGACAGTGTTTGAGGAAAGAGGTGTTTGCTGCCATCTAGTGGATGACCAGTACAGTCATGTATTCTCTTAACATTTATCATAGTGGCCTGAAGACAAAAAAAAAAAAAAAAAAGGAGGGGGAGTGGGTGACGTCTTGATACTCCTAATCCATTTAAGCTTCTAATAATGTTTTATCTTCTCTGCTCAGGTACTTTATGTTCCCAGACACTGGTGGCACTATGTGGAGTCAGTGGATCCCGTCACCGTCAGCGTCAACTCCTGGGTCGAGTTGGTAAGGAACCCAATTTTGTCTCTTCCCTCCTCCTGAGCTATTCAGCTGAAAACCTCAAACAATGAAAAGACGTTCCGTGACTTTTGTGTCTCAAATAAATTTGAGGCACGTTGGCTTCCCCTCCTCTTTGCCCCCGAGGAGCCCCTGCTCCCGGATGAAGGCCCCTCTCAGCTTTGAGTAATGAACAGGTCTGGCAGTAAAAGATTCCCTGTCATTATGATGAGTGTATGTGGACAGCAAGGAGTGTGTGCCGCATGAAAAAAAAAGCTCCCTGCTGCCAGACAAATGTTTATTCAAGCAGCGGGTCCCTCTCCAGCTTTTCCCTGCAAGGTCACAGACACAACAAACTGTGCCTGCAGCGTCTCTGTGATTCTGTGTAATTATCTTGATATGCGGCACTCGTACTTGTTTCTGCTTGGCTCTCTGCTCCTGCACAGGGAGCGGACGATGTGGCGAGAGTTAGCGAAGCTGTGACCAAGGCTGTTGTCTGCGCTATTAAAAGTGCTCCGAGTGACGACAACGCTGACGACTGGCTCAATCCCACTGAGGTAGCAAATTAATACTTCCTCCAATTAATAGCTCCCCAATTACTGCCTCTCACTTGTGTTGGTGTCACTAAGAAGAGAAAACTAATGCAGTCTTCAGCTTCTGTAAAAGATTTGCAGGTTCTTCGGTTTCAAAAACACCATGTCTGTGTCTAACATTGTCCTCTGCTTGCAGCTCACTGTGCAGGGAATTCTGTATGGAGTCAGAGATCAGAAAAACTAATCTGGTCATCGCTCATGTCAATCCTTTCATCCGTAGCGGTCTGAATTAGGCCTCAGAATAGATTCAGTATCATCAACTAAACTTTCAGTTGAATCGTATCATCATGATATGGGCAAACTGTTTTCCTCATAATAATAATAATAATAATAATATTATAATACTCATGTTTTTTCACAAATTTGGTCCAATTCTTTTCATCAGGTGAAAGAGGCCTTTCATTTTGCATCACTGCTGTAAAATACAGTATAACTGACGATGAGATTCTGTGACAGAGTACTACCCACTGTACCTCCCACACCTTCTTCTCTTCCTGTGTATCAGTCGGCACAGCCGAGGCAGCTTCTGCCACTCAGAGCGGGTTTATTTATCCCACCTACAGGAGGTCACTTACTGTGTAGTCACAGTATGTGCTGCTGTATAAGAACCACAGATGTTAAGGAGAGACTAAAGCTCCAGGGATGCTTCCTGTAACTGCAAAGAGAGGAAGAGTGGGACTGAACTTTAAACGCTCTTTACTTTCTCGCTTTCTTTTACAAGCTGTTTTCTGCCAGAGGTAGATAGCCAACATATGCTGTGCCATACTGGGGCTTTAAATCAGGCGGGAGAATATTGAATGTTATTTAAAGTTATAGAGTTCAGAAAGTTTAGAAAATGTATAAAAACTTACTAGATAAAGACTTAAAAATAATAAATAATAAAGACATTAAAGATATTAATAAAAGCTACACAGGGTTCCCCAAAAAATGTAGTAGCTAGCTGCTGCTGCAAGATAAAATTTTCTGGCGATAAACCAGTTACTAAATGAGCTGTAAAGCCCATGTGTGTAGAATACTGATGTGATTTTGGCATCTTTCTCCTTCTTTCAAATTATTCTGATGGCAAATGTTTACTTGTAGAAAAATGAGAGAACCGGTGCAGCGTATGTGTTACTTTGACCCCATTCATTTCATTGAATCTGTGGCACGTATTATTGTCTGCAGCAGTGTCTCTTTTTGAAAACACCGCTTGGGTTCACTGAAGTCATTCATTTCCACATCCTATTAGTTTTTAATGTGATTCTCTGAAATGATCCACACATGGGGTGATTCTTTTGCTTTCTTTTTTATATTTTGGGAAAACAAACACATCGCAGCCCTTTTTTTTTTGGGGCCGAGCACTCACCTCTGCGTGGAAGAAGTACACTTGTTTCCTCTCACTATCCTACAGGCTTTAAATATGTCTCTGTGATAGAGCGACTAGAAATGTTAACATTTTTATGAAAGGCCTGATGTTAGATTCAAACCTCAAAATCAAACTATGCCTCGTCGTTTGACATTTGGATGTAATAGCAGCCTAACACACGCAGGTGAGAGGTGGTTACTTAGCTGGCAGCTCATACTTGTGATCTCTCGGTCCCAGTTTGTCTGTGCTCTGTTTCTACAGGAAGGAGTAGCATCCCATAATGAGAACATGCAGTACGTGAACCTGGCAGTAAGGGCTTGCGCGCAAAGACAGAAGGCCCTCTGCCACGGCAAACTGACCCGGGACCCAAGAGACACCCGTCCAGCTAAACGGGACTCCAGCGGACAAATTAGAAAGAAGAGAGATTCGACGGGGGATTGTGTGCCCTTCAGCGTTCCCTTTGGGCCACATCTCATCTCTGTGCGCTGTCAGCAAGAGGACTCACCAGAAGCGAGGGAGGTGACCCCTAAAGATCTGCGGTTCAAATCTTCCAGGAACGGAGCGTGCGCATCTCAAGAAGACTGCACTGTCAGCTCGGAGGCAGCAGGGAGATCTGAGGCCGCACCTGCTGTCAGACTCCAGCAGGAGAGACGTGAACGTAGCCCCGACTTGACCCAGTGTAGAGCACGTGATTGTGCAGATGAGACGCCAGAGAACTCTTCAGAGGATTGTGAGGTATCCAGACATGCAATAATAACCACTAATGACCTGTTAGACTGCCTGGTGCATCCTGATATCATCGCCCGTGTCACAGAGCTTCTACTGGAAAGACACGCAGGGAGCCACAGGACCACTGCACCATCCCAGCTTTAACATTCACCTGCCATACACAATATACAAGTCTCACTGGAGTTTACGGTGATTTAGAGCCTTGAAAAGACCTAAAGATCTTTCGCCGCAGACATCCATCCTCCAAGCTTCCTGTAATGCTTTGGTGTCAGTAAGAAGTGAGGGAGGAAAGATGAAGATTAACACGGAGTTTCACCCGACTCTTCTTTCTCTTCTCATCTGTCAAGGTCGTCCTGAGATAAACCCCCGGATGCGAGATGTCACGGTCAAAACTAATTGCAATGCGATGAGTGACGCCATCGAGTGGCTCTAAACATTTCCTCGTTTTGTTGTCCTGCACATGCTAATACTGTTTGGTTCTTCCAGAGCAAGAAAAATGACCACTTAAATCAATTCAGTATGCTAATAAGCCAAACAATGCAAGATGATATTCCAGGGATGTGAACATTTGTTTCCTGTAAAATGTTTCTCTTGTCATTTAGATGAGAGATGTCATTGAACAGCCACAGAGCGCTGATCGTAATGGTTTGATGATTAATGAGAGCTATGTGAGGAGCGCTGAATGAAACGGGTCAGTTTGAATACAGTCTGCCGCCACAGGTCACACATCTCAGAATAGGCAAAGGAGGGGTGTGCATCTACAAATATAATAAATGTCATCTTTTATTTGCTAAATGTCACTTCCTGTCCTTTGTTTTCCTCTAACACGAATTGTGTTTTACACACCCAACCACAGATAATCACAGATTTTAAAATTTCAGTGTAATATAGTGCGATGGAAAATTGTTCTAGTTAAGAAGAATGAAAAAAAGGATGATTTCAAATTTAATCATTAAATTTTCCAACAGCACAAAAAAAAAAAAAGTTTTAGCATCACAACAGTCTTTTTTTTACAGAATAGGGAGCAGCATAATTTAAACATTTGACTTGTCACTGTAGAAAAGGCTCAGGTGTTACTAACAACATTAACAATGGCTCTGTTCTATTCGAGTGTCCTGGTGAAGTCATGACAGTGTGACAGTGAACCTGCATAAACAATACCAGGACCCCGAAAAACCGGAGCAGCTGAATTTTATTATTTATACCTGTTCTTTTCTTACTGCGACATGTCAAAAATGTCTTCGGTGAAAAAGTTAAGTATTTCCAGTATTGAAAAATACACAATACAATACTGACTTTTTTTTTTTTTTCATACAATTTTTAGATTTCCCACTTGCAGGCCAATAACTGGTTTCAGTTCAACTTTCAAAGACTTGAAACTTTCTATTACTATTTTAAAGTACTGTATGTCAATGCAGTTGCAAGCAGGCACTGTTTTTCTTGGTGATGTATTCAAGGACTCTGTCACAAACTTTGTTTTTTCTAAAACTCAAACCAGAAGATAAAGAAACATTGTGAAGCAAATAATATGGATCTATTCATAACAATCCCCGCCTGCAACTGAAGGACCAATAAGGTAAATCACAATAAATGGTTTACATGGGTAATACATATGCTGAATTTTTAATTATTGGCTTACGATGTGCCACACCACTAATAACTATTTTCCTTTAATATCATTGTTATAGGCGCACAATGTAAACTTAACCACTTCTCCAACATGTGCTGTCAGGCCGTGTAGGTTATAATTACCAGCGTGTGGCTGGTATTGTCTATATGTGTGTCATCGTGGCAAAATGTGGTTCTGGAGACACCTAGTGCAGGCGATTTGTGTACTTTTGCAGGTGTGCACATCTGTGGACAGATGTTTGTTAGTGTGACCGGTGTGATCCCATACAAGATGGTCTCTAGTTATTATTCAGCATCGTAGAAAATAAAACGTTCTGACATGCAGTTAATACGCAACAAATATATACAGAATACAATATCTGACATTCATTTGTAATAACACTATTGATCATGCTGTGGGAAGTCACACAATATTGTGCCTGTCTTAAACACTATGTCATGTATTCAGTCTGATTTAGGAAAAATTCATTCCTGTTCTCAGCTTATAAATCTTGAAGTGACTGGAGTGTTAAAGGTTTCAGAGAATACATTGAATGATGTCACAAACAAATACTGCGCTTCCAACCACAAAAAATGTCCCGACAATCACATCTCAGTGCTTCATTTTCACAAAAAGTACCTTAAAACAAAAACATGACAAGAAACTGAATTAAAAACGGTACCTTCACATGATAGCTGCGTGTCTAACTGATCCAATACTTCACCTTTTGTAGCCAAATCTAATCAGCTGCAGTGAAGACATTGGCGGCACAATTACAATCTGGTGCTCTTCCCCCTTTTGTTCATTTGCACCTCATTAGATTTTTTCTTCATGTTGTCATCATCATCTTCCTCCTTCCCTGAGTCCTCCAGGTAAATCTTGTCCATCTGATCGGGGTCGACGTAGGTGTAGAAGCAGGACATGATGGAGAAGATGATGAAGACGGCCAACAGCAGGCCGGCAAACAGCAGGAACTCTTTCCACTGTGACGACAAATAGAATTAGCATGTGAACTGTGCTGGATGGAGAAAGATTTAGTTCACTGCTGAGGTTTGCTGAACTCTAGAGAAGGAATGTGACAGGCATGCAATGTTTTATAGTAACAGGTTTTAGTAGAAGATGTTTGTTTTATTTAAGACAAAGTCACAAAAAGGCCTTTTTAAGAGTTGAATGTCACATTTTCAGTTGTTACAGTGATTATAAGCGATGCAGGGATTAAAAAGCTCAGAGTTATAACAAAACAAAGAAAACTACAAAAGGAAAGGGAAGTTTTTCACAAATTATAAAAAACAAGACTAGGTTAAAACCTAGTGTATGGCTGGAGCAGCCATGGTCAAATCCTGATTTTATACCTGTGACTGCAACTGACAAAATTACCAAACACATAAATTAAAGTCAAAGACTGAGCTGTGATTTCAGCTATATTTACTTAATAAAACGATCGCTCAGAGAAAGTTAGAAGCGACACAATATCTTTCTTATTTTGTCTCTCACACAGCACGCAGCCTCCGTCTGGGATCCACAATAGTTTAGCCTTTATTTCCCTCAACTCCAGAATGTAACAGACTTTTATTTGAGGCACGTCTTTATTTCTAACTCCCTCCGCTCGATATGTATAATAGCTCATAGTGGCATTTTAGTACGAAGCCTCGTTTTCAGTCGCTCTTGTTTACCATGTTAAAGTTACTGCGTTACGTGTTAATATAAACTCAACACTTACCTGTAACCATTTCAAATTTCAGCCATGTGCTAAGTTTATACCCAGTCTTGTCTGAAGAAAGTCTCTAACTCTAGAATCTAAAATTAGCCATACTGCAAGCTGTAAACACCCCCCTTACAGTGATGAAGCACTTGGCCGACCAGTGGTGGAAATATGATCAGTCAGTCAGTCAGTCAGGGACATTCCAGATTACAGGGCTGGCCCAGCTGTTGTGGTCCAGCCAAAAAGATAACACACTTTTCTCACTTACCCTTAGAAGGATAGAAACTCATGTATTTTTATTTGCAGCGCTCAAAGGATTCAATACTGACATTTAGAAAATTCTAATTTAACCGTAGGAACTATTTAGAGAGAGTAACCAGGTCATCCGCAGTAACTGGATCTGGGAAGATGCACTGCTGATTAATGTTGAAGTTCAAATGAAGTTCATCTTCATTGTCTTGGGGTGCAAAAGATAACTTTGGTAGATAAATATAAAACTGCATGGCTGGATTCCACTGGAGGGAAGTGAGAAATGTGGCTTTTTGTCATTTAGGAGAACTGACACTTTACTGTGACACAAACTAAGTATTTACAACAAGTAATGTTTCAGCCTTAAAAGTATTTCATACAAAAGGTCAGTTGACTGTGGTTTCAGTACGTCGACCCTCCTTCCTTATATGTTGTAAGGGGTTTTTAATGTCTCCGATGATGCCCAATGAAATCATACCTGTTCCAGTCCCGCCCCCTCCGCAACGATCAACACGATCACATTCCCAAATGCAACAGTGAGCAGCCAGCCTGCCTGTAGGACTGACTTCATGTTGGCCGGAGCCTGGAGGCAACACAAATCCAGTGTGAGTAAAGAGCAAAGACATCAAGCAGCTTTGGGATCATACAATCTTTAGAGGTTCAATGAAATGGCATATTACTTCCTAAACGTGACAAAATATTTCTGTTTTGTTATTTGGTGTGGGACATCAAACAGTCTTAAGTCTTAAACCAACAGGATAAAGGTTACGGAGACAAGAGGAGTTTAATTTAACAGAATAGGCACAACTGATTAACTACAGATTCCATGGGATCGTCAAAGGCCTAAACCTCACTCACACATTCAGTCCCTGTGGGTTTGAATTCTTGAAAATGAATATGATTATGTTATAATGAATTCCTTTCCAAAAAAAGTATCAAAATGGCCATAGAAACTTTTCAAACTACTTCAGTAGCATAATGCTATTCTCCACTGTCCATCTGTATGCTCAGTGTGTTTTAAACACTCATTTCTATGGATGTTTTGAAACCTTTTTGCTGAGAAATTGGGCGCTTGTTGGAATTCATTTAACAAAAAAGCCTTGCCTTGCACTGATCCAGGACAGAAAGCATACAGACTATACAATCAGACGTTCATAGAGTTGTATTGATTTTCACATGCAGCTGAGTGAAGTATTATAATGTCAAACCTGTGAGTAGGAGAACTCCAGGCCGGTAATGGAGAACATGACCTCTCCAGCAGTTATGAGGATGTACTGGGGGATCTGCCAGGCAATGTGCACATCGTTGGCCTTCACATCTTCCATCCTGTGAGTCACAATTTTACCCAGTTCCTGCCAAAGCAACACAGAGGTGATGTCATGAGTATGGAAGACTTTTAAAATCTTTGTATAAAATGCTATTTGCACGACAGGCGTCCTGACCTCAGTGAGTATGACGGTGTAGGAAGCTCCAAAGTCCAGCAGGCCCACGTCAAGATGAGAGCAATTCTCTGTCTGTGGGCTGCATGTGACATCTGAGTATCTACCCGGAGGCAGGAGGTGCATAAAGGATGACATGAATTAGAAAAGAACAAGAACACATGATTTGACTAGTACCGATCTACACTAAATTAAAAAGTCATATCACACATATTTAAATTATTTAATTGAGGTCTAATTGGGATTTACTTAAATTGCTGCAAAGTGGGAGTTAATGCAGGCATGGTTCTGGGAGTAAAAGTCTTGTTCATTTTCTGCATGAATAACTTTGAACAACAACAACAACATGAACAACAGATCCTCTTGTTACATGTAAAGGAAGTAAAGCAAGAATCCTCCAACCGGGACTGCAGTCAAGTCTCTAAACCTCGAGTCTCGAGTTCCAAGTCTTCGAGTCCGAGTCCAAGTCTGAGTCGAGTCTCCGTTATCTGAGTCCAAGTCATCAAGGTCAAGTCTGAGTCGAGTTCCAAGATGGATTCCAGTGCTCCACTCTGGCACAGTCAAAGAGCAGATGCACAAATACAAAAGGTCTACAGTGTAGGCCTTTTTTCAGTGTAGACTCTACACTGAACACAACTGTCAACATGAGTTGTACTCACTCTCCCCGGTCCACAGTCTTGTTAGCAGACATGGTGTAACCAGAGGGCACGTGGAAGGTCACAGCTCCCACAGTCAGGTTTAGAGCTTCTGCTTGTGTGTTGAGGAACCTGTTAAATTTGAATTATAAGAACTCATGATCAAATGTAACCGATTAATCAATTTGGTCAAGCTGACCTACGAGGAACTTTTTATTTTGAAGCCGAATTACATTTAAATGTAAATTATATTAAATATTTTACCTGAGAAGAGGATTCCCTTCTGTATCTTTCATTATGAAGTCTTCCACCTGGATGACGAATAAAACACACAATAATATCTGAACTCATTTGTGCTGTTACACTCAGTGCCCAGGTGGTTGAATATTATTAATAATCATAAATAATAATTGCCAGGAAGACAGTCAAATCAAACCCGATCGAATCACAACCACACCATCCTGATGAATGAGATGAGCTGGGTTTAAATAATACCCAAGGATCTTCACTTTAAAACTTCAATTGTTCCTTATTTAGTCATGAATATTTAATACTATTAAAAAAACTTTGGAACCAATTTTCAGGGGCACTCACGAGTTTGCACCGGATCTCTTTACTTTCAGGGTACAGGATGAGACTGTAGGCCATTTCTTGTTCAAACGTCTGGTTACACCTTGAAGTTGTTCCATCTAAGGTGACTTCAATGATCAGTTCCTTGCTGGACGCCCCCAGTGGAAGCGTTTCATACTCAGGAGGGTCCTGACACAGAGACCAGGGAGTTAATGTTCAGGTTCTTTCACTGTTTGAAAATAATCTCTGACAAAAAGAGAATGAAATACAATATACGAAGCCTTAGATGATTGACATTCTTTTCTCTGTTGAACTAGTTTATTAATATTGTTTAGAATATAGAACTATATAAACCTCATATTACATATTTCCTTAAATTAAGTTGCAAAATTTAGCAGTTGAGCAAAGACAGAAAGAAGCGTCCTAATCTCCAAAATGTTTCTGTCGAACAGCTAGAGGCTCTGACAGTAGCTGGTAAACAACTTTAGCTTAGTGGGTTCATTAAAATGTAAATGCAAACTGTTAAGACAGACAAAACAAGTTTTAAATGTCTCAAGGGTTTTGCCAAAGACAAACACAAACAGCACATTCATCATGAGCCAACTGGCTTTTGTGTGCCTTGTTAATTGCTGTGCTTTTTTTTTTTGGTGTGTGTGTGTGTGTGTGTGTGTTATGGTACACTGAGTGCTTATAGTTTTATATTGTCCTTTGGATCTTATAAGCTATGTGTCTTTGTGATCCCTGTTTATTCCCTTCATATTTTTATTTTATCTCAGTGGTTAAATAAAGCTAATATTACTGAGTGAAGAGGTGATAAACTCTGCACACACTCTCCCACAAGACAAACACACTCTCACATTCTCAGACCTCTGGTAAATTTAGAGTCTAGACTTGTGTTTGAAATGCAGAAGCAGACAAAAAAAACAGTATGAATTTGAGGAAAGCCTGGTCACTGGGAAATGTTTGCTGCCCTGCGTCCACATGGATAAAAAAAGTTGCTTTTCCCTCCTCCCATGTGATTACCTGACAGTATCGGATGGGGTCTGGAAACAGGTCGCTGTCAGGGATCTTCACACTGACATTACCTTCTACCAGGTTGAAGGCCTGCAGGAGACAGCTCCCTTCAGGTGCAGGATCCACCACAGTTTTCTAACAGATGTAGAGGGAAATTAGTGAAGCATACTGATAAATATCAGACAACACAGTCTGAAAATTAGTATTATAGAAAGAAATTGTTATTATTGTATTACAAAGACTTATATAGCACTTTTTGTGGTTCACAGAGGTCTCACTTTTTTTGATATATTCAAACATTACAATGGGATTAAAACAGAAGAAATTAAGGATAAATTTAATTGTTCTTACAATTCACATACACCTTTTTGTCTGGACCAAAGCGGTGGACCGACTGATGGATCAACATAGAGAACATGCCTGCAAGCTGCCCACATGATTTCAAATTAACCTCATGAAGACAGCTCTAATTCCAGCTGCCAGCTGCTGAGAGTATGAGACATCAGACTAAAATAAATTTGGAGGGTTGTGACAGTTTGTGTAGTAACCGAACCATGAGGACAGCTCAGTGTTTTCCAGGACAGTTCCTCCAGGATGCGTAGGATTTAAGGAAGTCAGTCTGTGTGCAGGTATTTTCATGTTCTAGCTGCTCGATCTAAGTGTGTAAGTAAGCAATGGTTTTGGCGAGTGCCTTTTAATTTCTGTAACGAGACGATTCATGATTGCTGCTCATACGCACCACGACGTTCACCTCCACCAGTGCGGCCGCGCAGAAGGCCAGCGCTGCAAAAATCATCCCCATGGCCATTTTCCTCAGAGGCCTGGAGGGGCAGAGAGAGTCAGTGACAGACAGTCAACACTTTTATATACCCTTCACGACTATAGGCCCAGTGTGTGTTTACTGTTCTGAGAGTCAGGCTTTATCACTTTATAAATCAGGAGTGATTTCCACATCAGTGTCCTCACTGATCTGCCTGATAAGAGACTGCCTCACCACTTGTTTTGACTCAATGCCATCTGTTGCAAATGTGTCCTTTACAGCCTGAGCTATTCTATAAAAACATGAATAAAATCATAAATTAAGAAAGAGCTCTGTACTATTTGTGTTGTGTGTGCAATCACATTTGAAAGTAGTTTTAGTTCAATTCTTCGGAGGAATTAATGCTGAAATGTGATCACTTATTCTATTCTTCAGTAAACTGTGGCAATCCATGGAAAAGTGCTGTGTGCTCCACATACATGAATCAGCCACTCATCAGATTTACAATTGTAAATGTACAGTATGTTTGTGTATGTGAGGCGTATCGCTGGGGGATAAATTAAAGGTCACATGGCTCATTTTCCCAGTTTAAGAGGCTTCTTAAATGCTCATGTCTGCAATAAAGTTGGATGTATCCAAAACAACAGGCTTCTACTCACGTGATGTTGATTCTGCAGAGGGCGACCAGCGGATATATGATGAGGTCAAAGACGGGCACGAATACGAGAATCAGCAGAGCGTTCAACATCTACAACACCAGGGAAGGAAAGAAAACACGCCGTTAAACGACTCCATAAAAAGCTCAGTAAAACTCGTAAAATCATAAAGGTTAAAGTTACACAAGAATAAAGAGACTAACAGGGGCTCTAACTCCATATCACCAGTGATGAGGTGGCTGTGATAGACAGCTGTAAAAGTGTTTTCATGAGAATGACAGCATCACTCGCCAAATCAAACATCAGTCATCTCTAGTGCACTATGGGAAATGTGCTGATGACAAAATCCATTTATACCACGGACATGAAAAAATACATGTTTCTGGCTGGATGGCGGGTTCCTCATTTTGAGTATAAACCAATTATACACTATAGTCCATACGTATTTGGACAGTAACACATTATTGTGTTGCACAGTGGTTCTCAAGGTGGGGTCCAGGGACCTCCAGGGGTCATTGAGGGGGATTCCTGAAGGTCTCCAGCAAAAAGGGGAGAATTTTATAATATTTAATGTTTTCCACAAGTAACACAATGACAGAACGTAAGACTATTTTGGTCATGGGTTTCAAATACTTTCTGTTATAAAATATCTAAAAGCAAAAACCCAATTGGACAAAATCAGGGACAAAATCTTATCACATGGGGGTCTGTGGTCTCATTTGTGTCAGTTTAAGGGTCCTGGATGTGAAAAAGTTTGAGGAGGATTTGAAGTTAAACAATGACTATGAGGCAACACGGCTGACTTTGAGCTTTATGGGTGTTTGAGGGTGTTTTCATCCATGCCAGCACAACTGGACTCTTTTCTTGTCATTGTCAGCCTTCCAGTTTTAGGATGACAATGATCCCACACCGACAGATAAGGCAAACATTCACATCTTATGGTCATAAAGTACAATGTTCCTGACTGAAGTGACGATGGCTGCAGGGCATCACAGGACAGATGCCCGGTGTCTGCGGATGTCACCAAACATTTACGCATGATGCCTTTATTCAAGTTTATTTTTAACTTGTCCAATTCATTTAGGACTGTGTATAAACAGGGCTGATGTGGATGTAAACAGCTTCAATTTAAAGCTCAAGTCAGCCTTCAGCCTCGTAGCTATTTTTCTTTAGGACACGGCCACAACCACATACATGTCTTTAGTGCTTTATAACTGAGTGAAGAAAACGTAACCTGCCATCCCATAAAGGACATCTTATGTTTTTAGCACTTTGAAAAATACACAGCTCGGGTGAGACCATTGTTGGATTTTCAATCCTTATTTTATTCACTTTTGTACAGAGCTATTACATTTTATTTTTTTATAACTCTGTTCTCCAGGACATTGGGTTTAAAATGAATCACTGTCCAAATACTTACAGAGTGCAGTGTAGTTTAACCACTGCTCCAAACAAGTTAAACAATGAAAGTATGAGAGTTAACCAGACCACACACACACACACACACGCACACACACACACACACACACACACACACACACGCGTACACACTTTAAAAAATGCTTCATCACAGCCACTTTGTTTCCTCAGGTTAGTGGGCATGTTGCAGTATAAGTGAGATTATACTAAGAGGCTTTTTTTAATCAAATTTGGAAAAGAATGAACTTTGACCCCTCATCATGAAGCTTCAATGAAGAGTCGGATGAAACTGATACAGAATATATTAGATATAGTCAGGGAAGAACTGGAGTTTAAGACGTTCAATCCATCTTCTTTATTGTTTTCTTGTCATACATCGTTGCTTACGGACACAAAAACTAGATCCCACTGAGAACAGGTGGAGCTGCACATACCTGCATCTGGTCGGGCTGAACATTGAAGGAATCTCCCTGTAATAAAACAACATCAATTGATCTGAGCAGAACAGCCACTTAAACTTTAACTTCGTAAATCTAAACCTGATGAGTGCACGATTTATCAAGGCCATAAACTGATGGCAATCACTGAAATAAAGTGACCGATCGTTACGAAGATCTGTTTTACAGGACCCACAAACTGATATCAAAGTGCAATAATAAAAGATGTTATCAGCTTTTTTCAACAGTGTTATTTCATGGAAGGAAACTCTTACAAAAGCCATGTTCATCCTCGTGGCTTGAAGTGTCCAACGGGAACCCTGCAACAGCGAAGAACACTGATTGTTAGAGTGTTTTCAGGCAATAACATGAACCGACTCGCTTTGTTTGTTTTCCTGACGGGGAACATTTGACTCACCTCCCGAGGAAGACGTGTGTTTGTTCTGACAGTTAGTTTAATCAGTCGTTTTGAGCGAAGAACGAGTTCGGGGAGAATGAAATTCAGGAATGTTGATTGTGGCTTTGGGGCTTTCCATAATCAGAAGGTTGTGTTGAGTGTTGGCCAGAGTTGATAACAGATAGTTATGGGACTGAATAAGAGAGCTATGACACCATGACCTTGACCTTGTGCTGACTGAGAAAACCGGTCACGTACGAACACGTCAGTCAACAGGAACTGAACGTGATACTTGATTCAACACTTAAAAACTCTTCATATTTTTTTTTACCAGTAAAATGAATCCGTCATCGCCAAACCACATACTACACACTAAGAAAAACAAAACAAAGCATCCCTACGTCTCCAAATGTGTATGTGATTATAGCATCATTGACATTATTCTGAGGACATTAAACGCTGTTCTTGCTTCTTATTTTTAAGGCCACAGTTTGACATTTTGGCAAATACGTTTAAAATCACATCAGCTGGCAGCCTGTTAGCTTAGCTTGACATAAAGACGGGAAAGAGCTGTTGGACACAGCTGAACTATTGATCACATATAACATGACTCTTGATAAGTTGATAAGTCTCTTGTCTTCACGTACCTGCTGATCGAACAGAGCCCAGAACATCGGCAGCGGGATGTAGAGCACCAAAACCCGCAGCACCATCTTAATCTCCTGGATCAGACGCTTCTGTTAACACACAAACCCACACACCAGATGGATTATTGATACAACGAAAAAACACCCACACAAACACTCTTTTTTTTGACCTTTCCAACGAAATTGTCAGGAAAAGTCCTTTTGTTACCGAGTACTTGTCCTCAGCCCAGTCCAGCCAGTGCTTCCTCTGGGGTTCATACTTCGACCTCCTCCAGCGGTTTCTGATGGCAAACTGCAGACCAAAAGTAAATACCAGAGACGAAGACAGAAACAGTGTAATTCATACCATTATTACGGCACAAAATGAATCTTTATAGTAAACACTACAATAAATCATCTGATACGACTGGGGACAACCGGCCAGATTACTCACTCCAATGCAATTGCAGACTTCCAACAGGATGTTTCCCTGGGGAGGGTTCTTCTTGTACATCCCGCTGCCGACTATGAACACAACTACACAAGATGGATGAGGAGTTAGACTGCGACTGGACGAGTGAAGAAAAATTGTTTATGTTGGAAATGGATCAGCTGTTGTCCAAACAGTTTCTCCATTTGCCTCATATCAGCGCATAGTAATAAATCCACGGATTAAGATGAGGTACGGTACAGACAAAAGAGCAGAATTTAGCAGTAGTTTACCTTTTAAGGAAGTGTTTGCCCCTTTACACTGGCTTGAAAAAAAGGGGGTTCGGGGGTAATAAATTCTCACATGTTGTAAACACACTTCAGGCCTCTAACGCTGAAGCCCCTCTCTCACCCTCGTCGCTGTGATCTGTGCACGGCCCCTCCAGTAGTAAAAGCACTGCTTGTTTTCACAGCGAGTGGGGCAGCCGAGCATGAATCACACACAAGGATCAGGGGTGACGGGGGATTCAGAGGCAGAGACAACTGACTGTCAGGACGTATGCTGAGGGGCTTTAATCAACAGGAAGCCCGGCCTGTCAAAAGCCGGACTTCATACTGTACAAACATGTTCTCAGCATGCAGATCGCAGCCTGAACCGAGCTTAGACTCTGAAATGTGACAGCTAATTCAGACGCTGATGGTTAAAATATTCAGATTAGGGCATCGCATTGCAGCCTGGTGTTTTTATTCATTTCCTGGAGGTAAACATTTTTGTTTCGTTTTATTTTTTCCTGAGAAAAATAAATGTTCTTTGGTGGCAGATTTGCATATTGCATCCACACAGCTTGCATACATTCACAGTAATCACTCCAGCAGCTACAGTATTTAGGGTTTAACTGATTTGATCCAGGACACTGATGGGACGGTAGCAGAGATATAAACATTATCAGCTGATATTGGCTATAGCATTATCAATACCTCTTTTCACAGATAAGTAGAAACATAAGTGCGTAAATGTGTTATGGGCTGTATATTTTTACCCTCATTTTTCTTTAAGTTTAAAATAATTTGACCTAACAATCCCAACTCCAGAGCTTTCAACCTCATCACATGGTCTTCATCAGAGGATGAAGTTTGCCAAGTTGTGATAAGAGATGGATCTTGAGATACACCTGTTTGACAACTGAGCAAATCCCACGAGGTGATGAAAACAGTGTGATACAGCTGAAAGCTCCAGAAAAAGCAAACTGGCATTTCCGTGTGTCTCGTTCTGATTAGGAATTATAATGATGTGATTTCCAGTTCAAGATTTACTGCCCTCTTGACGTCTCATCTATTTACTGTTACTCACTTACCGTTTTAATGTTTAGCAGGTCTAACGTTTACTATAGTCACCATCTTAGTTAGCATGCTAACATTAGTTCATTAGCACAAAACACAAAGTACAGAATGCCATTGAGAGTGTTATGTAGACACTACTGTGCAGATGATGCAGGAGACATCTGATTGGATGTTGCAGGTGGATGAAGGCTCACCTAACGCCACGACCATCAGACCCGCAGGAACCCCGAAGGCCAGAGCGTAGCAGTCACCACCGAAACACTGCACATCACCTGCAGGAGCAAATCCAGCATTAACGCCATCAGCGCGCTGATGTTAGTCACACGGTGGACTCACCAGGTTCCTCAACACTGTGACGGTGAATGCTCACCTCTCAGTATGGGTGTAATCACAGTCGACAAGAGGCTCCCAGCATTGATTGACATGTAGAAAATGGAGAAGAATTTCTGCCTCTCGCTGACCTGGAGGTGACCAACAAAAATCATCAGGTTTTTTTTTTTTTGCCTGAATTTTTGGTAAATACTAGATTTTATAACGTGTAAGTCACTGCTGATTTCTGCTGAATCTTTCTTTTTCTTTCTTTGTTTTTAACTCATTTCACAGAGAAGTTAAAAGCTAAACCGCTTTCATTTATTCAAACTACAGAGGGAAGTGCGGCGCCTCACGTTCTCCTCGTCAAACTGGTCTCCTCCAAACGCTGACACGCAGGGTTTGATTCCTCCGGTGCCGAAGGCTATGAATATCAGACCGACCATGGACAGAGCACTGCAACACAAACACACAGCTAATGCAAGTGGAATGGATATGGATATCAAGTGTCTATTCCCTCTAGCACTGAAAAGTCAAAGTCAAATCAAAGTCAACAAGCAAAAATGTGAAATATTTGCTGATTCCACTTTTCTTTTGGCTTTTTTTTCTGTTTTATTTAATTGTAAATTAAACATCTTTGGGTTTTGGAATATTCACCACGGCCTCTGAGAACTCATGATGGGCACTTTTCACTGAAACAGATTCACTCCCTGCACCTCTGATATGCCGAGTGATTCAAAGTGAAATAAAAATGGCTCAACATGATGACAGACACCTCCAGCAGCACTGCCCTGTGACCGTGGCTGCTCTGAATCAGCTCCAGATAACTTACATGTGCATGTTGTTGTTTCCCACAGTGGGAATGGCTCCGACCGACTTGACCACATGGCCGATCACATAGACAATGGAGAGGTAGATGATGGTCCTGTTGGGAGCAAACTGTGATTATGTGCATTCAGAGCTGCACTCTTGTTATTATACAAGATCTGTGTGTATGTTTGGTCGGAGTGATTCATCTCCACTAAGACGCGGTGTCATAGAATTTAGACAAAGCTCCTGGGTTGAATGACGTATTGCAAACAGACGCAAAATCTCAAAACCTCTGCACATAAAAGTAAAACTATTCGCATGGCTTGGCACCACTGTGTTTAGTGATTTCGGGTGAGTTCATTTGGGGATGAAGGAGACGGGGGACTCACTTGAATTTTCCGAGCCAGGAGTCAGCGATGAGAGCTCCCAGTAAGGGGGTGAAATAGCAGAGGCTGCTGAAGGCATGGTAGACGGCGGTGGAGAGGTCCTTGTCCCAGTGGAGGTAGGTGAGGAAGTAGAGCGTCAGCACCGCTGTCAACAGACACACAAGCATGAGCTGTGGCCCAATGCAAGGGATGGAAACTACCACAAAAAGACTGATCGCTCATTACATGTCAGCAACACCTTGACGACCGCGTATTAAGTTTATCAATCAAACTCCCAGTATCCCATAATCCATCACTGGTCAAATCATTATTGTCGATGCGTGAAGTATTTGTGTTTAAGTGTATGAGTCACGGGGAGCCACATAACCTCCGTCCTGTTAGTGGGTTAGTCTTTACAAACTCATTCTTATTTATTTAGTCATTCATTCATTTATTGTTAAGAGAATTTCAAAGGTTTCCAGATGCCAGATTTGGCAGGTTGAGTTTTGGGGGAATGTGTATAAAATGATGGACGAGACAACCGAATATATTTCCGTTGTTTATCTTTGTTTTATTTCACTGTAAATTCGATATGTTTGGGTTTTTGACCGCGAGCTCTACAGGAAACACAGATGGGCACATTTCACCATAAGTTTCAACCTGAGAACAAAATGTCAGTTTTCAATCAACCTCATTGACAAACGATTTATATTCTGCATTTACACATGTACTTTCTCAGTTACTAACATTTTAAACACAAGGCGTTTTCAGAAGAGAGGTCCAGTGCTAGATGCTGTATTTTACAATTAAATAATTCATAAAGAATATCAGTAGATAAATTGATAATGACAATCATTTGTAATGTGTCTGCTTAATGAATATTTCTTACAACTAAATATAAAATCAATCCACTTCATCTGGAACTGACGTGATTTAACTGCACAACAGGAAATTGTTTTTCTTGCGTGGCATGTTTATAATTGTGTGTGTGTGTGTGTGTGTGTGTGTGTGTGTGTGTGTGTGTGTGTGTATGAAGCAACTGAAGTAATGTGACAGACATGTGAGAAGAAGTGAGGTCATGTGAGGGGAAGATCCTTATCTTCCATTACAGGCTCTCTGTCATGTTGTTCTGGTGGACTCGCATCCTGTTCGCTGGTTTAACAAGCTGAGCATCAATGATCAATCAACTTTGTGTCAAGGACTTTTCACAGTGAAAAGACCCTAAAGCTACTCTGTCAATGTAGAGTCCTGTTCTTCAGGTCAAATCTATGCTTCCACATGATGTGCAGAAAAAAAACAAGAATCTTTTCTTACCTTTCATGCCATAGTAGGAGAAGCGTTCACAGAACTCATTCACCACTATGAAGCAGATGCTGGTCGGGTAATTGGTCCCACATAGCTTCTAGAAGAGGAAAAGTTTGTTCACAGGATGAGAATCAACAACAACTTACAGTATGTACATTATTAAAACAACCCCTCTGACAGTAAATCTATAATCCGTTATCTTATCTCTCTTCTCTTGGTCAAATATTTTTTTTAAAAAACTTGCTGATTCAATCGATGGTTTCACCATCTGACCGAGATTCGATGAGTATTTGGCCGTGGAACGAGAGGAATGTGGCAGATACATACCTGCTGTTAGTCCGGCACTCATAAAATACTCGAGTTAATCATTGTGCAGACATAGAAGTTACACAAAACTTTAAGGCTTCCGATCATGATCATGCAAAAACTCCAATATATTCTCATATTTCTTGGACAGACAACAGGTAACTGTAACCTAACAGACTATCAGTTTTCATCTGTTGTACCTACATTTCTACTGTTTACATTGGTTTTATTGTTGTAATTGTGTATTTGACTGAATACTAGCTTTACATGTGTATTTTTCATTTTATGCAACTTTATGCTGCTGCTGAAGTAATTTTAATATGAGAAATTATACTTTTAACTTTTAACGACGTCTTTAACTTGCAGTTTTTCTGCAGAAAAAGATTTTACTAATGAAGTCTATGCTAAAGAGTTCATATGTGATGCATTGCTACAGATGACACTATCCAACAGCACAACACCTGAAAAGATAGTAGATTCATTTTCTTAGTTACAGAAATTAGGGAGAGTATAATGTGCAGTTTGCTCGTGAGCCTCTCTTTTTCTTTTCTCTTTTTTTTTCTTTGTAGTATCTAAAGTGAAAGCTTCCCTTGTTCAATAGTAAATCATTAAAGCTAGTGTTATAAAAGAAAACATCTGAAAGAGCCTGGCTCTCAAACGGACTGCAAATCCTGGCTGAGTGAATCTATTCGCAGGAATACTGATACTGTGTAAAATATTGACTGTGAAATGAATGCTTTTCCAAATAAAACAAAATGAATTGACAACAATGCTGATGAACAACAAATGTCATGATCATGAACATGATCTAGCTCCAGCTTCGGAGGTGAAGATCTGCTGCTTTTCCCTGTTTTCTATCATCAGTTCCTGGAATTTGTTATGAGCGTTCAACACTTTTCTATTACCTCTGTTATCTCAGCTCAAGTTAATCTAAACATAATTAACAGATTATCCAGCAATGAAAATAATTAATTGCAGTATGTTCACTTATGAATAAATGAAAACTTTAAAAAGAACAATTCCTCTCCTGATTATTCTCACACTTTTAAGACTTGAGCACCGTTTAATGCTAAAATCATCAAGACGTGGATTGTTGGACTTATCGATCCACATACAGTTTCTCTTTGTCATTATGAAAGTCAGTGTTTTCTCTGTCATGCAGACTCAGTGCTCTGAGCCACAACCATCTCTGGCCTCATGTTGCCTTTTAGAAAAACAAGAGACTTTCACACAGGGAGATGATTTTAAATCAGGGAAAAAGCAGGAAATGATACCAAAAAAAAGTTGGATCAGTGCATCCTTGCTTGTCATGGGTTTTATACTGTGGAAATGCTACAAAAAAAATAATAAATTCCCACACCCCTGTAGCAATAACCATCTCGTGCAAATACAGCGCCTTGGCTCGTGTTTGTCTTGGCTTTGTGACATCCGTCTCTGAGCTTTCTGCCTCCAGCTCCACTACAATGGAGGTGAATGTAAACACTCTCCACAGAGTCTCCACAAAGTAGCTACTTGGCAAATATGGAAATGTGTCGCGACAGAGAAGTGAGTAAACCGCGTGCGTGATATGATCACAGCTGCTAAACGGAGCGTGAAGTCTTCCTCCGTCAGTGTCGCTCCAAGAAACAACCTGGGGCAATTCAAACCAAAAGTGCGCGCACAGATTCTGCATAGCTACCTCTAGGGATGACAGGAATCAGTTGCGTTTGTGCCTTATTTTTGGGTGAAAAGACCGTTTGCTGCCACTATCCGTTCATCAGGATTACTTGTGGCTCTAACATCCCTCGCCTGGAGCCTCTCTCTTTTTTTCTTTTTCTTTTTCTTTTTTTCTTTTGGATTTTAGATGATGCGCCTGTTGCATCATCCCACCACCAGTTTAATGTAAAGCTTCAGTGAGGAGTGTGTGCAGAGCAAAAATCCAAACTGTCTGACACTGCAACACACAGCATGCAGCGCTTGTCTGACTAAAAAAAAACTTGCACAAATCACTTTTAGAAACATTTGAAGCGCCCTCCGCTCCCACGTGCCCACGCGTATGTTCCAGCCAGACTCCGTGCGGTTTTTTTTTTTTTTTTTTTTTTTTTTTTTTTTAACACAACGATGGATTGAAATGATTTTTAAAAACTTTCAACAACCAAAACACACATCTAAACAACTTGAACGACTCAGTCTATGCGACACAAAAACTTTGCATATATTTACCTTGGTCATGTTGCCTTTAATGTGCTGGAGAGATTTGTGGATGTTTACTGCTGCATCGGGAGATCTTGACTGACATCCAAGTCCGTCCCACTCCTGCTCTGCTCTGCGAACCGACGGCACGAATGTAAAACCTCGATCACTTGTGCTTTTTAAAGCAGACTTAAAAGTTAATATTCCACCATAAACCCCCCCAACTTGCTGCTTGAGGAACTGCAGTGCGCCTGCACAGACTTCACTTCTTGAGGGAGAGTCTCCAACCAAGACAAAAAAAAAAAAAAGATCACCCAGTGAGTGTTTTACATCTAGAAGCCGGGGTTTGTATTAACCCAGTTTATACGGAGCAGGAGGTCCGTTAGTTGTAGTGAGTGTAGTGGAGCAGCAGCTTCTGCTTCTACAATAGAGTCTTTGTTGGACTCTCAGCCGCAGACCTGACTGTGATGAAGGCTCAAAGTGGCCTGTGACTGTTCGCCAAGCTGCCTGTTTTCCTCGGAAGGATGACCCTGAAAGCATCACTGGCTGCGTTTTCATTCACTATGGGCAACATGCATTACCTCAGTGTGTGTGTGTGTGTGTGTGTGTGTGTGAGTGTGTGTGTGTGCGTGTGTGTGTGTGTGCGTGAGTGTGGTGTGACAACTCACCTCTTATTCTGAAAAATACATCATTTTCTTTAGTTATCTTCACATGTGTCACTTTGTGTCATGGACAACACACGGCTCTGATGAGGAAGAATGCATATGAATAACACATAATCTATGGTCACACTGCGTCGACTATGAAGTAATAATTTAATCATTAGTTGTTGTGTAAGTGCCAAATGAAACCTTCTGAAATCAGTTCTTATCAAGCATATAGGGTAAATACGCCATAAAAGTAAATACGCCATAAAAGTGTAGCTGGTTGCAAACTGTAGTTGAGTAAAAAAGTGTATTTTTTCTGAACCGTAATGGAGTAGAAGTATAAAGTGGCAAAAAAGTGAAGAAATACTTAAGTAAAGTAAAAGTAGTCCTATAGCTACATACGTTATATTTGTACATTTTAAAGTTAAATTTGACCACCAGTTGTAACTGTATATATTCAGCCTTTCTTGACACCTTCATCATTTTTGCTCAATGATACTTTAACTAGATCCCTTGTAGAGGAACCGCTCGACATTCAGCTCATCAGGACCCTAAAACATTAGATATCTGTATGGAAATTAACCACAAATAGTTTGATATGGGATAGAGTAATAGAATAGAATAGAAGCGGTTTCAACTGTATCTCACCATTATCAGTAGATGGAGATTTCTCGGGTGTCATGGCAACGGTTCAGGTGCTGTAACAAGTGGTCACATACAGGTGGATGGTGTAGTGCGTTACATGCGGCACCTGCAGGAAACACTCGACAAGAGAAGGGAGAAAAAACCATTTGCTGTCAACTTCAGCTGTCTGTGAAAACCTAAAGAAAGCATCGAATGTGAAGAGGTCAAAGGTCATCGACCGGCGGTCAGCTGACAGTGCCAAAGACCAGGGCTGTAGCCGGGAGACGTGATTCCAAGTTGCCAAGTGTCAAACCTCCAACCTAAGAAAGCCTGTAAAACCCTCCATGTTAATCCTTCACTTAGCTTTTCCATCAACTTCTCCTTCCACTTTATCATTCCCAAGGGGAAACTTGTCTCGCAGCCAGGTGAAACACAGAACACGGTCTCATATTTTCTTTCCTGCAAAATGTTCCACACGTTTTTACAAGACTTTCTGCAAAGTGCCAACTAAATTTTTTAGTTATAAAATAGTCCACAGAGAGTCTGTGACAACCAGAAACACTGCTTCATATTTTATAAACCGATCATTGTTTTTTTGCAAATATTCAACCAGCGAAGTTCCTGGTAAATACGGCTGTCAAATAAATGTAGTTGCATAAAAGTACTAAAATAGTCAAACCTAAAAATATATAGCCCTAAAAATATCAACAGCTTACATATCTAATTTATGTGCACGGTCAAATTCCCAGAAACAAAACTGCACACATGACTTCCATGTCAGAGAAACCTCCCCTCGTATGAACACCTGATATCATGTGACTGAAGCTGCACGCTTATGTCATGTGATAATAATTAGAAATTAATTACAAAAATTAATCTGCTGATGACAACTGTGAAACGTGGTTGAAGTCAATCTCACACTTACAACTACAATTGGCACATAAACGGTGAGTCTGCGACACACACACGGCATCACTCTTGTGTTGGAGATCCTTTTACTTATTCTTCCAAAAAACATGTTTCCTGTCATGATGCTGACTCAGATTCCTCAACATCTTTCTTGTGAACTGTTTTTTCTGTTAAGTTATACAGAAGTTCGTTTTTTTTAGCTTGCATGACTAATAACCCCAAGTTAAACACACGGCTGTTAGATGTGATACTGAAGACACACTAATCCAAACCCTAAAAACCACTGAACAATCAACAGATATGTACAGGTCATGCAGTGTGTGACTGGAGAAAACTGAGGCGCTTTCTCCCCCAGCTCTGTGCCGGCCACTGTATGAGGTGAATTCAGGTAAAAGCCGCTGCGAGTTACTGGTTCTCTTTATTACATCTATCCCAATTACGGGGGATGAGATGGAGAAAATGAGCAGTTGATGAGGATTTCTATGCTGAGAGACAGAAATATGGATTGTACAAATGGAGATGAAACTCACATTATGGCCCATAAAGATTCCTGGAAAATGGGCCTTATCTAATTCTGCAACCTAAAATGAAATAAATCTTACTAGCTGCGATTTGAAAGGAACTTAAAGTTATGATCCCGTTTCAGAGCTGTGGAATAAATCAGATATTTTGTGTCCCGCCCAAGTGTCTCTGAGCTCACACTGGGTAATTTTAGAGTGACTATTAAAACCAGGGAATTTGACACATTTACAGTAATGTCCTTTTATGTTAATTGTTCCATTAACAGAAATAAGCAAATGATTAAGGCCTAAATTGGCAAACTGGAGAAAGCTGCAGTGCTGTAACAGTCCACAAGAGAGCGGCAGTGGTCCGCTGCTGAACAGACAACCGACAGAAACACTGCAGTGTTTTAAATTAGACCAACACGAAACACCAAAACCATATGTATCAGTCTATCAGCAGAGAAATTGTGTAAAATGAAAATTTGACATGCTTTTAAAGAAATTATTTTATTTTTTTAAGCACTAGATAATGGAGACAAAATCATTTTTGTTTGCAGTGTAATGTTTATACTGTCCATGTGTGTCACTTCATGACACAAATACACAACCGATAATAATGCTTCTTCTATTACAACAGAACACAACATGGAACACCTTTATATTTGAAACGAACAAACATCAATATATCTTCTTTTGTTTTGCATTATGGGATTGTTTGCACAGAGCGATTAGAGTGAACCGTACTCATTATACAAAAAGGTCAAATGTGTGTTCATAGTGGTATTTCTATACGTACAGTTTTTAAGTTTGTATTTTTGAGAGGGAAGATCAAAAAGAAAATGATTCCTGGATTCTCAACAATAGTGTGTTTGTTTATTTGTTTGTTTTTACCTTGCCCTGATTCCATATTGTACCTACTATATACTGTTTGTCATAGAATACTGTAAGAAACTGTAAGAACACTAGGATACTTCACCATTTTCATCCAACAGGAAATGAAACAATGTGTGATGTCACTGCCAATAAAGTGTAATGATAAGAGAACAAATTGTAATTCCAGAGAATTACAAGTTATATTTTAATTCCAAGTTCGTTACGTGTTTCGCCGCTGTGAGCTGTGTCTACATTTCCTTTGTGCATTACATCTTAAATCTCTTCTGTCATGTTGAGGCTCTGTTAAACCCACTGAGATGCTACATAAAATATTGGACTGTACAAACAAGAAACAGGGAGTTTTAATTATAAAACAAATCAAAACTATAAACATGGTTAAACCTACATTTCTGTATGTACAAGATGAATTTTACTAAAACATAAAGAGTAAAAAACAGTATCTCCAAGTTAAAATTTTCAACTCACTGCCAATGTTTTTTTTAAATTTTATTTTCCTCAACACTATGGGTCTGGATTTTAAAATACATTTTTAATAATATATATGTTTATATATTTTCTAAATTTTAAATATGTACAGTAAAATATCATTTTAAATTACTTAACAGGGAAATACAAGTACTTGAATTGGTGATGCAGACACTTCTGAAAAATTTGATGTTCACATTTTACCCTTATTAACTTTTAGGAGAGGCTAAGCTGCACCTGATGGACCAACTACAGCTCTGAGGCCAGGGCCTTTCTTAAAGGATAAGTCTGGCTATATTCTTCGTTTTTCTAAATGCAAACCAATCCCATGAGAGACTTCGACCGACAATTAACTGATCTTGCAAAACAAGTATCGTCTTTGTCGTCAAAGCCTGATGTATTTTATCACCATAGCGCTTTGATGTTGTCAAAAAACAATTACAAACAAAACAGTGAGTCACACTGTTGTAGCATTGCCATGAACACACACACACACATACACACTGTAAATTAATTTGACTCAATCCCACATACACCGTCCCGCTGCCAGAAATACACACCAGAAGAGCAAATGTGTATTCATCCGCCGCTGAAAGTAGTCCCTAGCACATGCACTTTTTCCTTCTGTTTGAGCATCATTCTCCATTAGGGTTGGGGATTATTTTTGGGCCCTATTTCTAAAAATGTTTACACTGAACTGTTGTTGGTTTTTGTCTTTTCATGGGATGTGTTGACAGGAAGAAAAATAGAGAACGTGCAGAGAAAGCGTATGTATTTTCATGTTGGGGAAACTAAACGAAACACGACTCAAACTGGAGGTTGGGTCCGTTCAGGTTTGGACCCGGGACACTTCCCGCTGCGAGGCAACAGCTGACGAATTAAAAAAAAACAAAAAACTGCGGCATTTGTAGAAGTGAAACTTAACAAATCCCTGGAGAAAAAAAACCCTTTGACACTTTATAGTTTTTTGTTGTTGGTTAAAGAATTCATATTTACATTAATACAAATGTTTTAAAATTCTATACATACTGCTTTGTATTCTGTACAGTACAGCCTACGACTGCTTCAATCAGCTCATGTTTTATGCAACAGTTTAGGTGCATTCCATCCAGCCAGTTCTCATGATGTGAACACTGGATAAACAAGTGCCTGGTGACAGGAAACAACACCGTGTGAATACTAAAACAGCTCACAGAGAAACACCTCCTGCTGCTGCTGCTGCTGCTGCTGCTGCTGTCCTCGTCTCGTCCTGCTCCACTCCTCTGTCCAGAAACTGCAGGTTGATTTCTTTAGCAGGGCAGAGCAGGGTTCTGGTGATGGGCTTCACTGTGGTTCCAGCAGGATCTGGCCTCACCTCATAGTGTTTGATCAACTTTGAAAGATAAAAGAGAGAGGAAAATTGTTCAAGTGAGTGAAATGATATTTTTTGGCAGGATATTTATTCACGTGAGCCACACGAGCGCAGACAGAGTCCACACTGCAGTTAATGATTAGCACCGGCTCAGCAGCTGACTGAGAAGATTCAGTCCAAAGTCAGACGATTGATCTGTGGTCTGTATCATCCCAATGCCAAGAATAACAACAGTTACTACAGGTCAGTGCTGCTCTCTGAATGTAGCTAAAAAGTAACCGACTTCCTGGGAGATTGGTGTTTAACTTGCTCAATTCACAAGGGTGTACGCCGTGGGGTTGGATGCTGCTGGAGTCAAAGGTCACTGATGTAGACAAAACAAATCGAAATGAAATAAAGAAAAAAGGACACAAACTCATGTGAAAAATACAGTGAAAAAAAAAGTGCTACAAACATAGAGATCATAATAATAAGAGAAAGATCAGGAACACTAAGACCAAATTATGAACCGAAACTTCTAAAATATATCAGAACTAAAGTTATAACTTGAGTTTAAATTTCGTTTGATTGAAATGAAGCTATATGTACATTATAAAGGAAAAATACATTCACATACAAACTTCTGACACTGCATGACATTTGACACTGTGACTATCTGAACTGTAGTAGCATCCTGTAGTGTTGTGACCCCTCCACATCATATCATTGATAAAACCTGATTTTTATAGGAGAAAAACCTCAGCAGTAAAACCCTCCACGCACAGGTCAACACAGTCCATAACAAGCTAAAAATACACACACCTCTGATTTATTGTTGGCTCATAATTGTTAATGTTTGAGTGTGAACCAACAGACAAATGTTTACACAGTAAGCACACATACAGCAACATTTTTAGCATTTCACGTTCTCACCCTGGACAGAAGAAGATACATCTCAAGTTCTGCCACCCGTCGGCCCAGACACGCCCGGATCCCAAAACCGAACGGCACGGACCCGAACGGGTGCTGCTTGGACTTCTCCTCCGCCCCCCGGAGCCATCGCTGCGGCAGGAAGGTGTGGGCGTCAGGGAAGATCCTCTCATCGTAGGACACGGCGTAGTGGCACAGGTGGAACAGCGTCTGTGGGAGAGGACATCCCCGTTGTTAAACTGTAACACTGTACAAAGTCGGTACGAGGGAGGTAAAGCTGTTGGGCTTAAAGCTTTGGCATCATTAGCTCCAGCAGGTGAAATTCACATAAAAAATGTCTTAAGAAATTAGATTTCCATTTGTCCTTGGGCTCTATATGAGACACAGCTGATCTCATTAAAACATGAAAGACAAGGCATATTTGTATAACTCATTTCACACACAAAGACAATTCAATGTGCTTTACATAACGCATTCAAATATTTAAAAAAAATCATAAATCATTCAAATACAAATTAAGAGAAGAGAAACCTTTTAAAAGGAAATTGAAATGAGAAACGAGAAATAAATACAGGATGGATAAAGATGTGAGTGCAAGATGCTTCAAAGTTCAGTGTCAAAGTTAAAAGTATTTAACCTGGAATGAAAGGTTACTACAACACCAAGTGATAATGTTGATGAAATAACAATAACAGGCCAAGGCCACTAGAGGGAGCAACTGTTGTTCTCTTCCTGTCACTCAGCAGCTGCACAAGACTGAACAACTGCCCCATCACTTTACTAGTTCTGATAAATGAACTGTTTTCACAAAGCACCTAGCTATTAACCTCTCATTAAACTATCCAAACAAACACATACACTGATGGAGTAGCTCCCCTACTTCCTTTCTGAATGGTATTAAGGTAAAATTATTCATCTAAAATTACATTAAGACAATTTCTTACCGACTCAAAATGTATTTCTTGAAATATGTCGATATGAAATATTTTTATGAAGCTGAAATATAGATTTACTTTATGTTACATTTTTTTCCAACGATAATGTGCACATTTTGGCCATAAAACTTATATTAAGTTTTATTTACCACATTTCCTAATCTTATTCCAAGTGAATGGACATATATGACATGACTAAGTTGGATAAGTTCCACCAGTTCTTACTGAATACAGTGAGAATATCTCTTTCTCTCATGAACCAAGGATTTTGTTAAAGACGCCACATGGAAAATTTGAGTCTGACACACAGTCTCACCTTTTTGGGGAAGAGGTGATCTCCCACCACAATCTCATTTTCAACAGTGAGGCGGGCGTTTCCTGGTACCACCGGATACAGCCTGGGGACCGCAGAACACAGTGGGAGTCAGCGCACGCTACATGATGATCGAGTGTTGACTGCCATGTTTTTATTTGTCTAGTTTAAAGCTGCAGCACTTAGTTTATTAATTTAATAATCAACTGACAGGAAATTAATTGGCAGCTATCCTGATCATCAATACATTGTTTTTGTCATTTTTCCATTTGATAATCTCCTTTGTCACACATGACGGTAAACTGAAGACGTTTGGGATTTTAGAGCGACGGTCTAATAAACAAGACGTGAATACATCACGCTGGACTCTGGGAAATTATACTGGACATTTCTCACTATTAACTGACATTTTAATGACAAATCAAGACAATACCCTGCACATTTATTGAATATAAGTCGCAGCCTTAGTCTAGTCATGAGACAGATCTTAACATTCGATGTCAGGTCCTTTCAGCCGGAGCAAACATCCTTTAAACAACCAAACAAACCAGTGGATGTCTTATTGATAAGACTCTCTGACCGTAGCGTCTCTCTGATGATGGCCTTGAGGTAGGGCATCTGAGCGATGTCATCGCTGGTTGGCATCTTATCTCCGGGGCAAACACCTATCACTTCCTGGTATAACTTCTCTTGGATCTCTGGCTCTTTCGCCAAGTGGTACAGACACCAGGAGATAGTGTTGGAGGTCTGCAACACAGAGGAACACACACGCCGTTATCATCTGTTGTTTGCCGCAATGCTTCAGTGTGTGTCGTCTCAGTGAGATCTCCAGGTCATTTCAACATTTTAATGTCTATATTCGAATGTGAAGCAGATCTAAACTATGTGTTGAAACACAGCGATTAAACTCTTATTTTAAATAGTTAGAATAAAGTCTTGTGCATAGATAACTGATATAAAAATATATTCTTCAAGCCAATAACACACACACACCACACACACACACACACACACACACACACAATCTACTCACTGTGTCGACTCCTGCCAGCAGGAGTTCGGTGATGCTGCCCAGAATCTCGGTGAACGTCATCTGATCACTGAGCAGCAGGTGTGTGAGGTACGCTCCCTCCACGTTCTCGTCCAGGTGCACCTGCTTCTGGATCTCGTCCATTTTCTTCTGGACCAACTCTTCAGCTGCGTGACACAGGGGAGGGAGAGGGAGAACCAAAAGTGAGAGGAGACGGCCTCCACACTTTTTGCCCACTAGATGGCGAAAGACGAACACACTGAGAGGGATCTGTGTTCAGACGCCTACATGCAGGAAAGAACAGCAGGACATGTGGGTTGGACTTTGTCCCTTGAGGGAGTCACCAGAGTTTAGTGTCCTTGAAATTATTTGATACCGGAACCTTAAAAAAAGGTCCAGGACTGAACTTTAGTAACCTTTTGAAACGACAACCATTAATGGGGGGTAACAAAGAAAGCACTGAGTGACTCACAACACTAACACTACCAGGCAAAGCGAACTGAGCGACTCAGCCGCTAACGAGAGCCCACGCCCAAACTGACAGTGTGTTATTTGGGACTGAGGATGCAGTTCAAATGCTTTCTAAACAAGGGAAGAATGCCATACTTCAGTGAATCTTTTTTTAAACAATGTTTTCACCCCACAGTGGCGGCATGTGGTGTCTGTTTATTCAGAGGGACTTCAGGGGATCATGTAAAGGGGAAAAAAAAAAAAAAATCAGGTTCCAGTGAGTTAACACTGAACAGGGAAATAAATCATCTGCTCATCACAATGAGCATCACTTGCTAAATATTAAATAGCAGCTGGCTCAAAAGAGGCTACACTTTGATTTGCTGGTTGAAGTGAATGTTGCTCACCGACTTTGAAGAGATGATCCCAGGCTGCCACAAACTTTTTCCAGAAAGTCAGGTAGGGCCAGTAGGACTTGGGGAAGAGGACGATGACCTGGGAGAGCTGAAACATTTCCCCCACGGAGAGGATGAACTTTTGGGTTTCCTCGGGCACCACCTCGTTCATGCAGCCCATACGCGTCTCAAACAACACGGAGCAGATACCTGCATTTAAAAAGAAAAGGAATATACAGTGACTATAATATTAACAATTGGCTTCAGTAACCATCCGAGGTCAGAAGGGGTGATTTTAAATGATTTTAGCATATAGACTTTGGCCAAAAGTATGTGGACCCCTAAAAATTACACCTGTAAGTGATTGTTGAACATGTCATTCCAAAACCATGAGCATTAAACCTGCTGTTATAACAGCCTGCGCTTTTCTGTTTCAGGTTTGAACCTGGCTGCAGGGATTTGCTCCTATTCAGCAGAGGTGAGGTCTAACACTGAAGGTCTGGGTCACAGTCTGCATTACAGTTCATCTCAAACGTGTCAGATGGGGTTGAGGCGACGGTTCTCTGATCACAACCACTTCTTCACAGAGCTCGCTTTACGCACGGCAGCATTGTCATGACGAGACAGCAGAGGGTCTTCCCTGAAAGGAAGGGGCCTAGACCAGAAGTACACAAAAGTATGTGGACCAAGAGTGACCAAATACTGAACTGTAGTATATGTGTCATTTTTCATTTTGACATGTTGACAGCAAATGAGCGTATTCACCAACATCCCCACATGTTCTTCTAATATCAATCCCATATGAATGGAGCTTCAGAAGTGCATACGAAATTGTCAAAACCTGCAACTGCAACTTTGAAAATGATATGGTTCAAGGTCATATAATGTGCCTGAACCTCCCTGTGGGATCACAGCAGGTTCTAGGATTAAACCCACAGTTTATCTCACAGTATCTAATCAGCTGTCAAGGCCAAACGACTCAGCAACTGTGTCAAAGTCAACACCCAGAAAGACAAATAACTAATACTCCGCTCCACTTACATCAAGCTGTTAAGGTGTTCACACAGTCATTGTAAAACACTCAGGTGAAGCAACTTTGTGACACACTTTTAAAAGACAGCTGTAAGAAGTAGATCTGCAGGAGTCAAACAGTCAAGGACAAGTGCAGCAATCTATCAGAAACGGTACGTGTCGTTCATGTGAAATGCTTTTCGTCTTGCTGTGCCCTGTGTTTTTGGAATTGGCTTTTGAAGAAGAAATGATTAACAAATCTCTTTTGCAGAGAACTTTGTTCTTGTAACATTCAACTTGTGTTAAGTTGTAAGAATGTGCAGTTTCTTTCATTCATATAAGACTTGTTAAACCACCACCTAAAAAGTGACATGCATCTTTTGTCTAGAGAGCTTGTGAGGAAAATTAGGATTTTGAGGGGATTAAATAAAAACATTTAATTTATTTGTTCTCTACTGACCCTCAAAAGCAAATTTGTAGAGCTCTCCAGTCAGGTCATTGACCATGACTCCGTGGCCGTTGGTTTCCCTCAGCCGGGCCACTCTGCTGATGAAGTCCGTCACCACCTCGTTGATAGTGTTCGAGTAGGAGGAGACATGTTTGGGCTTCAACATCCGAGGGTTCAGGATGCTGCGAATGCGCTGCCACTTGGCCCCCATCCTAAAAAAAAAAAAAAAAAAGAGGATTAATAAGAAGGTAAAGAATAAGACAAGCTCACACTGGTAAAAACTGAAATAATCCATTTTACTGCTCTAAGATTAAGGTGTAGACCATTTCACTGGAAACTTCCAATCACAGTTATGACACACACACGGCCCGACTGCCACGAATTCCCTGTTTGTTTTTAAAGTTTAACATCCTCTCCATGATTAGTAGGTCAGAGACTGAGAAGCCACAGACGTGGAGAGACACAGGTGTTATTGGTTTTTGTGTTTTCATGGGATTTGTTGACCAGACTTATCCCTTTCTTAATAAGTCCAATATAAGTTTAGAACTGGGAACCGCTTCTCTTCCTTTTTACTCTGAACTGGTCTTTGATTTGTAAAATAATCATTTTAAAGACACCTGAAATAGTAAAGGGGGTTCTGTAGGTAATCACTACCAACGTCGAGGGCTGCCAAAACAAGTCTGACAAGACTGACTGAATACCAGTGAGGGAAAGCTGCTGTTAGTCAAGAAAGAAAACTTTGCCTTTTGTTTCTGTTTGGGTCTGACTGGAGTGAAAGGCACAGAGAGGGAAGAAAAGTTCGCTCTACACAACTATAAATTTGCACACAGCAGAGTACAAATGGCAGCTTAACTATAAATACTGTATGTCTGGCTAAACTGTCTTCAATAAGACAATTCCTAAGACTGAATATAAGTGTTACAGAGTGCTAAAGGCATTGTGGCCTTTATCGATACTTGTTATGTTATATTCACTTTGGAGGAGTTTTAAAGTTGTTAAGATGAGTGCATATTTGGCTGTATTGTTTTACTACATTCACCAATGAATCTCCTGATGAAAAAATGCAGTTCTTTGAATTTAAACCTGCAGTTACTTAGGGGGAGAGGAACAAGCATATTAGCATCTTTTAGCTCAGCTTTTTTGCAGTTTTTAGTTGATGTGGTGGACAGATGCCCGTTTATGCATACATCTGCAAACATTTTGGAGTCATGTTTGAGTCCACGTTAATGAATGTAAATACAATATTCACATTTGTCCCCACCGACTAGTCACTAACTGTGCTGGTTGGTGCTGAGCTGGCAGTGTACAGTGTGTTCTTAGATCTTCTTTTGAAGCCTGCTGCATGAAAACCAATGCATGAACCAAAACAGTAAAGTTACAGACTGGAAAACCAAAACAATGAGCTGAAAGACACGAAAATGCTCATTAGAGCTGAGAGGAACTGCAGAGTTAAGTCAACATTTTCTGTGGATTCATCTTTACAACCAAGTCCTTTCACATTAAAAGTAGTCATGTGATCCATCGTTGATTGTAGCTGTTTTAAAGACCAGAAAAACAATTTTTACATTACTGCAAACACATTATAAATTAAAAAACATCAATGCAGCCTTTTAATTTCAGCTGATATTGTTCTTTTGAGGATTGTTAAGGATTTGGAAACCTGGTGGTAATCCAGCCATGCTGTGACATAAAGTCTGTTAAATAAGGAAGCTCATCTCTCAGAGAACACCAGGCTTTATATCCTCTCCAGCCTGAGGAGTGGATGCAAAGCTAGAGGAGGGTTTAACTCACTCTGTCAGGGGTCCATGGGCCTGGTTCCTGAGCTCTCTGTAGCTCCTCCAGTGGGGCATGTCAGTCCGGACCGGGTGTCTCCCCTCCTGCCTCAACACCTGCTCTATCAGCTCGGCGCTGGCCACGTTCACCACGACCAGAGGGCCGTACGTTGACTTCCACAGAGGACCGTAGATCTTGCTGTGCTCGATCTTTGAGCAAATAATGATAAAATGAAAAAAAATAAAAATGAAAAAATACACAAATTAACACAGTTGAGATGAATGCATAAATTGCTGCAAGAGAAACACTCTTTAATTTGGCTAGTTTACTTATTCTAACATTAAGTTTCCATTTTGGGGCAGCACATTCCAAAATAATTGCACTGAAGTGACTAAAAGTTTGATGACCGAGTCTCGTTTGTGCAGTAATGGAGGCCACTAGTTCAGTGTCTTTGTTCAAATCACTTAACTCTGTGGTCACGTCTCTTCTCCAGGGTGTGTGGCTGAAAAAGTCCTCTTCTTCTTTTAATGGCAAATTGCAAAAAGGCTGAGCTTTATCGCCACCAAAATGCTGCAACACAGAGTTCTTATATCCTTGTTATCAGTCTTGTATGTTGAAGACATAATGTAAAAACTGAACTTCCTGAACTGTGTGTTTAATCCAAGTAAGTTCTTTGATTGGTATTTTTCAGGCAAACACAAGAAATGGTTTGAGAAATGTCAGCTGCAGCATTGTTTGCAAAACATTCATCCAGTTTGAGCTGCACTGAAAATCCAGCTACGATATCTGCCTCCAACCCAATACAATGTATAGGAAATTCAAATTTTTGTCCACTTGGATTCAACAATGAACTGATTAGAGTTTGGTGGTCAAAGGTCAAAGGTCACCGTGACCTCCCAAAACACTTTCTTTGGCTTCTTGAATGTGATATGTCAGGATCGCCTAGAGGGGCTTTCTTTAGCGCAAACATTCACTTGGACTCAGAGATGGACTGATCACATTTTGGTGAGCAAAGGTCAAAGTTGAAGACCAGGGTGACCTCACGTTCTTGTGATTGTAAATATATCAGGAACACCCAGAGGGGATTACTTTACATCTGGCACAAATATCCGCTTGGACTCAAGGATGTTATACAAAAACACTTTTATCCATTATACAGTGCTGTTTATCAGGAAGGGGAGTTTGTGATATTTCCTGCGACTTGGCTGGTTGCCAGAGGTCTTCCAACCAGGAGGTGGTAATTCTAGTTTTTCCATGAAGTAACTGAATAAAGTACATGTAGTTCATAGTGAAGATGTAATTTTTCACTGCTCCAGTGTAGCTACTTGGGAAAAAGAATAAATCTCAGACGCAAAATCAATGCACATATACCAAAAACCTGCAGGGATAGATCAATCTGGTGAGAAAATATATATTTTTGTAATTTAGGTGCATTGATCCTTTATATAAACAGTAACCTATTCCACTTCTTACATTCAATGCTGAATTCAGGGTGAAAGAATAACTGCAGTGCACGTGCATGGCTGCAGTGTAGCTGAAGATGAAAAACAAACAGTATCAAGGACAAGTCATGTCATGTTATGTTATGTGCACGTCACCCCTCATCCTGCAGAGATTCACTCATTTCTTTCTTACTTGCATTTGTTGCGTCGTTTGGAAATAGCCCTTCACAAAAAGCCAATATAAGGTTGTCATGAAACTCGGTCCGCCTAATTCGTCCATAGTTTTCAGTTTGTTGTTGGTTCCCATCACGGGGGTGGTGGTAGTGGTGGTGGATGCGTCGCGGCGGTGGATGTCCCCATAATTCACCGGACTGAGTCCCGCTGTAAATCTCTGAATCCCTTTCTGTCGCTGTCGGTGGACGACTCGCAACCCGACGTTCATCAGGGATTTCCTCAACATTTTAACAACAGAAAGCGTCTCTTTCCCGCGGTGTCTGAGGTACAGACAGACGTGACAGTCCTAGTCCGCGTCTCTGACGTGCAGTCTGCACAATGGCTCCTTATCTGCAGCAACAGCGCAGCTTGATCCAACCTCTGAGCCAACTGTGGACTTCGATACGTCATAAACTGCAGTTACAAACTCTAAGACACCTGTTGCTAATGTGGTTTAAGAGATTAAACTCAATGCACTATTACTAATATATAGCGTTTTAATAAGTAATATTTCTGATACTCTACTGCAGCAGGTGCCAAAAATATAAAGCAAAATATACATAAATAAAGACAACAAACTGCATTTACATACCGCTTCTCCTGCTTTGTTCATATTCATAGTAAAGTAAATAAAGTAAAATAAAGTAATTTTAGTGTTATATTTCTGCACCAGATGCTTTGAAGATGGAAGACTATATTATAATCATGGATTGTGCATTTAAAGGAGAATCCAACCCTTTTTAAGAATTCACATTTATTATTCCTGTGCCCCAGAACAGACTGGTGAATATTTGTGAACATGCAACACTCTCCTCTTAAGCTAGAAACCAAAGGGAGAACCCTATAATGTCATCCCAGTTTGCTCTATAACAATGAATGGGGCTCTGATGCTGTTTGTGTAATTTCTTACATCAAAATGAGTGTTTAAAATCATACGCTTTATGTCCAATTCAACATCTGGATGAGACCTGTTAGGCGGAACACTACACAGGTACTGTATATTATGGGGTTAGTGAGGTAACTTAGTGGCTCAAAGTAATTTCAGCTATTAGCCTGACTGATGAAAGCAAGCCTATAGGCTACCTCCAGAGTCTGTTTCTCTGCAGTATTAGCTCATGATTTGCGCTCAATAGCCCTTAATGTAGGGGGTTCAATTAAAAAGAGTAATGCAGTTCCTGCCTTCCATATTTTCACTTGTCACTCAATTAATACACAACTGATTATTCACAAAGTCAGTGCCACTTGTGTTAATGATTCTCTGTGATGTCTATCTTCAGGAAATATAATACAGAATTAACTGTCCCTGGGCACAGGATTAACATATGTGACATTCAAGCCTTTCATTTAGTCCAAACTGCTTTCAAATGAATGAACTGTATGTTGATGAACTTATTTATCAGTAACTTGAACTTCGTGCACAGCTGCTGTTACTTATTTGAAGTTTACCTTCACTTACCGTTGCAGTTTATGGATTTGTGCTGCTGCTTGTGGACTTGATGTTTGCTGGTTGACTCTGTGTCCATGAAGATGTGAGCACTCACATTGTGTGAATCTGTCTTCTGATAAAAGAGCGTGTTATGTAATCTGATTCCATCCTGCATCTAAAGGAATGATAAGCACGGGGGAAATTGCAGGAAATTAACAAACGTGTTCAGGCCCACCGCCAAAACAGTAATGGCCGCCCGGCACGTGTTGTATGCTTCAAACCTGGTTGTGGGTTGTTGGACTTCGAAAACCAGGCCGACCGCACTTCAACCGGATCTCTCGGCCCAGACCCGGCCGAGTCTTTGCCACAATAACTTGAATAACAGGATAAGAAAAGTAAACTGGGGAACAAACAAACGTAGAAACTTCTCGTTCCCGTGAGTTTTTAAAATCGGACGAACGGGAAACGGGGCGTGCAGGTAAAAAAACAGAGGTGTGCACATCTGTCTGCTTTAATGGACTGCGCAGGTATGCCGAAAGGAGCCAACTTTGCTTTAAATACGGAAGACAAAAAGCAGGAAGGCCGCAGTGGGCCCATGCCTGGCTCTGAGGAAAGTCCGCGGCCAAAACACTCCGAAACTTCCACCAGGCTTTTTATGCTGTGTGCACGAAGAAATCACCTGCTCGGTACCGGATGTAAGTCCGACAGCGTCACAGGCTTTGAATTTTCTAGAAAAAAAAAGACCGATTAAAATCTGAACAATAGACATTAGTGGTGAGGTAACACAAAAACACTGTGAAAGTGCTTTTGTCAATTTCCGTGTAAGTGTAAAGCAGGAAACTGGTGAAAGACCTGGTGCTCAAAGTTGCTACACAATATGTGACACTGAAGTTACAAGTAGAATTTTTAACCTATTTTTATATGGCGTTAATTTTGTGCCTCATTTCTGAGCGCACAATGGGACTTTCTCAGCACAGGCAAATAAGTATTATAAATTATAAATGAATATTGAATTTTCCCCAAAGGATCAATGAAATATTATTTTATATAAATGTATGCATTTCTAATTGGTGCATTCAAGCCTCTTGCTGCCACCAGAGGGCGACTCCCACTTTTCCTCAAGAAAGGGAAAATCTGTACAACCTGACATCATCATTGGGTTGTAACTTAATTACGGCTAATTATAGTTCATACTTTGTTTTCATACGTTGTCTCCACAATGTGAGACTATTTGTGGTGTCTAAATACTTGTTTCCAAAACCACTCAGCTGGCGTCATCCAGGAAGAGAGTCACATCACCAGTCCTTCCTGTCTGTCAGCAATCATACAGGGCAGATCAGTGTGTGCATGAGAGTATTGGGTAACATAACATTAGTAACTTTTCTCCCAGTGCAACATGGAAAAATTGCAATAATAGGTAATACATTTACTTCATTTTTGGCTTGTGATGCCTTGAAACAAAACAAAGACATATTTCCTCTACTCAGATAATTCTATTCTAATCATTTTTAGAGAGGTGGGGAAAAAAACAGATTACCAAAATGTCAGAAAACAGTTAACACTTCTTTTATCATGTTAATCATCCCACAGCCCTTCAGATTTACCTTGTGACCCCTCAGCAATACCCTGACCCTATGTTATAGGAACCATACAGTGCCTTAAAATGTGTACTGCAGTCTCAGAGTTTATCAAGGTTGACTCAACACCTTCCTCACATGACCTTGACAAAAACAAGACTTTATAAGCTTCACAAATGTGATGCAGTCGTTGTATAGATTTTTTAAAATTTCTTTATAGCTCAGTAAATCAAAACTCAGGCGCTGTTGCTTCTCATGTCGATAAAGTCACAAAACAACTCAGTGAAGAAAAACTTGATATGAAAAAGGAAGGAGGGCGGTGCCCAAGATATCCGGCTGTAACCTGAGGAGACCTCAGAGTCACCGTGACAACAGATGGGAGCAGGTTTTATGTGTAGAGGAAAGTTTCTCACTTTAGCACCTGTAATTTTCACCAGGTTCCGGTTCGTTAAATTTTTACACAAACAAAAATGTATCCAATCAATCATTTGAAAGATGTTAAACAATCTTAAAATTCACTTGCGATATCTGGAATAATCAAATAAAAACTGACACAAAAGCTGAAAAACAATTAAAATCTTTATTCTTCTACAAAGAAATTACTCTCAAATTGTTTACAAATGATGCTCAGAGGCCACCGCTCTCCTTAAGGCTACACAGAGTATTGACTTCTCATATTCAAAGACATCATTTCTCTCTCTCACTGTATCAGCTGGGATGCCAAAGACATGCTGCAACATAAACAGCAGCTTCCTGTGTGCTGAGACAACTCAGCAGTGATATGGGGCTCATGACAAAACAAGAGTACACATGTTATAACTGGCAAAGGTAAATAACAGAAGGCACATGAAGTTCTGTAAGACTCACATTGGGGTGCAGTATCAAAGCATCTGGCTTGTTTCGCAGTATAGTCCATACTAACTTGTACTTCCAATTGCTTGGCTATTAAAATATATATAAAATATATTAAGCAATTCATCATTGGTCGAGTATATTTTGAAATATAAATAATTAGATTCAAGTATTGCAGGTTTAAAGCTACAAAGCATGACCCTAACTGAGTCGACTGATCACTAGTGCACTACTTCGCCATAAATCAGACCCACTTATATACTCAAATATCAGAGAGATCTTAGTTCTTACAGCTGCATTAATCAGTATTTTTATATGAACAGTGAATAAAATGACTAGGTCAAATTCAAAAAAGGGTTGTCCTGTAGTTATGAAGCTAGAGATAACCATCACCAGCCTTTCACCTTGAGCTCTACAGAGCATTCACCCTTTTTCAGCTCGTTGTTTTTGGTTTTCTGGGCAACACACTCTGCTCTCATTAACCCCGTTTCCAGTCACAGCAGGCAGCTGTTTTCTGTCAAAAAGCTTTCATGGACTCACTGTACACAGCCTGCTTGGTGTCAAACAGCTGACAGAGTTAGCTACTCTCTGGTGAACATAATGGAGCATGTAGAAGCTACAGACCCAGATATATTTCTAAGGGATTGGTGAAGACCAAAACAGAGCTCATAGGAAAGTGATTCTGGGGCATCTATTGTTAAGGTCGCAAGAAACACAACTACAAATGAATGCTAATGTTGACTTGTGACTTCTGGACGTGTAAATAAGCAACTGTTTGCTCCACTTTTGCAATTACAAATTTCTACAGTCATAATTTATCAATGTTAGGTTTTCAGCTTGTTCCACTTCCTGCAAAGTGGCCACAATAATACTAATATTAATACTACTACTCCTAATAATAATTTTAATTTTAATTAATGCAGCTTTAAATGAAAGAAAAAAATGGTTGTCCTGCAGCTGGGTTTCAGTATTCCAAAGCAAAAGGCACTACAGCTAACTTTACAAAAAAGCAAAGGACTCTGTCATATCAGTGTGGCTCATCCTAAAAAAACAAATTCATTTCTGTTATGACAGTTTAATGTCTCCGGTCAAAAAGCTGTGACTCTTAAAAATGAACTAAAGCTATTAACCAGCATCTGACCTAGGCACAATAAAAGGTTTCTAATATTGCTATAAGCTGAAATACAGAAACTCCAGTGATGGTTTAAGATGACTGATTGGTGGCCAGAGACTTCCATCAACACAACACGAACATTGCTGCCATTCTGCCTCTGATATGCTAGGCCAGTTTAACCGCACATCTGCATCCACTGAGATGAAACATTATGCATAGTTTACTGCTTCTCTTTCACCAAACGCATCACGTCTCTCTGAACTAAGGCATCTCTTTCACATACAATCTTAACATACATAAAATACACATCATGAAGCCATAAATCAGAAAATAAAATTTGAAGTTTGTTGGCAGAGAAGCAACAAATTATATTTTTGCTAGCAGAATTGTGGATATGTAGAGATGACAGTCCCACATTAAAGGAAGCAAGACACTGAGTAACAGGTCTGTGCCTGGTTCCTTCACCCTTTCCTGAAATCCTCCCGCTGTCCACAGGTAGGCAGTCGTCCTCATTTCGCTCAGTCACTTTCACTGCCTGATTCACTCAGCTGGAGGTCATTCTCTGCAACACAAGAAACACTGGTTCCAGACATGTATCTATAAAAATGTATGAGTCCTTATATCTTTGTCTCACTTTACTGGGTTGTGTGTTATTGTACAGTTTTGTTCGTTTTAGGAAACTTTTATTGCTTATTCATTTCCTAAACCTCAATGATATAAATCATGTTCACAATGTTAGACATAATGTATGAATATATATATATATATGTCTTTTTTATTCATAATATGCATTTTTACATTCTAATATTTGTATTTTTTATTTTAAGGCATTTGACTGTAGATTTTTACTGTTTTGTTTGTCAGTGTATTTCTATTCTTTTGTGTGTTAAATGCCTGATTACAAATCAAAATTCCATTGATAATTATAAAGTAAAAGACGATTAATGTGACACAGATTATATAGGACAGAAAAATTCCTTATAATTTAATGCTTCTTTTATACCAACCACATCATGTCTCTGAACTAATTTCACTCACTTTAACATATTTCATTTGAACCTAAAATGATCATGAGGAAATACTGTAACAACTTTGTTGGTGTAGAGGGCAACAACCTTCAAATTTCATGTCATATTAACCTCTGTTTAATATCTTTAAACATGTTTCGTAGAGTGACTGGTTGAGTAAGAGTGAAGCTGTGAAACTGAGTTGCTGCTGCTTTCATAGTTGTGCTGAAACTGTAAAACTCCTGGCTCATTTTTGACTTAGGAACAAGTGGCTGGTATCAACCTTATGTAAAGATAAGAAAATATGGAAAACATGAAGAAGATAAGCTCTCTTACATACTCAGATGGAGCTAAGATGGCTACTCACTGAGTGTGTTCATGAGTCCTCCACTCTCCTGGTGGCGACTGCTGGTGTTGATGATAGGCATGCTGTGGTTGGCTGGGGCCGGGGCCGGGGCCGGCGGTGGTGGCGCAGAAGTCCGTTCATCTTCAGAGTCGCTGCTGCTGGAGCTGTCATCACTGCTGGAGGACGAGGAGCTGTTGGAGTCTGAGGAGCTGTCGCTGCTGCTCAGCTGGTCCATGATCTGGGCCTCTGCCATCAGCTCTGCACACAGTGGCATAAGCACAAACAAGGATGAATAAATGTGTGATAATTATCCCCATTTATAGAAAACAGTGCACACTAAGTCAACTGATTGTCAGTACAGATGAGGACATTGTGCCCGACACCATGTTACCTCTCTCAATGTCATCCATGGGCGATGCCGGAGATGTCTTCTCTTTGGGAGGAGAACTCTTGGAGCTGGCTGAGGTCTTGTTGCTGCTGCTGCTGCTGCTGTTGTTGTTGTTACTCCTCATCTGCTGGCTGAGGCGACTGGTCTGTTGCTCCAGGCGAGAATGGATTTTGCTGCTGCCCTCAGCCCTGGGAATACACACGCACAGCACAAATAAAAATATGTAAAATGTTTCTATTAAAATGGTGCACAGGTTTGAAACAAATTTTATGCAAAATAAAATGTGAACCAATGCATGTCTCTATCAACTCCCTTTATGTGAATATATTGGGGAGGGCATGACAAGATTACATGGACTAATCCAGCCTCAGTAACTCTCATTCATTAGGCCGTTTTATTGCTGCCCATTTTATCTTTTTCAGTATGTTGACTTTTCCCCCCTCAGGCAAGCTTAAGAACTGTTTTTCTGTTTGGTTTTCACTCTGGTTTGGTAAATAAAAACATGAACACACACTCCACATAAAACTAGCGATGGCAAAAATTTGTTGAGGGAATATGGAATTGAAAAAAAAAAGAGCAGTAGTAATCTAATTTGTGAGCAGTTTTTTCTACCCACCTGGTCTTCTTCACAGCTATGTTGCTGTTGAGTTTTTCCAGTCTGTATTCTCCTGTGTCATGGTTCACAATGAGGATGCACTCTTTCATGTATGGCCTCTTGGATCCCTTGAAGACCGTTACTGGAGCACTTGAACCCTAAAAAACAGAAGCAACACAGGCAGGGCTGTAGCCAGGATTTTGAAATACAGCAGTCATGAGTCTCCTCTCTCCCAGAGACTTTTCACAAGTCACCAAAAATGAAGTCTGAAAACAGTTTCGTTGTTTTTTTTTTTGTTTTTTTTTAATTCTATTCTATTTTACCATGTTTGTTATTTTATTTATTACTGATCTACTCTCCCTACTCCTTCGCCCACCCCCTTTTCATTCATTCATTTATATAATTTCTTGTTTGGCCTCATGGTTGGCTTCACAGCCCTTTGGGATGACCTGTGATGGGGTTATGGCAGGTGTTGAGGGAAGGGCTGCTAGGAAGTATTGGCTCCTTTAAGTTTGGATTTGCTTTTGGGACCTCTGCTTTTCTGGGAGTAGTATTGGACAGTATTGACACTGACACTATTGCAACTACTGCTCTTTAATGTACATCCCATCCCATCATTATTCCCTGAAACCCCAAGTTAAGAAAAGTCAAAATGCTTAATTTGTCTGAGCAACAATCAAAAACCCAAATATGTTGATTTTACTGTCAGAGATCAGTGGGAAACTAGCAAATACTCACATATGAGAAACTGGTGCCAGCTAATTTTTTGGCACTTTTTTACATTGACATTACCTTAAAAAAAATTTATTGTGATTATTCAATTATCAAAGTCATTGCCTTTGATTTTCTGTCAATCAACTAATCATTACAGCTCTAGATAGCACTGCTTGGTTTCTGATTGTCTGAGGAAATAATAGAACTGACATGTTAGTAATTTTCGGAGGTTAAAACAGCAATAACCAAACATCAACATATATTGATGGTGGCGAAAAGCTTTGAAGCATCAAACACTACCTCTAAATTGGGTAAAGTAATAGTGACTTGCTCTCCTTTGCCCACTTCAAGGTCCCCTTCACATGTTGTATCAATGGAGGCTGGTTTGAAGTCATCTGCAAGAAAAGAAAACAAGACAATGAAACATATTATAAAAAAAATACTATACACTCAATATTAACCACAGTATTGCTGATATATTTGTAAATATTAAACAAACAGCTGCGGTTGGTGCTGCAATTTCCTACCGGTACCACTAGATAGCGGAACTGTACAGATTGACGCGATGCTAACATTAGCTAACATTTTGACAGCTGGGGTATCAATGTGTTGTAATAGTTGAGAGTAAACCAACTTAATAAGACAATATAAACATAGAAAACTGTCATCTTACTAAAAGGTGCCAACAGCAGTCGGATAGAAACGGACTGACGACGCGGCTAAACAGCTGCCTTCGGATATTTAGCTAAGAAGCTAACTAGCATGCTACGGTTAGCTTCTGTAAAAGCCAGACAACCAACTGACTCAAAATCCCACTTACATCGCACTGTATGGTAGGCACTTTTGGAGTGTTTCTCAAACGTCTCTCCCAGTTTCAGGACATGTTCTTGATTGTCAAAGTTGGAGTAAGCTGTCCCATTCATTCTGAGACTTTCATGAGCTTTAAACTTTCTGCTGTTCTGTTTTATTCGATAACCATGTACGGCAGAGTACTGACCACCTCATTGGTACCATGAAGTCCCGCCTCCTCTACGTTATGATTGGTCAAGCGGACTGTCTCTTGTCTGATTGGTTCAGCGTCTGTCAATCAAGATTTTGTAATGACAGGGCAGCTTCAGGGCAAATGTCACATGGTTTCTTAGTACTTTCTTTTAATAATTGTCTCTTTTTAATGATATCACACTCATTCACTGTATTTTTTTGAATAGAATTGTATTCAAAAACATACATATATTTATATGACTGTCCATCTGTGGTAAATTCAATGAATTGGACAAAATTTGGAAAGGCACACACCTGTCTATATAAGGTCTCACAGCTGACAATACATATCAGAGCAAAATCCAAGCCATGAGGTAGAAGAAACTGTCTGCAGAGCTCAGAGACTGGATTGTTTCAAAGCACAGATCTGTAGAAGGCTACAGAAACGTGTCTGCTGCATTGAAGGCTCCCAAGAGCACAGTGGCCTTAATAATTCTTGAATGGAAGAAATTTAGAACAATTAGAGCTAGCAGCATGGTCAAACCGAGTATTCAGGGGAAATGGACCATGGTAAGGGAGGTAAACAAGAACCTCGTGGTCACTCTGGCTGAGCTCCACAGATCCTGTGTCTAGGAAGAAGAAACATCATGTCTGGTTTCCTCCAGACATGATGCTTAGAATTGAAGCAACTGAAAAACAGTTCAATCTTGGCTTCATCAGACCAGGTCAGTCAAACCCAAAGAAACTTCTGAGTTTACTGTCAATGTATCAGGAGAGCTTTGTGTGTAAAAACTCAGTGTGTGCAAAATTTAATTAGTTTGTTTTTTTGCACAGAAACTTATGCAAAATGTCTGTTCTTGATAATGTTGCTAAAAAAAATTCAGCCAGTAAAACCAGAGAGCGATAATATAAGGGTTTTCTGTGGCATTATTTAGTGGTTGTACATCAAAAAGTGCATGTTAACCATTGAACCTATTTTTAGAGTCCCTGTATATCTGACCAGATACTTTTCTGTATTTGCTTTTTTTTTATGTGTATTTATACTTTTTACTTTTATTTCATGCATTCTTTCTTTTTATTTGTGCTTGTGTTAAAAGTTAGTGTTAACCCATTGAACATATTACTTTATAAATAATCAAAGAGAATAAATTAAAAATGAATATCAGTGTTTAGAGCAAATATTAGTATCTCAACCCACAGGCACCAACAGTGACAAACTACCTTTTACACTAAATTAGCAACATCACTGGGCTGAGCTGTGAACCTAATTACCAAATTAGCTGGAACAGCTCAAACACACTGTGGAGGTCCTGAAGATCTGGCAATGAGAGACTAATGAACTGCTGCAGTAACACCTACTGACTTGCAGTTTCAAGTCCCGCAGGCTGCAGGGGCTCTGAGTTCAATGAGCCCTGTGGCAGCGACAATAATCTCTTTTCCTTTCTTTAAACGGTTAATGATTCCTAAGCCTTAAATTCCTGTCCTGTCCGCACTTTACTGAGACCATATGCTCTGCTGCCTTCAAACATTAAAGGATCAACATCCGAAAACAAGTGGAATGATGAGATTACACGAGTGTATAATCACCAGTTCCACAACATGGTCCTCCTACCTCCTGCGCCACATGAAGGGATGGTGGGCATGTGCATGTGTGCAGGTGGACAGGAAGTGCAGCGGTCAGGATGGGAGAAAAATGGTCTGGGAGACGCTGGGATTAATCTTAAATAGGAAAGAAAACAATAGAGGAAAGAGTGGTATTGAACCAACCAAGGGGCTCTTAGTTAGCCAGCTCTGTAACCTTTGACCTCTATCTTATACGGGAAGAATCAGAGTAAAGTTCATCAGCTGCAAGAAAACTCAGAGTATAAAGATTTTGGTTAAATAATCAAGCCCAAATTATTTTGGGCATTCAATTCCTTTTTTTTTATGTGTGTGATTAGAATCCCATTTTAAAATGGCTGGTGCCGTGATTGAGAAATGACTAAGATGGATTGCAAAAGGACCAGAATCCTGTTTCACTGTGTCTATATCCCATATGAAAAGAAACCAGCAGGGGTCTGTTTCCATGGATGGAGGTAAACACTGGATGTCCTCTTGCGGTATCAGTTACTGCGGGGGTTGCCCTTGGATCGTGGGAGGTAAGGTTTACTGTTTCCAAGCAACTATCCACAAATTCACAATACTGTGGTCGCACTACCATTGAGAGTCCCCCGGTTGTGATCCAGTAGCAGCGGTGACAGAGATGATAGCGCCAGTCTGCAGGGGAAAAGTACATACTCTGCCAAAGTAGACTAAGCAGCTTGCAAGGCTGAAGTTTTTACATTTCTAGTGTGTGAATTTATATAAAAGCACAAACTCCAGAGTGCATACTGCATAGTCTTTATTTGATTATTGTGGACTGCTCTCAGGAATGCATGTAGTTACGCAACTTTTGTCAAGAATAATTTTGGGGGAAAAAAACAACAACAAAACTTAAATACTCCGCCCCATCCTCCTGAGATAATGTGCAGAAGGATTTGATATTGTCAGAGGTAACTACTGTCTGTGAATTCAAGTCAATTTTAGAGAGGTGGATTCACAATTCTTCAAGTCTGACTTCAAACGTTAGTCGGCGATGCCTCCTAATGCATGACTGGGGGAGAGAATCCACAGTCCTTTTTCTGAATGAGTGATCTGAATCCCTGCCTATCTGTATTCCCCATCACTTCCACTGAGAGCACATCAGGAAGAAATCTCTTGAACAGGAGGAAGAAAAAACAGCTTCAGTCTTCATATGGGAATCTGAATATTGTTTATAACAGAAAAAATTGTGAACATATTGGAATATGATGAAATAACACTCTAAGCCTTTACTTTTGATTTAAAAATTTGAATACAGTTTAAAATCACTTATCATTTATGCTTTTTTTGAGTGTTTTGACTGGCGATTTTCTTAACCTCTTTCTGTTGTTTGTGTTGTTTTAATTGCTGGAACAATGATTTTTTGCTGCTTTCTTGGCCAGATCTCTCTTGATAATGAGATTTTAATCACAATTTAACATTAAACTCTAGTTTATTACATAATAGGAGCGAACAAAATATTGTGCTTTTTAATGATTGCATATTTACTATGTGATATACAGTGGTGTGCAATGTATAACCTAATACAGTCATCTGTTTTTGAGTCTTTTGGGGCAACTCCAAGACAATTCACATGTTTTAATATTAATCTCAAGTCAAATCTAAACTTCATAGTAAGTTTCAGGTCCCTCACAGTTTTCTTTTGCCTATTCTTGAGAACTTGAGACTTGACTATTTCTACTTTCAAGGCTCAAGTAAGTCAAGTCCTCGTTTTTGTGACTTCAATCTGGCTTCACCTCTGCAGTTTAAAATGTTGAGGTTGTATTTTGTGGTAATGGTCTATTAAACTGCAGTCAATTCAAATGTTGAATATTTAGTTTTCTGTCTTTATTATTACCTTACAGAGTAATGCAGTACAGTACAACACCACAAATATCAGCCTTGAGACTAGTAGAGTAAAATCAGCTCCTTTTAAAAATGATCTCTTTCACAAAGGTATGATGTGTTGAGTGTTGAATTATACATTACATTGCATTACATAGTGTCAGGTATTCTTGTTACAATCATTATTACAATGTCACAAATAATATGTTACTGATCCGGATGAGTATATTCAGTGTAAATCAAGTCTCAGGACACATCAGGTTCAGGTTTGACTCAAATTGAATGACAGAGAGCAAACACCACCATGATCTGGCCTCTCTGCCTTTGGGGGGGTGGGATGGGGGGGTGGGGGTTGGGGGGGGGACATATGGGCTGAGTGTGGCCACAGCCAGCTTTTTTCATCTAGACCAATCAGGAGCAGAGTGAGAGCGTTGGTCCTATGGCTAGTGCTGTCTTCACTTGCTGTCGGAAATATCAGAGTCACAACATCAATGTCTCATGAACGACCCACCAAGGGCTAAAAATGTACAGATCCCTACCAGTCACTCCCCCATCCAAATTTACCTGTCACTACAAAACACCAGCAGTGTCCATTCAGTATGTGTATTCCCTTCTATATACACACTGCTCAAAATTACACACCTATAACATCATAAGTGCTATGTCCTATGTTTCTGGGTCTAAACATTTTGCTGCAAATGTATTTAAACACAATCCTTTATGATCTATGATCTGGTATATGGAGTTGGTATAAGTCAAAATATCATGTAACGTTTTTTTTTCCTATGCATTACTTTTTGTTTTTATAAAATCAGCCAGGGAGTTTATCTTCTCTATTATAATGGCTCTGAGCCTTTTGTTTTCAAACAACCCCAACCCTAACCCTATGTCAGGGCCACAATAACCCTAATTCTCAGTTCATTCGTATAAAGTTTTGTCATAGGAGTTATACAACCTGAGTAAAACATTTCAAATATCATTTTCTGGGCCGTGTGTTTTGTTGATTAACTGCTTTGCTAATCAAAAGTAAATTTTATTTCAACTTTTAACTATTTATTTCTGTATTTATTTCTTACCATTTAAATCAAACCGGTGCTCCGTTATTATCAAGATTAAAATGTGAAGAAGAAAAGACGTATTCCATCATTTAAAACTGTGAGCGCTGAATTTGAATTTACGAGCAGGACCCGAAGGCAGCACAGTTCCCAAGGAGAAACCCGCAAAGGAACGAGGTCGTGTATCCGAGATCCTCCGGTAAAAAAAACCCCCTCAGAACAGCATGAGGGGAGGGCGGGCGGTAAATAAATGACCGACCAAATCGTGATTTCATGGCAGCGCCGTTCCGGTCCAGCCTGCACGGATCCCGGTCTGTAACTCAATTCAGATCCTTCACTGAGGAGCTGCCGGGGTTCAACCTGCGATCTGATCTGATCTGGATCTGAATCCAGACAGAAACGGGACTTCTTCTCTGTGATGTGATGGAGGCGGAGGCGCCCCGAGAGTGACCCTGAGTGAGTAGCCTACACAGGAGCGAATGACTCAAATGATGTTTTTGCTCTAAAATCAAAAGGGCGGG